AGCACAGGCAAGACAATGGGTCTGAATGCAGTGGGAATCCACTTAGAGGCATATAGGAGTGCGTGGGGACCTGGAACCTGGGAATGCTATTAACACATATAGACCTTGTACAAAAGGATATTAGAAAACTACTGTCGCGTACAGCTATCCGTCTATATATATCCTTCTGCTGTGCTAGCTGGGAGGTTGACCTTTTGGCAAACGCAACAGTTATGAGCCTAGTTTGCGGCGTAGTGTAGATGGTTAGCGCTTAAAAATTTGCGCACCCCTGCTCCACTAATAGGATCGCATTATCCTGGAGCACTGCGTGTTCGATTCCCACGCTCAGCAAAGAGCATTTAGGCAGTGCGCCTATTACAGAGGCTACCTTGCATTTAGATCCGTCTCTAAGTTCTGTTGCTCGGGCTAAAGAGGAAGGGTGTGTTAAGGTTGTTTCACCATGTTTCACCTCTCTCGTTCCACGGTTCAAGCTGGGGGGTGTGTCGCGTACAGCTATCCGTCTATATATATCCTTCTGCTGTGCTAGCTGGGAGGTTAACCTTTTGGCAAACGCAACAACTACTAAGCTAGCTACAGGGGCAAGGTACAACTAAATACATAAGGGAATAGAGGTAACAGCAGGGGTCAGGGCTAGGTTAGGGTTGGGGCTAATACAGGGACCTTCTAGGCTATCTAAGATAGAACAATTTATAAGGATTGTTACACTACTCCCCCCTCTGTAAACTAATAGTCCCTATTAGTAGTAATTATAGTACAAAGTACTGCTGTTATGTCCTCTGCATCTTTAAACTAAAACTAGTCTAATTTAGCTAGGTGTCCTTGCTCTAAATTATTCCTTTGCACTGCTAGCAGTGTCCTACAAACTAAACGTTATACGTGTGCGCCTACTCTAATATTAATCTATATAGATGTCTAGCCTATTAATAATTAAGACCTTTGTTTATTGCTATCTGTGCAGTTATTAATCTTAGGCGTGCGTTTAGTGTGGTGGCATTTAGGCGTTGTTAAGGGTGCCTTAAAGGTCTCTTGCTATTAGGGTAGTAGAGGTGATTTAAGGCATTATTAGGGGTAATTTAGTAGTTAGAGGTTAGTAGTTAAAAGTTAAGCATTAGCAGTTATCTCTAATTCTAATAAGTTATTAGTAGTCTCTAAGTTTCTACTTTAGCACATTCTTTATAACTTTTCTAAAGGCAATCCTAATTGTAGAGGATAGGAAGTTCTAAACCTAAAGGCTTTAGTTAACTAAAGGTTAATAAGATCTAGTCTATAGACTAAATAGTTTAATATAATAGTGTGTAAGTATTATAACTTAAACTAAATTAAACATGTCCTAGAGCTTAGACATAGTTAAATAAATAATTAGTATAATATTATAATAAAGCTGTTACTAGCAAAAGTAAATTTTCTAATATAATATAACAGCACAGGCAAGACAATAGGTCTAAATGCAGTAGAAATCCACTTAGAGGCATATAGAAGTGCGTGGGGACTTAGAACCTAGGAATGCTATTAACACCTATAGGCCTTGTACAAAAGGATATTAGAAAACTACTAAGCTAGCTACAAGGGCAAGGTGCCACTAAATACATAAGGGAATAGGGGTAACAGCAGGGGTCGGGGCCAGGTCGGGGTCGGGGCCGATACGGGGGCCTTCCGGGCCATCTGAGATGGAACGATTCATGAGGATCGTTACAATTCCCAGGTTCCGAGTCCCCACGCACTCCCATATGCCTCTGAGTGGATTCCCACCGCATTCGGACCTATTGTCTTGCCTGTGCCGTTACAAATATAGCTAATTCTTTACACACTAAGTATAATCTAGGCTATATTAGTATAAACTAGCTTAGTATGTTTATAAAGTGTTATCTAAAGCTTAAAGTAAAGTTTAAGTATAACTATAACTATAAAACAGCTTTTTATAAAAATCTTAAAGTAATTTAAGGCTAGTTTAACTTTATAAAGAACATTAAAGCTAAGTATAGCATCTAAGATAAGAACGCATATAACTTTAATAAAATAGGCTTTATAATAAGCTAGATATTTACTAACTATACTTATACTTAAACTTTACTTTAAGCTTTAAATAACACTTTATAAACATACAAGGCTAGTTTATGCTAATATAGCCTAGATTACACTTAGCGCGTAAAGAATTAGCTATATTAACTACAGCTACTAGCTAAAAGGAAAATCCTTATATATATAGCTTAAGTATATGCTTAATAATTACCTACTTTTTATTATTACCTAGCTTTTATAAGTTAATTATAGAATTAGCTTAAAGGTTATCTAGTGTGTTAGTTATTTATTATTTTTTAAAAAAACTCTGTATATAGCTATAGCATGTTATTTTAAAAGTGTTGCATTTATTTAAGAGCCTAAAATGTAAGCTGTAGCTAATGTTCTTTTAGCACATCTAAGTAGTATTATTAGGAATGCATTAGTATAGAAAGAGTAGTTTAGTAGAGTCTTAGCAAAAGTAAGCAACTTAGGTGTGTAAGTAACTTACCTATAAAGTATGTTATTTATTAAGTATTATAAAGCTTAAGTATAGTTAGTAAATATTTAGTTTATTATAAAGCTTATCTTATTAAAGTTATATATGTTATTATTCTAGATACTATAATAAGCTTTAATATTCTTTATAAAGCTAAGCTAGCTTTAAATTTCTCTAAAATTCTTATAAAAAGTTTTATTATAGTTAGACTTATACTTAAACTTTACTTTAAGCTTTAGATAATACTTAACACACTAAGCTAGTTTATGCTAATATAGCCTAAATTATGCTTAGCGTGTAAAGAATTAGCTATATTAGCTATAGCTACTATTTAAAAGGAAAATTTTCATGCATTTAGCTTAAGTATATGCTTAATAATTACTTACTTTTTATTATTATCTAGCTTTAATAAGTTAGCTATAGAATTAGCTTATAAAAGCCATTTAGTATATTAGTTATTTATTATTTTTTAAAAGACTTTATATATAGCTATAGTGTCTGTACATGCGTACGGCTGAATTAAGTTGCCTGAAACGTTAGCTATCTAGCCTGTGCGTTAGGGGCTATGTGTACTTAAAAGCCCTCTTTCTTTATATAAAAAGAGAGGGTAGTAGTTAATAACAAGAAGATCTTTACCTACTTACCTCTTAGTACACTTCTTAGGTGTACATTTATTTAATTAAACCTAAGTTAACTAACACTAATTAGTTTATTAATAGACTATTTACTGTGTGCGTAGCTATGCAGAGGATATTGTCCTTAACAGACAGATTTATAAGGATTAATAAAACTGCTACTATATAAGAAGCTTACTCCCACTACGTGCGTAGCCACGCAGAGAGGGCTTAGACGCTCACACCTACTGCGTGCGTAGCCACGCAGAGAGAGCGTGAACAAGCCTTATGTGCGCCCCTAGAGTTAACTGCCTATACAAGAGCTAGCCTGCCGCTGCAGTATCTATCTACCGCATGCGTAGCCACGCAGAGGAGGCACCTACTGCACTAGTAGCTGTTGTATGCCCCTAGAGTTAACTGCCTGTATAAGAGCTAGCCCGCCGCTGCAGTATCTATCTACCGCGTGCGTAGCCACGCAGAGGAGGCACCTACTGCACTGGTAGCCGTCGTATGCCCCTAGAGTTAACTGCCTATACAAGAGCTAGCTTACTAGCTGCAGTATCTATCTACCGCGTGCGTAGCCACGCAGAGGAGGCACCTACTGCACTAGTAGCTGTTGTATGCCCCTGGAGTTAACCGCCTGTACAAGAGCCAGCTCACTAGCTGCAGTACCTATCTACTGCGACTAGTAGCTGTTGTCTGCCCTCAGAGTTAACTGCTAGTATAAGAGCCAGCCAACTAGCCGCAACACCTATCTACCACGTGCGTAGCCACGCAGAGGAGGCATCTACTGCGACTAGTAGCTGTCGCACGCCCTAGAGCCAACCTGCTACCCTGTACAATAGCTTACTCTTTAAGAGCCACTGTATAGTTAACCAGCACCACGCAACTGGCACCACCCCCACCCCCTAGACAACAGCTATATAAACAAGCAACTAGCAACCCCTTACCTTGTTATAAGATACTTGTAAGATACTTGTATAATAAACTAGTAAAGATAACCTACATGTCTAGGATAATACTATAAAAGAAAGTTAACCTTACTCTTTTAGTAAACTGTTTTAATATGTTAACAAATCCCTTCTAAGTATAATAAACCTTATACATAGTAAATACTCTTATTTTTATATGTATAAGAAAGTATAGTTTATTTAACTTTATACAAGACTTTAAAGGCTAGACATAATAAGATTTTAATAACTTATTTTATATATTTAGGTAAAAGCTCCTCTATGCTCTAGCTAAGCACAGGATTTATCTAGTAAGAAAGAGATGCTATACGCAGGCTAAAAAGCTAGCAGGTGTTGTAAACTAGCAGTACACAATTAGCCCTATACAAAGAAAAGGAAAGGATATAAGAGGTAGTATAAAAAAAAATAAAAATTAAAGTAAAGGTAATAAGTAAGTAACTTAATTTATAAAAAGAAAAAGTTACTAGTGTCTATACATGCGTACAGCTAAATTAAGTTACCTAAAACATTAGCTATCTAGCCTATGCGTTAGGGGCTATGTGTACTTAAAAGCTCTCTTTCTTTATATAAAGAGAGAGGGCAGTAGTTAATAACAAGAAGATCTTTGCCTACTCACCTCTTAGTACGCCCCTTGGGCGTACGTTCGTTCGATCGAACCTAGGTTAACTAACATATAGTATATTACTTTAAAAGTGTTTTATTTTATTTAAAAGCTTAAAGTAAAAGCTATATCTAATATTCTTTTAGCACTTCTAAGTAGTGTTGTTAGAAATGCATTAGTGTAAGAAAGGTAGTTTAGTAGGGTCTTAGCAAAAGTAAGCAACTTAGGTGTGTGAGCAATCTGCCTGTGGTGTACGTTACGCTAAAAGCTAGGTTATCCGAACGAGGTATAACTTTTCCGGATAACTTTCCCGGCTCCTACCTATCCCACTTCGGTGGCATGCATACCCCAAGCTGGGATAATGTGTCTGTGGCCTTCACTGTGCTGTATATCTGCATCTTGCAGGCCGCAGCAGCGACACAACGCTATAAACGAAGTCCAGTTGGCTACTTTAAGAGAGAAACTACCCTAAATTTCCACTAAAATCTTAAGCGCACGTACATTCTATGAAATCCCACAGGTTTGGCCTGGCGGTCAATGGGGCAGCGAAGGGAATTGAACACATGCCTTCCCAGCGACGAATATATAAGTCGCGAGTTACCTCAGCCTTGGACGTCAAGATTCTCTATCGTTATCCGGAAGATATAACAGACCCCTAGCTTGATAGCTAAACCACCCTACTACACTCATCGCAACCATGTTATCTTCAACTCGCATCCCCTAATCAGAGTACGATATACTTCCATCGATCGAGAGCTAGCCCCCTCTGCTAGCAAAATATTCTCCATAGTATTGGTCACTTTTTTCTCGACCACGGCGTCAACAAGGATGTCGGAACCAGGGCTTCCAACAGGCCGTACTACGGTCCGTACAAAGTGAACCGTAACAGTCACGTGTTCAGTACGAACGTACTGAGTTCGTGAGCCGTACTGTACGTTTAATGATGCCCTAGGTACGGTACGTAGTACAGATCATATTACCCTTTTAGGAAGTTTGTATAGGAGTTCTAGAGGGGTAGGAGGGCTCTGGCGAGCAGGAGGCCTGCAGGGAGCGCTTAGGGGGGCTTCTAGGGCTCTAATTAGCTAAAGGTTTTATAAGGACACTTAAATCTCTTTCTAAAGGTTTTAATCTATCTATCTACAGTCTGTTGTCTTAAAAATGCCTATTATAGACTATTTTCTATTACAGAGTTATCTATCTCCACCTTTTACTACCTTATAGGCCTTATCTAGTCCTATCTACTCTTGTTATTAGAGAGAACTAGTTATTTTATAGTTAATTAGACCTTAATTTTACGTCTCTAGAGACTTATAGTCTTAGCTGTTTTAACTAGAGTATAGTGTACTTTAATTAAATTATACTACTTGTACAGATCACGTAAGCTGTAACAGGTACAATACATACACCTACCTCTCCTCCTCCCTGTTGTACAAACGTACACAAAATCTCACCCGTACAGGCCTTAAAATCGCCCAATTATACAGTACTACGCCTCGTTGGAAGCCCTGGTCGGAACCTCGTTTCTCCGCAAGCACTTCAAGCTTGGCAACAAAGAAGATATAGTTCATGGTGGCCTCCGTTGCTCCCCGACATTGCTTGAGTATTTGCAATCTTTCATCCACGTACCTTCTGAGATCTAAGGACTAGGAACTCTGATCCCTGGTATTTCGTTGTGGACAAATTCTAGACAAGCACATGGACGTCCATGACTAATTAGCCATAGTGCCACCAACGAGAGACTAGATATGTCTACCTTCTTTCTGCAGGACAATGATTCCAACCTTCTAAATACGAGCATGCGGAACCCCTCAATAAAAGTACGGGCATCCTCCAGGGTTTGCGAGAGTTTCTTCAGAACAAGTTCCAGGACCGCCTTGCTCTCTCCAAGCTTCACAAAGAGCATCCAAAGTTGATGGAACACTGCGAGGATGTCAAAACGCATGTGTGAAGTCACTAGAGGGGATATCATATTGGAGGAAGCCACAGAATGGATGCTCGATGGAATGGGACATTGTGTTCTTCCTTTCATTGTCCATGGCTGTGCTCGCACTTCCTCTGGTGATCACAAGAAAAAAAAGTAGGCGGTTTTCAGATATATTATGCCGGACGATGACAGATTTGGATATTCTTTGCTCGGTAGAAGGCTCCTTACACTAACTGATGTTGGTCATTGTACATACCTCAAATTATTGTAGCGGAACTAATATAAACCCGCTTTCTTTAAGATTACATCATCATTCACATATCCATTCTTTAGACAGTTCCTTCAATTCAACAGGAATAGATACTTCTTAGTTGCGACTATATCCTTTGATTTTGAGACGTGGAACCTCGCCGTCATAGGGCGTAAGTGTGATCTACGTCCAGTCTGACTGTGAGAACCAAAACTTTCCATTTTACCATCCAGCGTAAAGGTTGAAAATCCCTCAGCGCTTAAAGCTATCACAATCCTAACCTCAAACGTTCTTACCCCTGTATGCGGTCCCACCGTATCCACTGCCTGCTCACTTTCCAACAGCTCATTCTGAGTCTTTTCCGTAATCTGCTGGAATATTTCTGTGCCACTCATCCGAAGACAATCATTGTCTCGACGAAACCTTTTGGTGATACGGGTCTAAAGATAGGAGCACCCGCGCGTTAGACATCAACATGATGTACAAGGGTGGTTTTCCGCGCTAATACGGGCAATGAGTCTGCCTGCAATCGCACCGGAGTTTATTCCCCAGAGCCTGGAATCGAGTCCGTTTCAAGGGTCAAATCAGGTCTCCCCCCCGGCGGGGAGTGAAAACGGGCCGCACCGGCGGCTCCTCAAATCGATCCTCCAACTCTTATTATTCATTTGTATCATTCGAGATTCCTGTTTGGAATACGGTGTTATCATTTGTCAGAGCGTACTTGCGCCGTACATCAAGAATGAAACACCGCAAGCAACCTTTAAAGTTGGTAAAACGTACGGCTTCTGAAATCGGGAGAATCTCCTCTTTTCAATGACTGGCAAGAATCTATTTAGGAATAATTGACCATCCTAGTTGAGCACGAGTAGAACAGAGCGAGTTCATATTTGAATCAGAAGAATTCAGAACCTTGGAATTCCCTCCGGTCAAAAAATAAGACCAAACTCCAAGATATCATCGTCAAACTTGCCTTGCTCCTGAATAAATGTCGATCCTCAAACATGAACCTCGGATAGCTTCATTTCCCCACAGAGCTGCCCAAACGGTCGTTATCTAGAGGCCGGGAATAAATCCCGGGGTTAACAAACGCGTAGAGCGGCCAGAGAACGAAAGGTCCTAACATTGAACAACGATCCCACTTGACGTTGCTAACATTGACAAGCTTAAGACATAGGAACATCAATCTCCAAATTCAACTCGCCATAGACCCGAAGTGGCCATTTCCCATAGCCAGCGCTAGATCTAGGTGCGTACCGAGTTGTGGATGAGATTTTCAACCTAGGAACATTGTGGCAATGATTTTATCGCCCAGAAACAGGTACAATGCCAGATACCCTGAGATTCCGCTTTCCCAGAATTCCATGGCAGACTTTTGATTCGTCTAAAATATAAACGAAACAAAGCACCTCCCGAAAGGATGCAGTTGCAGTACTTCAGAGCAAGAAGGTGTGTATCATGAGTGCATGCACAAGTCGAAGGAGTTTGAAATATTGTGAATAGTCTGAGAGGCCGCAGCCTGGATAGGCTCGAGTCGATGTTATAGGTATCAAAGACGTCCAATATTCAACAAGGAAAGCTGTTCCCACACTGATGGAGATGCTATTCCGTCTCTGGTCTGGGAAATATTCAGAGAAGTCCATGGTCCAACATCCGAAAACAAAATCGCATGCAGCCTCTTAGCAGAATTCCAACAGCGTTAAACACGAGTCCAAGGATGTAGAGCTCACTGCAGAGTATCGAAAGGCAGAGCGAAATACATGTACTCCAAGACGCTCGAGTCTTGATCCTGTTCCGGTTCGACCAGGTCCAGGCGCATGGGGCGACATTCGCAGCAATTTCAATCCGTGCGCAAGGTAAGAGCAAGATAGACAAAACCTGGTCGGACCGTATAAAAGTGGATGTTCCGTGAAATATTCCCGGTGAAGCGTCCCGATTCAGACATGCGGCGACATTGATGAACTTTTTTGTTGAAAGGAACGAATTTACAGAGATGCTTGCAAAATTTTCCACCATTCATTATAGGTCGGGTATTGATTTTCCAGTGAAGTTCTCAACTCGTCAAGAATATTGGCAAAAGCGGACATTACATAGGTATGAACAGAGTAAACTTTTGGCGATCCAAGAAACCTGTGGCGAAAGAGAGGCTGAGACTCTAGGTTATCTGTACAGTAATTTCCGAATGAAGTCGGCAAAGCCGGTCCAGAGGGCCATGCAGTGCCAGCTTGCGCATTGTCAACCAGTAGGGAAGTGTGTGTGTGGAAGAACGGATTCGAATGAGCATGCAAAGTCGCCACGGAAACTTTGTTTAATGCAGACCCTTAATTTGCTAGGTTCGTTAAGGTGATTAGGCAAGAATTACCCGCGTTCGGCCATGGTATGCATCGCTCGCTTGTGCATGGGTAGAGTACAGATTGAATATAATTTAAATAAAGGTCTGGGGGGGTATATGGGTAAGGAGAAGATGAAATCGGAAAAACAGGAATGCGAAAAGCAATAGGTGAGTCCAAAGTGCGTTCATACATCTCTCTAGCGGCCAACGGCGGACCTGCACGGGGAAGAGTCAAAGAGAGACTTTGAATATACCCGGAAAGACTCGCATCGTGGTGAATGAAGTCTATAGCGCGTTGCATAGTACAATCGGTAGTATTATCTCTTGTGATTGTACGATAAAGCATACCCAGAACTCTCAAACAGATGAGCGAACACCGGCTATGTCAGGAGGATGCGCCTGATGCCCTCGCCTTGTCTTTCTCTTCCATCTTCCTCCGAGCGGCCAAGATCATCTCCTCCCGCCGCCGCTGCAGGTTTGCCTGCCTTTCGTTCCTATCCTGTGACCATGTCTTCTGTTTGGACGTCGGTTCTGACGTGGAGGTCCCAGGGACCGCCGCAAGCTTCGAGGCCAAATTGTATCGCGTGATCAAGTCGGATTGGGCGGGCTTCACAGGAGGGGTCGCTGTGCGTGAGGTGGGGTTGGATCTCGGTGCTGGAGGATTGAATGACGCCGGAGGCTAGATACAAAAGTGAGTCAATGTCTTCCAACTGGTGCTGCAGTCACCGAGCGAGCATGCGCACGCATCTAAATCAAAACTCACCGCTTCAAGAGCCCGTCCGCTAAGCACCCTTTCTGTCGTAGCGGCCACATTTCCCCCGTTTCTCTGCAAGTCCCACGCAATCTCTCTCCGACCCAGTTGCGGGAACATCTGCGCTATCTGGTCGATCTGAGCCGGAGTCACCCTGACGCTACGATTCTGGCTCGGGGGCCGCGTGCTACTGGGTTTTGCGAGATACCATCGAACGACGAGAACCGTTAAGAGTAGGAAGACGATGACTTGCGGCAAGTTGAGTGTTTGCTCTGTCATGGTGGATGGTTAGTTGAGTCCGGATATCGCTGGCTTCCCTTCGGCGAAGTCGCCAGTTGGGGTAGGGTTGGCGCGGGAGCAGTGCTCTGAAAGGGATCTACAGAAAGGTTTATAAAAGCTATATGAGTTGGAGCTTGCAGTTGTGGGTGTAGTGAAGATCCTTAAAAGGCATTTGAAAGGACCAGCCAGCGCGTCACTGATGCAGGTCGGATCGTCGGACCGGGGCCGGATCGGACATTTAATTAGCCGATAGGGCATTGCACGTTCCACCTTGTCCCTCCTTTCCCCAGATCTTGACCCACCCGTTCATATTCAGCGCGTGCGCTCATCTCGCTCCCTACACGCTGCATTGTGTCACTCCTCGCTGAGGACTCGCTCGCTCAGGCTTCCACTCGTCTGAAAGTTGAAACATGCCCTTGTCTAATTCTTAATTTCTATGATACCCTTTGCTCTGTTATCCCACATCCCTCGTTAAATCACTGCAAGCGTCCACATACAGCCATGAGCAGTCCAATTGATATCCCAAAGGAGCCCTTGCCGGCGCACACTAAGGAAGGCAATGCTCTAGACTGGGAACCGCCCGAAGAGGGAACACAAAAGAAAACTCGCTTCCGTTTTGGGCGAACAGCCACGGGATGGGCCGTCTCGGACCGCTTCGATCGCATTTTGCCTCCCCACAAGAAATACTTTCGTCGTAGCCGTCGCACATTCCTTATCACAATCATTGTCATTTTCCTACTTCTTCTCGGCCTCGTCATTGGCCTCGCCGTTAAGCTGAAAAAAAAATCAAGGAACATTCGCCCTGCTGCTTCAAAGGCAGGAGCTGACGGAAAGCAGAACTCGGAACCTTCCCCTTCCCAACGGCGCTCAGACGTACACTGGAGATCTCACCTATTATGACCCTGGGCTTGGCGCATGTGGCATTCCATCCACCGCCAATGACCCTATACTCGCTATTTCACATTACACATTCGATGCCGTGCAGAAGGGAACTGATCCGAATCAGAATCCGCTTTGTGGGAGAAAGATCCGCGCTCAGCGAGTTAACGATGGGAAGACCGTCAGCATTGATTTAACCGTCGTGGATCGATGTGAGTTCACTCGTACTGTTTCTGTTTCTCGATTGGTCACGTGAATCGTTTGGGTACTAACCCGTGACAGGCACTGGCTGCGAACCTACTGACATTGATGTAAGCCCTGCTATGTTTAAGAAGCTCGCAGATCCCGATCTTGGAAGAGTACCCGTGACGTGGGCGTGGCTTTAAACAATCCAATGACAATGCTCTCTCAGAGGTGCAGCAGTGAGACCTGAACATGTTTCTCCGTGACTCTAATCAACGACCGTCTCTAATCAACGACCGTCTTTCGATCGTCGTGATGTCCTCATGAATAGAGCCTTTCCTCTACTGTACCGTTGTCCACATAACCCTAATCCTTTTCTCCTTTCTCAATCTCTCTATGCCCCTGTTCATAACCGGCGAACTGCCCTGCAATTTTTGACATTGGTGCCGCCGTCCAAGAATGGCAAGTACAAGACACACCATATTGAAGACGGGAATCAAGGGATCGCCGATCATTCCCAATACTCGCGCTAGGTCCCCACGAATCCACTGCTACTGCCGTACCCACCACATTCGTACAAGGACAAGCTTATGGAAGGCACTCGAACGGCGGGCAAGCTACAAACCCGCTTAGCAGAATACCCGCGTCTACACCGCCAATACAGTCTAAGCCGCATCCACCATTCCCTTCCATTCCATTTCCTCGGAGCTCCCGTAAATGTAGGGACTGCGAGGAGCGGTGATTTTTTACAACCATAGCATCTTCACCTCTCTATATCTTGTTAGAGCCCCCTAAAATCCCCGAGCCTCTGAACAGCTCCTCAGTCTACTCGTTGACACAACACAGCTCGTCGCCATATATTCTCCCGCCGGCAGCCCAGACGTCACTACAATGGTGCAGCAGGATAGATTCCAGCTCCATCAAAGGCAGTTACTTAGTCGACGCTACGAAACAAATCTAAACAGCAATTACCTCCAATGATCGTTTTTCGTGTGCAGAGTCATCATTACTATTTTCTCGTATTCACCATCAGCTTCTGCGCGTTCGCCTTTTTAGAAATACATGAAGTATATAGGTAAGTACTCAATTCCCACGCGATTTAAATGCATTCACTACAAGCTTACATGAACTTAGCGAGGAGATAGTGAGTACTTGGTACAAAGCGGGGGAAGGTCCTAGGAGATTCACCAAAAGCTATTGAAGTTACTCCAGATGTTTGAGGACTCGACGAGAGAGACTTCGAGTTCTTGACCATACTAGCTACTAACACTACACCCATGACAGCGAGCATCATATGCCGACACTAGAGTCTCTCCTGGATCATTCAGAACACATGCAAACCTCCGGCATGGATGATATTCGGTATATGATCGGCCTAAGCCCAATAACTTTTGTAGGTCATCTTCCCGAACCATCGAGCGTTGCTAGGAACCAGCAGTGGTCGCTTCTCCAATCATTCTTGAATGAGTCAACAAACTGTCCGCACAAATTCAAGTTGAGTAGGCATCCACTTCCAGTTCCCATAAGCTCAACAAATGTAGCTATACGGCAAGAACCATTTGTAGAGCTCCCTTGACCCTATCAACCCCACGCGCGTCATCTCTCCGCCACTCATTTGCCATGCAACCCGTTCCATACGATCCCAGTTAGTGTTATATCTAGACCGCGACGCACACTCGGTCCTAAAATGGGTTGCGTAAGAGTTCCAAGGCCTTAGCTCGTAATTGGGAGGGGCGATCTGCTCGGGAAAATCATCATTTCACAAGTCCAGCTTCCAGTCGGTCATATTTGAAGGTGTGCGGTCAACCCGGTCTTTATACCGTCTCTTTGTAACGCTACGACAGCCCACACAAAAGCAGCAAAGCCTACAGATACTTAACTTCAAACGCTATTCAGGCTTGCGAATGATGCGCTATGCAGCAGTGTCAAAGCAAAATTTCCACAGAAATGCACGGCACCCTCTAATGACACTAAAGCGCTCTATGAGACTTTGCTTTAGAACGGATCCACCTTTTGCAATTCTTCAGAGATCATTGTATTTCGGGGGGCTGAGATGGAGAAGTGGGGATTGCTATTAGTTTTCAGGCAGTAGATGTATATTTATGATCGTGGACTTTGTTATCATTGAAGAAGCCGGGACGGAAGGCCGGCGGACGTAAGCGTATTTAAGCTTCTGTGGTAATGCCCATCGTTTCGTCCAGTCCATTCCAACATCGCTGCGCAAGATGCAGATGCCTGGCCACGGATGCCAGCAGGGCGAACTCCCTTTTTACAAGCCCAAAGATGCTAGAAGAGTGCATAGAGGTGGGATAGGTTTCTATTTTTGCCCTCCATCCCATCCTGTACTCCAAATTGCAACGGAATATTGGTTTCGTTCGGTTTAGTTTAGCTTAGTTTCTCTCCTCCTCTTCTTATTGCCTAAATTATATCCACCAATGTTGGTTGTCTTATTCATCGGCCATATTTTAGCACAAATAATGAACTGTTTCAACATCCCTGGAATCCAGCTAGGCCAGCAATCACTAGGATGGCCCACCAACTATCTGTGAGACTGGAATTATCGGCCTTGTTGAAACACGTGAACAGCGTGCGTTCCACGTGAAGCCTCCACGCGTTCCCGGGGGGTCAGCTCTGGAAGCGAGCTGAGCTTCAGGGCCGAACATTCGACTCTCCCTACAATCTCAACAATGCCCCTCCATCACGCAGCCTAATTTACACAACAGTCCCTCCTTCTCTCCGCGAAGCTTTCCCACGACTTGTGTAACACTAGATAGCTGCTTTCCGGATGAGCTGCACAATCCCCTCACACTGCCGGGCAAACGTAACCCCTCCACTATCATGACCTCCGTCTTCTCGTCCATCGTGCGGCCACCCAAGCTGAAGCGCTCCACTTCAAATCTCCATACCTCCGCCGATGTTGACTCCTCGCAGTCTTCCATTGAGAGCGTAGATCCGGACGAGCCAAACCTCCGCGAACTGAACGCCTCACTTCAAGCCCTCACTGACATCTTTCCCGACATACAGCCCGAGGTTTTCCGTGAGATGCTAAGCTCCTTCAGCGAGGAAAGCAGGCTAGAGGTGATAACGGAGACGCTGTTGAAGCATGGCGCAAAGTGGGTGCGTGGACGGTACAGGATGCCGTCGGAACAGGAGGAAGAACAACGGGTAGTCTCGCATAAGTACAAATATCGCGTTTCGGACTCTACAAAGGATACGCGGGGGCATCCGCTCGCTATTGAGGAGACGTTTCGGTCTCAGAAATATCGCGAGGCGGCCAAGGAGGCGCTGTACCAGGAGTTCAAGGGCTTGAGTCATTCGACTATCAAGGCTGTGCTTGCGGAGTACAATTGGAGCTATACGCAGGCCAGACCGACGCTGCTGGGGTTAGTTTCGAAGAGCTGGCGATACTCGATCACGAGTTTTCTGATGCGACGGAAACCGCCGAGCGCAAAGGACCACCCGTTGGTTGTTTGGTCAGGTGCTGATGCAAAAGCTGGGAGGCTACCGACACCGCTACTCATCAAGACCAAAAGCAAGGAACTGAACAAGGAGCTGCATGATACCCTGATCGTTCCAGTGCTGCACAAGCAAAGAACGGAGCAGATACAAGGAGATCAAAGTCTCGCGCACGAACTCAACGAGGCCGAGGCTGAAGAGGCCGGGGAGATGTATGACTGCGAGTGCTGCTTCATCCCCAATACCCTGGAGCAGATGTCGGCATGTGATGTTCAAGGTCACTATATCTGCTTCCGGTGCATTCGACATTCCATCAATGCGGCTCTCTACGATCAAGGCTGGGCGCGAAACATCAACACAGAACGCTGCACACTCAGATGCATAGCTCCCTTGTCGGATGGGGTAGACGACTGTCCAGGCTGTATTGGGTCTCCCTTTATCCATCGCGCTCTTCTAGAGGAAAAAGACGGCGAAGATACCTTTCAAAATTTCAATGAGCGACTCTCTTCCGAAGCACTCCTTAAATCGCAACTCCCACTCATCCGTTGCCCATTTTGTCCATATGCAGAAGTTGATGAGCTCGCCCTCCCCAACGCCGATCTCACGAGCAATCTCAGACTCAGACTACGACCACTCCTCACTGCCTCCCTTCCTCTCATCCAACTACTCTGCTTCGTGGCCATTGGTATTGCCTTTCGGTTCCTCTTACTCTTTATTTTCTTCATCGTAAGCCTAAATTTCCTTCTTCCGCGCCCTCTACCCCTCTTTCCACCTCTCCGAGCCGCCCTCCATCGTATCCATCTCAAACGCCGCGGTTTCCGATTCAAATGCCTCGCGCCGACTTGTTCTCGCACCTCATGTCTGTCGTGTTCCGCTCCGTGGCATGATCCCCACGCCTGCTACTCCTCGCAACTCCAGTCCCTCCGCCTAACACTCGAACGCGCAACTACCGATGCCGTGAAACGCACTTGTCCGAATTGTAATCTCGGCTTCGTGAAAAGCGAGGGCTGCAATAAATTAGTTTGTCTGTGTGGGTATAGTATGTGTTATGTTTGTCGTGAAGGACTTGCGATTCAGGGGTATTCGCATTTCTGTCAGCATTTCCGCGAGCGGCCGGGGGAAAATTGTAAGCAGTGTGAGCGCTGCGATTTATATCGCGTTGAGGATGAGGAGAAAGTGGTGAAGCGGGCGAGGGAGAGGGCGGAGAGGGAGTGGTGGGACAAGCAGGGTGATGGCGCGGGAGAGGGACTAAAAGTCGGTGTTGGGAGAGGGCTGAAAGAGTGGCAGGTAGGTGGGAGTGATGGGGGGTTTTGGAATTGGAAGAAACTGGAGCGTTGGTTGGAGAAGGTGTTGGATGTTATTGTAGTATGAATTTTCCTGAGGCTTTGGCGTTGGCTTTGGCTTTGGGTTGGTGTTTGTGGGGAGATGGGAAGACCACAGCGCCTAGACGAGAGGCATGATAAGATACCCCAATCTCTACTTCTTCCGCGTAGCAGATTTCTAATGATATTAATCATTGCATTCAATATCACTTTCGCGAATTCATGTTAGACTTTGTGCAATATATTTGGATGTCGCGGCGAATGGAGGGAAAGGGAAGGAACGTCTTTCAGATCCTCTGACCTCTAGCCTATGCTAAGCGGCTCCTAGAATTGTGTTCAAATCAAGTCTCGCATGTAACACTTCTACATAAAAACACTGGTGCTGGATCCAATGGTCAATTACGGATTCGAAACTTACCCGGCAACTCTAGCGCATACCCATCTGCGAATGAACGACTTAAACACACACCAAAGCACGATTTAACAAGCAGCTCATATCCTTACTCTCAGGAGCATATCATCAAGTCCTTTCCTCGGAATCTCACTCAATGAAAGAAGAGCATCTATGCTTTTTAATGACGGCAACTTGCACCACTACAAGAAACACACAGCCTCCAAACTTACAGTTTTCTTACCCAAGCTCACAACGCCTCGAATTCTCTCCCCATATCCAAAGCATAGCTCTTCTTTTCCCAACAGCATGTCTTCGGATTCGAATTTACGAACCGAATAATTCCACTCCAACCCTTCTCTCCTCATCCACAATTACTCACTCTAATGCCGTCCAAAGGAATAACAGGAATTTAGAAACAGAGCCATTTGCGACATGGAACATCGTTAGAGTGAGCACGTATAGCCCAAACCTAGCATAAATTCGATATACTGACACGAACTCCCCCCAAAAAGCGAAAAGGGGAAAGCCCCACGGAACAGGAAGGGGGAGGGGGCGGACAATTTTCTCAGAACTAGTGGAGATGCATGGTGAGTCTTTCAATGGCATCCGATCCCGGAGCGGAATACGCATCCGCTTCGATTGCTAAGCTGTTGGCAAGGGGTTGCTTAATAGCGGAAGACTACAATATGGGCGGAATGTTGGCTTTTTCGTCGCTGGGGCTGTGATATGAATGCGGTTTGACTTTTGGTGTGTTTGCGTGCTGTTTGGAACATGAGAGAGAGCATGGGATGCACGCATGGGCTCTTTGGTCGTAGAATCATAGGAAGCATTGACTTTGATTTTAGTGTATTGACAAGCCGTGGTTCTGGAGGAGAGAAAGATGGCGAGTTCGGGGGCGCAACTCCTTCAATTGTTTTCGTAAAGTTAAGTGAGATGATTCTCCCCCAGACATGATCGTTTGGTGGTAGGTGTCCCATTGCCGTATGTCTAGGAGGAATTGGCTGTCTGCCATGTTGTAGCCGTGTATGTACTTTTCGGAGACATAGAATAGAAACAGGATTTCCAACCTCGGGTTTCTAACCGGCCAAGAACGTTCTATATGTATATTTTATTCCTGAGCGAGAGATTGTGTGTGTAAAGGGAAACAGCAGGATCGAATTGATGGTGGTTAATATAGGTGGGGGAGGGAAGAGGGGTAGGTAAGTAAGCCAAGTGAGATGGGAGAGAATAAGTTACGTGTGAAGGTTGGGGGGGTTCCGGAGCGGTTGGAGAACCTATACTCGCCTGATGAGTTCTCGATCTGCACACAAAAAGCGAGGAATATGTTTGAGGTATTACGGGTTCCTATATGAGCACAAGCTTATAATAGCCTTGGTTGGGTATTGACACAAACATCAACTCCATCACATGCTTCCTTGCCCCACCGTACCCCTCCAGGGATATCAAGACGCCATTCCTTCATGCACCATTCCTCACGCGTACTCAAAACTGTCCACTTTCCCTTCTTCCAGCACCCAAGCCAGCATACCGCTTACTGAACCGATCAGGAACGACCGAAGCCCCTCCGTCTCCACCCGTGAAGCCACCCGGTGTACTCATCCTCTTCAGTGGGCTTCCCTCCCTCTTTGTTGAACTTCCTTCTCTCCTCTTCTCGCCAGCTCCACCCAGACTCTCGCGACCCCGGGATCTCTCATCTCGGAGGAAGTTGGTGCTCGCGGCTTTTCGTAACGGAGAGGCGGCGTGGGTGTATACGCCTAAGCTGCCTCCATCTCCATTACCGACTTGAGCGGGGCGGAACTGAGGTTGACGGAATGGGTTTGGGGTGTTGGATTGGCGGATGGGAGAGGAGAAGTCGGTTCCCGTTGTGGCTACTGAAGATGGCACATAGCTCCCGTTTTGCGTAGGCCGCAGAGATGGCGTTTGAGTACTTGAGCCTGTCGGCCTTGTATTTGGGATTGAGCCAAGGTTATTAGGATCGTATTGGGAGGAATAAGCCTGATTAGGATTCGTGCGGAAGCCGCGATTGATGACGGTTGTGGGGGTGAAGGTATCGACCTCCGATGCGAGTTCGGTTCGGCCGGGGCCTGAGTCTCGAGTGCGGGGCTTGGGAATTGTTTGGATTCCGACGTCTCGGCAAGGTTTCTGGAGGATGGGGTGTACGAATTTTGTGTCGTATTCGTGGAGGACTTCGCGGTGGATGATGGCGGAGTCCTTGGCCTGCTGAGAGAAGGAGATTTGGAGGTAGAGCATTTGGGCGGTTAGAATCCCCCCGATTATGACTGTTGTGACAACCTTGACGCTCGGCTGGGGGTCTAGGGGGGCGACTGGGAGATTGAAGTAGTAGAGAATGACGTGTAAAGGACTGAATAGACAGAACAGCTGCAGGCAGAGAGGGTTGGGGTCCCAGACGGCGATCTCCCAAACATCTCTTGCGGCATCGGGATGAGCGCGGGATTCGGCTGATGTAGACGCGATGAAGTTTAGCAAGAAGCGGAATGGGGATGAAGATAAGGGAGAGGAGTCAACGTGCACGCGGTGTGCAGAAGGAGTGGAGGGATTGGTTTCAATAGGTTGTTCGAAGAGGCGGTAGTGGCGCTTGCGGAAGAATGTGTAGAAGGCGTTCAGAAAGGACAGGATTGAGAGAGAGAGGACGACGAAGTTCATCTGGAGAAGTTAGCGTGGCGATAGTCGGTGGGGAAGGGGAAGGGGAAGGGGAAGGGGGAAATAGACAGGCCAACTTACGATCGAGCTCAACCACCCGCTGCTCTTCCTCTGGTAATCTCCAAACACATCGTCGCCTGTGGGGCTCGGCCGGCTAGAGTTTGCCCTTGCGACCATGAAGAAGACGTTCATAGCCAGGCCTAGAGAAGAAGCATAGCTCTTCGCGAAGTCGTCCCAATCGTTACTGTTCAGCTCTTCCGACGCCCACATCAGCCAGTCCCAGGGGTCCAGGTAGGCTTTGATGCGCTCAGCGAGCGGCTCTCGTCGGACCAGGCGGGGCATAGTTGAATGTGTGTATAGAGAGGTCGTGGTTGAAGGAAGGAGAGAAGACGACCTTGCGAAGTTTATCAGCGGAGACAATATATCGCCGCCCTGCGAACGAGACAGTCACGGCATGCCGTGGCGAGTGTCGTTGGCGTGAAAGGCAACCCAAATCTTGGGTGGTAAACAATCAACGGCGGCCAACCCGACGTTTCCCCGAGCTGGAGCTTGGCCCTGGAGCTGGAGCTTTGTCCCGCCATGACGACGACCACTGCTCTCGCACCCCTGCCCTTCCCTGCCCTGCCCTGCCTGCCCTCCCCTCCACCAAGCTGTGCACACCCATCAACACGCCATGTCTGCCTCCACGGCTGCATACAAGGACCGCCAATTCCTCGCCGTCATCGGCGACGAGGTATAATGGCCTTCCCTTATCCTCCTCAAGCCCCGGCTCACCAACAACCCCCCTAGGATACCGTTACCGGCATGCTTCTGGCAGGCGTCGGAGTAAGTCTCGCCCTCTGATACTGGCCCGATAAGACACTGAATACCAGTCCAGCATGTCACGCAACCTCCAGACTCCCAGAAGAACTTTATTGTCGTCGATGCAAAGACGGAGAACTCGGCCATCGAGGCAGCCTTCGACCGCTTCACTGTCGAGCGGAAGGACATTGCAATCTTACTCATAAATCAGCACGTGCGGCTCCCCCCCCCCCAACTTTCCCGGGGCATATCATTGGTGTCAAAACTGGGCTCCATAGCTGACATTCGGCAGATCGCTGAACGAATAAGGCATCGCGTCGAGACCTACACGGCAGCATTCCCCTCCCTCCTCGAGATACCTTCCAAAGACCATCCCTATGACCCAGAGAAGGACAGTGTACTGAAGCGAGTGAGGAGATTGTTTGGAGAGTAGGCATGGAGGGTCCCAGTTGGAAGCCTGTCTTGTGCCGGCTCGGTGGTAGACTTGGCGCGAAAGTATATATACTGCAAGGATCACACTGCAAAGATTACACTGCAAACATATCCAAATCACTGCAGTAGAGTGCGGTTCAAAGGAGAAACGTCCATTGACGTTCGCGTCCATAATGATGAATACCAAATACAAGCACAGAGCTCGAACCGCTGTCGCTGTGGTCTCGAATCCGCTCAAAGAGAGAGTTTGAAATGCAACATAATCCGTACACAACCTCTCCCGCACTCTGCCAATAACTGGAAGTCCGTCAATTAAAGCTCGTTCCTATTCATGTACGGCCGGTTCTGCAATATATTTACACCCGGCCCGGATAACTGAAATTTCCGTTTCCCAACTTGAAATGATCTATTACTCTCAGATACGCATCCACCATCGCCCGCTCTCGCACCGCCGTGGAGGGTTTACCGATGGAAGGCAATGGACGCAGTCAAGCAGGTAATCTTGTCCTCGTCCTTGGTGTAAACATCAGCCAGGACCGTGTATTTCCCCTGTATGAAATTAGCCAAGCCCACCATGCTTGCATCCTTATCGGAGCAGCGTACCGGAGGGATCTCCTTGGGCAGAGAGACATCCTTCGTCAGCGTCATCTCTCCCTTATCGAGCGGGCAGGCCAGGTCGACGTTATCGATGACATCGCAGAGGTCGCTTTCTTGGTTGATGAGGGTGATCAGCCCGTACTTGACTTGGAGGTGGACCTTGGCGCCCTGCTCCACAGCCTCTTTAAAGTCACCGGAAGCCTTGATGGTAAGCGTCTTTCCACTGGGAGACACGATTGTTAGCGAACAACACAGTATAGACCGGGGGATCTGGTGGGGTTGGGGCTGGAGTTGCTGAGATGGGGAGGAGATGGAAGGGCAGCGCTTGACTGGGCGGGGCAATCGGTGGGGACTCACGCCTCTGGGGGGTTCGGGTCGAGGTCGACCTTCTCGATCTTCAGGATGTCATCGGCGGGATCCTGGCAGAAGTACAGCGGGTTGTCGCCTGGGACCTTGTACTCTTCGTTGATGGTGATCTGGCTAGGAAGCCATGACGGCTTAGCAGCGACCGATACCACGCAGACGGCGGACAGGAGGAGGGCAGTAAGCCTCATGCTGGGCGGGATAGCGATATCGCGCGTGTGCGTGTGTGTGAGTGCGTGTGTGGGAGAGCGAGGGGATGCGGGTGGTGGAAGGAAAGGTCGAGAAGAGAGAGGTTGCCAGTCCGCAGTCGCAGCGATGATAGCCCGCGATGAGGCTGGGGCGACCATTGGCGGCTGCAGTGCATTGTGCTGCACTACTGCTCAGCCTGTCGGGCACGGGCCCCATGACGCCAACGGTCATGCGAACACCGCGCGCACTACTCTTCGTTTGTTGATCACGATGTTCCCCCCCCCATATCTTTTCTCGCTCACCTGCTCGTCGGACTTGGCCGCTGGTTTATCAAAATCAATCTCGCGACTGCTATGGCCTACTCCTTGCTAAGGCCGCTATCCTTTCCTTTCGAGCAGCTGCAGTCCTTCCCCGATCACGTTTTCTTACTAGTCACCCTTAACTCCGCTGGAAGGATCCCCCCACCATCTCTTTCCATACGGATCTGTACAATCTCGGACTTAACGCTGTTGAACCGATCTGGGGTTATATGGCCCTCCGTCAATCCCTAGATCCTCTGTGTTGTGAATCCTCTTCTTCTAACCCTCTCACATTTATGTCCTATGCCACACCATGTCTTCAGCCCTTCGCGAAACTGCCACCAGGTTCATCTCCGCTTTTAAAGACCTTTCCACTGAGGACCACCTTGCACTTCGCACCTCTGACTGCCTTCACATCTTTGCTCCTGCCTCCTTGAATCTTCCTGCCCCGCAGTCAAATGACGCCTTCGCTGAGCACTTAGGCCGCCTCCGGCTTATCATCGAGCATTTTCCTGTCACTGCCAAGGAGATTCACGTCAACGAACCATGCCATCAGGCTGTGATTTGGGCAACAGGACAGCCCGAGTTCAGGTCCGAGGTTATGGGAAAAGACCCCATCGCGGAAAGTTGGAAGTATACCGGAGAATATGTGTTCATTCTAGATCTGGACGACACCTGCTTAAAGATTAAGAGAATCGTTGAATTTCTCGACAGCAAGGGTACTGAAAAACTACTAAGAATGACGGCGAAAGCGCGGGAGAACCTTGAAACTCTGAATGTCGCCTGAGTTTTTCACTGAACATTTTTAATGGACCATGTGACTACCCAGGCACAAAGACGCTGGCGACAACCAACCTTCGAACTTTGCCAATCTTGGCACCAGCCTCGTCCATCCTAGCACTTCCTCAACAATCCCTACTCGAACCTTGAACGCATTTCCTCGTTGCAGAGACAATTTGGAAGCCACACACGCTCGGCCTGCTCCAAGCATACCAATCCCTAATCCATTTCAAAAAGATGTCGCTAGCCATGCCTGGAAGCGTCCCAGCTGAAGTGCAATGGAGCGTCGTGGCTGATGGTGTGGCGAGCGATCAGCCAACCCAAGTGCCTCTCGATTCGAAGGGCCATTTTCACTCAGTTCTTTTTGCTTTTCACGGATAGCACCAAGTTGATTTTGGTGAATACCAGAGGGCTACAAGGCTCTCCATACAAGGCTCTCTATATTAGCAAACACAATACGGATCCATATTGCATTTTAACCATGTCTGATGGCTGCTGTATATAATCCGATCGATGGTGGGGTCAATCATGCTGTCCTTGAGCCAGACTCCTCTTACTCCTAGCCATTCTCATCAGCCTGATTGCCTCTCAAAATGAACTTCACGTACCCAGGAATCAAAGCAACAAAGACACATTCCCCATCCCGCCGGGTCGACGCACAATTTCCTCCAGTCCCAATAGGTGGCAGAGTGAACGAAGTCCTCCTTGCCTTCCGCATCATGACGATACCAATGGTCTTGTTTTCGGCACTCTTATTGGGCCTAATCTACCACTTTCGCGTCGAGCCAACCACATCTAGCACTAGCAATCTCAGCTTATCGTCTCCTACGCAAGCACCAAGATTCATTCTTGTCACTATCAGCGCAACTACTCTCACTACAATAGCTTCTTGGTCGAGCACGGTGGCCCCGCTTCTGATCGTGTGGGCACTGATACTGGCCTCGTACCCGATTGCTCGACAAATACTGCTCGAAAGTCGATGCGGCACAGTCAATGGCCTACCAACTCCATATCAGTTCGCAATCATGACCCGGATGATTCGCAACGCATCGCCATCCTCATTGTGGCAGTGGTTGACATATTACGTTGGCTGGAGAGGCCGAGACACTCAGAGTAAACCTCTCCGAGCAATGACTTCCGTCCTTGCCCTTAGTTCGTTGCTTAGGTAAGAGTACCTTGTTAGCTGCTCTCTCACGAATGCAGCTAACTCTATAGTGTCTTCGTTTCTTCAACTGATACATGGCTCCATTTTCCCACTGATACCATCGCTCTTACTTAGCTTGAGCCGATCAAGGTCTCATCAATCAATGATAGCATCCGCCTAGTTGAACGGTGCTTGAATGTCTCAGGCCCTTTCATGAATTTGTGCACAGTGAACAGAGCAGCGACTGCAACCTTCCTCTACGACAGTAATGAGACCCTCCCTCTGCTCGTCAATAGCCCTAAAACCTCTATGGTGAAGGCACACACTGCTGGCAGAGATGAGTATGCATACCTTGGGATGCCGCCGCTTCCAGCACTAGAGAACATAGATTTCACGGCCAGGACTTACGCTGTCAAGTCAGCATGTTCACCAGTTACCAAAGAATGCTTTGCAGAAGATAGAATATCTGGCCCAGTCGCTTTTTACAAGTGCCCTTTAACCATGGAGGGCTCTATCGACACAGGTCCGACGGATACCATAAAATGGGCCTACTTCACAGATTCTACCGGAGAAAATAACAATACTGCTGGTGGCTCTATCCAGAACCCCTACCATTATGCAGCAATCATCAGCGTGAATCAAAATATTGGGAAGAAGGCGTATGTTATCAAAGACCCGCAGATGAAGTCCGGTTTGCATGGATCAACGCTCTTCGCTGCCTTCTGTGAGGCAACCGTATACGACTTGGAGTACTCCTTCGTAAATGGTAGCATCACTCGCTTCATCACTTCACTAAGCAACAACTCAATGGCCAATATCCTTCAAGGCACCCAACAGTACACCCAAGTGGGGAGTCCATATGTTCTGCAAGCTGGTGCAGTGGCCGCATACAATAGCAATTCATCCACTGAGCTTGCTGAGAAATTCGCCCTCGCATACAGCCAAGCTGCTCTTGCAGTCTCCGTCGGCGCCGTGTTCCCAGCTGCACCCCTTGAAGCCCAACAACGACGCTCCCTCCTAGTTGCCCGAGTTCCGAAAACCCCGTTATTCTTCCTCGTTGCTTCAAACTTGCTTCTGGTCCTTCTCGGGCTTGTACTTACGCTCCTGGCGTTGATTGCGCTGAGGGGCGGCGAGGCCGGGGAAGTTCAAGCCCGGCTCAGCATTGCGGCTATAGTGGCTGCGCACTTTGAAAGGAGTAGGGGTGAGCAACCAGTAAATAAAATTGAAAAGCTTTTTGAGGAGAATCGAGGAGTGCAAGGACCGCGTATTGGGGTTGAGAGAAGTCAGAGTGGTGGATGGAGGTTTGTGTCCAAGTGACAGGTGTTCTAGTTTAGTTCTTAGGAAGTAATACAGCTAGAGGAAAAGCGATCACCGAATCCCTAGAGATTGTGCAGTGCTTGCCGACTATGGAAACTTCGGACTCGCTTTCTTCGCTTCTGCTCCACGCGCGAAGACGCCCCTGGTGAACGTCAACCTTTATATCTTTTGTTGTTAGGGTCGTATACGTTGACGCACCTTCCTATCGAGCACACAATTTCTAATACTTCTCTATATCCACCCTCTTTTGGGATATTTACTTCAGATCGGTGAAAAGCGGATTCTTTCATTGCATGCTTGAGACGAAGCTGAAATTCCGACGACATGGCAAGCACCTAGTTTCACGTTATATCCGCAGCCCGAAAGACTCCTCATTAGAGAAACGTAAATAGTCTTAAGCTCCGCCACAGGTCCAAGCCCTCTGCGAGGAGAGCCTTGTGCAACCCAGTAATACCCTAGGAAGATGTCGCCCTTTCTTCCCTGACCGGCCATCTTTCTGATATCATGACTAACTACTGATTTTCTAATCTACGAATTTCACACATGCACACTAGCACACCATTCATATCTATACGAAGAACGGTGGCACTTATGGGTACACTGCATAGATGGCCGTAGTCGATCATCGAAATTGTCATCCTAACATCTTGACTACTAGAAGCGTACCGGATTCGTTAGGACCCCATGTTAGTTCAATTTCTGCCCGCCGTGAAACAAGAAACGGGGTTGCAAGCGCAGCTCTATGTTGGAAGGCTCCCTTTTTGGGATTCGCTTGTGGTGCTGGACTTGCTAACAGTGACAGACTTGGGCTCAAAAAATCCGAAGGGCTGATAAGGAATGGGTCCAATATACTCGCAGTAATGCCGGAATTCTATACTCAAGCGCTCCCGCAATTTGGAAAACTTTCGTCGGACTTCCACATCCTTTCCGTCGAACTTATAATGGACAGTGTTGTCGAGGCGGTGGGTGGGAAGTGGAAGTCGTGGAGAGGATAAGAGGATGGTTCTGGGTTTCCCGTCTAATACTCCGCAGACTTCAGGGTTAGATTTTCAGGAATAGGGTGGTAGAAAGGAATTTTGTAATTCGTGGTAAATGGCAACTTGGTTCTAAAATTAGGGAGAGGCCGTTGATGGGAATGTTTTGTTATAGATGAGGGACGGGGGAGATGTAGTTGGTATGGAGGCTCCATTTTTGCGGGTACACTGTCAACGTTAGCGGACAGAATAGAATCGGATTATATTAGATAGCTAACACTTAGGCCGTATGCGGAGCTGAGAACAATCTGTGCCACTCTTTACTTCCCCCGCTTAGGGGTGGTCTTTATTCCACTGTTACCTCCACGTCATTAAACGACTTAAGCGAGTCTTTAATTCCCTTATCCAAATCAAACCAAACGTAAAATCCCGCCGCAATAATCAAAAGGAATAGATTCGGCAACATCGGATACCTCAGATTATGTGTCCGATCCTGAATCACCGACTGCACGAGCGGATTAATCCACCCCGTGGCAAGATCCAACGTTAACTCGAGTCCGAAGAAATGCGCTTCTCTCCCGCGAGGCAGCATGGATGCATACATAACCCTATTCGCGGACCGCAGCGCACTGCTCGTCATGGAAAATAGCGTCTGCTCAATCCAGAACTCTGGGACGTATTTATACCCGATTTTAACGTTGTTGCTTATGCCTAATGTGCCCCAGAATATGCAGAAAATATTGATAATTAGGAAGACGTATGCGTAATGTTTGATTTTGAAGTCGAGCCGCGGGAACACGAACATCCAGGTCAAGCTGCCAATGGAGGCGGTTAGCACGGCGGTGAAGGTGTAGACGGTGTAGAGGCGGTCGCCGACGCCGAGGCCGCTGACTTCGCGGAAAAGAAGGCCGATGACTGAGTTGAAGTTGCTGTAGCCGGTGTTCCAGAGAATCCAGCCTACACAGAGTTTGAAAGCCTCAGGGTATTTGGGGATGGATTTGAAGAGCTCAAACCCTGGACGTGTTAGATACGGAGTGGTTTGTTAGGGGGCGAACTTGCATCTTTTTACCGCTAGTACGGGTAGATTCTTTGACGGGAGTTTGGGTCCCCTGACGGAAGGTAGGGTAAGGTATCCAATAATCCCGAATACGATGGTAAGACAACCGCCAATTGTAATCGCAAGGAGAAAGCTGGGCAAATTAATACATCGAACCGTTTGAGCATGTGAGTAAACCTACTCCTTGTAACCGTCAAACGCCCCCGTGCCGCTTGTATAAGTGATAATTACGCCAATGAGCAGAGAGGTCAAAGTCCCGACATTCCCCGAAATAAGACCCAGAACGCTGACCAAAGTACCACGGTTAAAAAGCTGCTTCTTGCTCTCCTCCTCCTCGATAAGAACGGCTTTGCCGTCCTGACCAATTCGCGCTCGTGATGTGAGCCATCCTGTTTCACGCATAAATAGGGGAATGTAGGATGATTCCAATGTTCCATATGCGCCCTGGACAGTTGTCATGCTGACCCATAGCGCCGAAGCCGTAATCAGGTTGTGGTAAGTTCGGTCGGCGAATGAGGTGAATGGGAGTGCAAAGGCACCGAAGATAATAATGCTGATGATCATGAGAGTTTTTCGATAATCTGATCTCGTCAGTGGACATCGGGAAGGGTCTGTGGGGATTTACGCGCAAAGTCCGCGATTCCTGAGAGGAAAATGGTGAGGACGCCTTCCATTGCTCGGCCAATTGATTGCAAGTAAAGGCTGTTGCGTGGTCAGTGGATAGTAATCATCGTGCTTGAGAATGTAAGACTATTAAACTAACACATAGCTGTTGTAGTCAACTTCTCCAGCACCAAATTTCACGACGCATTTGACCACCCCGCGCTTCGCGCATGGCTCATTGGTGCCGGGCTTGTGGCCGAGGAGGTTTGCTCCCGACTGCAGTACAGCCGGGACATAGCGAGCAGCTACACCAGCAGTTGGTCCAGTCTGGGGAAAACTTAGCAATCGGAGGAGACAAAAGGGAGGAAACCTTGAGATCATGCTTACAGAGTAGCATAAAATCATCCATGCTATTAGGGCCTTTTTTGTCCTCAGAGGAGATTTGGGTTCGTCTGGTGCATCCTGAGGAGTGTTTCCGAACTCTTCGTCGCTGTTGCGCTCCACAGCAATCGCATCTATCTTCTCGTCTTTCAAAACATCTGCCATTGCATAAAATGGACAAAAGGATATCGGCAGATTGCTGCGTTATATACCCATACATTGAAACATCGACCTATTGGTTTGTGGAAAATCGCCTTGCAGCCTTTCCTATGGCGACCTCTTCTCCAGCACAAAATTTTCAGGGCAAGGAATACAGCCATTGCTGCAATTCTGGCTGTAGGGTGAGCACATTTGAGTAAATTAAACGGATGACTACCAACAAAGTCCTGCGTCGATCGTTGCAGCAACGTTACGGTTTGGATCCCAAGTGAAGAAGTTGCAAGGGTTCGCAATGCGGGAATATACGCGTGTGGGTGCTGCCGTGTGCGCAATGGCTAGGGCCATTTCTTGCCTACTGTGCGGGCACGGGTCCACGGCGAAGGGCCCAACGTCGTGACACGGGCATGAACACCGGACAAAGGTCCCAAAGGGGCGCCGAAGGCCTTGGGTGGGAAGGATTTTTGGTTGAGCACGTTTCCAGCCACCCGAGTTGAATAAGATGTCATTGGCCATTGGCAACCAAATTTCTCTCTCCATGGATGCCACTCCAACGTCCTTCGCGTTCGTCCCTTCGGCGATGGTTCGCAGCGACTCTGCTCACATAGCAAGCCCAGCGTGCGGTTGGTCATGCTCACTGCATGATATATTTACACGACGCTTTTTCATTGGGTGGAGGTCTCCTCTTGGCCCGTACGCCTCACGGAAGGATCCAAGTTATTTGTAACCTATCAAAGGAATTCCTCCAACACCCACTACACCCAAAGTTCTTTTCTGAGAGCGTGCTGAGGGACGCTGGTGTGGATATGCCCGAAGGTTCGACACAACTATCAAAACGTCTCTACTCCGTAATTGGCAGACGGTGAGCATGCATTCATGGTCGTATTTCGTACCTCGACTTCGGAACCAGCAGGGTTTACATTTGAGCGGATTTCCGAATGGCAGGTAGAGCGCTGTATTGATCGGCGTCAAAGATCTGGTTATCGGTATGGAGCGTCGCGACGTCCAGTGCTGTATGTAGATCTCAGAACAGTTCACCAGTGGAGCAACACGGCACCAACGGGACGATTAAGATCTGGCGATGTGCCGTGCGGGAGGACTTAGTGTGTAGGTGTGGCGACTAGCCGTGCGGGAAGGCTAAGACTTGGGAGCTTGAAAACGTTAGCACAAGCGCGTGAGGCGACGGTGCGAACGCCACCATTGCAAAACACGAAATCATATTTTGCGGTTAGGGGATATTCCAAAGTTTGTCTCACACACTGCGGGGTATTAGCGATGTTAGAAGGGATTCGTAATACGAGATCAAGGCGGCGTGAATATGGATTTGCAGAGGTTGGATCTGATGACAAAGGATACCTGGTTAGGAAGGCTCTCTCAGCTCGCTTGCGAGAATCAAGAGAGAGCGCCAATCAAATATGATGTTCCGTCTCAAAATCACACCTTCTTCTCCATAAGGCAAGTTGAACAAGGCCTTAAATTGGTCATTGGCCGAAACTTGTTCAATTTCTGCCAACGCGAGGGTTGACTTGGTAGAGGCATGCGGTATGCAGTTTTTTATTTATCTTAGTCAGATCTCATCTAGACTAAGTTCCTACATTGCCTTAGTTCACTTCCCTACGGTAGTTATCCCAGCTGCTTCAGATTTTGGAGGCGTAGACAACTTCGCGCGATATACGTGCCCACGAACACGAATGAAAAGCAGACCACCCACACACAGCAAGTCCAGAATCGAAAGACCAGTAAAGAACCACCCGTATCCCATACTATCGATCAGGCTAGCGATGATTGCAGCCGATATTGCCGCTCCAACATTCCTAAGCATCCCCGATAAAGCAACCAGCAAAGCAGCGGCCATTGGCATACATTCCGTTTGGTAGCTTGTACTAAGCACCATGATAATTCCTGTTCCCACAGCAGCTAGAATAGCATATCGTTAGCAATCCGTGCCGCAACCAAAGAATGATGACGGGAGAGTATATAAACATGCGAGAAATGGCTTACACAAGGAACTCGCGACCAACCCTGCACTGGGATGGTAATGCCTTTCAGTAAACCACCCAAACATCGCCTTTCCAGCTGCCGCTATCAGGTAGGCCCAGACTTGCCCTTCAAGCCGTTGCTCAGGTGGTGGCGCTACTCCATTGTTCTTCGCCTTATAACGCCGATGTTGCAGGTCTGACAAACGACCAATGATGAGCGAGGCAAAGAGGAGGGTAATACCTGTTTCAGCTCAGTAAGTTGAAAAAAAACCCAAGTAAATATTGGGTGACTTACCTGGGGCCAAATATGCATAACCAGTCTCACTACCACTAAATCCATATTCCGTCTGCCATACGCGGGGGAACGCGATGTAAATAGAAGAAAGGCCAGCAAAGTTGAATGCCGACGCGACACTAACGATGCCATTTGGTACAAACAGAAGAATTTTTAGAAAACCTTTGACCGTTGGCCGCGGTGGCTTCGGAAATTCGCCATCCTCCACGACTGGCTTTTGGCGAAGCCGAGGTCTGACAATCCAGCTCTTAGCTGCGTAGATACTACCATTGCCAACAAGACATCGCAGCGTCTCTGGGAGGAAGAACAGAATGAGGACGTAGACCGGGAAGCAAGCGACAGCTGTCGAGACCAGTAAGCCTTCTAATATTCGCGAGCCCCCTTTTACCTCGTCACTTACAGAGAAACCCGAAAATCCACCTCCATCGGCTTTCGTCAGAAAATTGCCCTCCAATCAATGGACCCAAAAGTGGACCCAATTGCGGCCCTAGAAGAAATATGCCCATCCTAGAGGCTCGTTTCGCTGGCTCAGTGACGTCGGCTACCGTACCCGCGCCTACGGAAGTGACCATAGAGGCTCCCAAAGCCTGGATGCAATTTGTCAATGGTAGCTCCTAAAATTCAGAACTAGATTTGAAACATACCTGGAAAACTCTGAGTGTGAACAAAGCGCCCAAATTTGGCGGAAGTGCTGCCAATAATGCATTCGCCCCGAGGAATAGAGCCAAGGAGACAATGTAGATGGTCTTTCTTCCTCCGTAGTCACTTGCTGCAGCTCCGAAAAGTGGAGCAATCCCAAAAATGGCCCAGTAAACAGTTACGGAGGCATTAATGACTCTACTAGTTGTGTGGAAGATTTTCTCAAAGAGGATCAAACTGGGGAGATAAACTGCTCCGCAAATTGGGGAAAAGAAGCCAGCGGCAGTCGCAATCAATACAATAAAGAGTTGCCGTGACCGAGGAAAGGCTGTATACGGGGGCGGAGCAGCACTCTCTAGCTCCTGCGAGACAGAAGAACCCTCACCGCCTTCGACATCTATGGCTGTCGCAGCTTCCTTGATGGCAAGATCTGAAGAGCTACTCGAGATACCATCGCGCGAAATGTCTGATGCGACAGCATCCCTCTGAGAGGCCATAATAATGTTGGGGGGGAGAATTTCCGCGAAGTCAGTTGCAAGAAAATCAAGGATCAAAGATGGGACATTATCAAACTTAGAAAAAGAAGGCAACCGAGGATAGAAGGGATCCCAAAAACTCTCAGGCGTGACCTCGGCCATAAGCAAAGGCAAAAGATAATCCCAAAGCTTATGCCCGCTCCACTGAACATGCACATTGTGCGTACACCGAGTGGTCTGCTTGGGCCTTCCAAGGATCAACGTTGGGACAGAGTACACGGCGCACGGCTGCAGGAATGCCAGTGACCGGAATGAGTGATATGCAAGTTCGTGATCGGCAATGCGCACATTCCTCCTTCCGTCGCTACCCAACCAAGAACAAACATCTTGTTCTCGTGTTTTATTGTCCATTCGGCATAGTTAGCTCGTTGCTAGAGGGTTCTGTCCCGCATTAGGTGACATGTGCGATGCAATGTTTGCTTTTTGTTAGTGGGTACTGGCCCATTTGTTCCAAAACTGTCTATTCTGTTACATTCACTCCTCAGCAAGATGAATACGACAAGACACACAGTGGGCGCTTCAGCAGTGGCTTAGGAGACTAAATTTATACGAAGAAGTGAAGTAGAATCAGCATTTTTGGCGCCCCTCAGACGACTTCCTTTCAGGTAACGCCGGAGGAAGTAATCGGTTCCAGGTTTGCATCATACTCTTGAAGGATGCTTTCCAGCTTGCTTAGACATATTCCTGGGTGGTGGCGATCCCCTAAGACGGCTTTCAATTCCAGCGTGCTCAGAGACAGTCCGGTCAGCTTCACAGGGAGGCGATTACCCCAGCCCAAGGAACAGAGCATGTTGGTCAGTGCTACATGAACCTCCCGTCTCTTATGTCTTCCCCTCAATCACTCGTTATTAAAGAGGGGCATACGCCGAGAAACTGAGCTCTGTAACTTAGTTTTCGTCGAACGTCATTGGCATTCTCTTCACACCAGCATTGAGTAATTGATTCGATTCCCTAATGGCATCCTTAAACATCGGATTGTCAACCTACCATTCTATCCAAGGACTGTTCTGTCGAAACAAAGACGAGAAGCTCCTGAGCATCGAAGGTCGCTTTCGGGTCCAAATCGCCAACTCCTGGTCCAGTCTCCGGAAACAGGCTAAAGCAAACACAACCAAGTCCAGCACCTTGCCAGGGGAGTACTGTGTCGAGACCACCAACGTGGATATAACATGGTGTGCCAATTCTTCCTCTAAATTGTTTCCAACAGACCATGCTCATGTTATCCGGGAAATATTCCATACCAGCAAGCAATGTTACGTAGGTCTTATAAGCTGCCAGCCTATTACGAGCGAGCATCAAGCACTTGCATTTCGTGAGTGGATTGAGATCTTTTTCCTCTTAAATACTTCCCTCTGCCCTGAATTACGCGGAGAACCCCAGCATGACATAGAGGCCCACAACTTAGCTGAGAGGATTACCAAATTATTCGAAGATTCAATCCGGAATACTGCAGCATCGGACGAATGGATGGTCGAGGGTCGACATCTTTTCTTCCGCCAGGTGTTGAGTTTTATACTCCGAAATGAAAGGCTACAGTTTGGTCTCCCCGCCTTCCCTTGCAAATCTCCAAATACTCGTAAGGTGGGAGGAAGTTATCCAGACATGGCGGAACGGATTGCTCTCGAGACGCTTCGCACATTCACCCGAGATATACAAACTATTTACTCGCCTGGGGCGACACTCTGGATCATCAGCGATGGTCATGTCTTCGCAGACTGTAGTAAGTAGACTACTCTATCTTTTTGCCCACTGCTGACAAAACTGGACATAGTCGGCGTAAATGACGACATGGTCTCAATATACGACGAAAACCTCAAGCAAGCATACCAGAGCATGTTCGACTCGAGAGAAGACCGTGAGGCAATCCGTTTTCAAGGTCTGAATGACATGCTTCAGCTGAACGGCGGCTCTATGCACCCCTTTTCTCATAATTGGACTGAAAATATGGACGTCTCCCATCCAATTGAGACGAATCGTAGCAAAGATGCTGAGCTCTCACGCAAAGTCATGATGGCAGCCTGTGGCATTAGCAAAGACCACTTGCGCAAGCTGATATCTGCACAAGATCCGGCTGTCCTGCAGTTGTACCGAGGCCAATCTCGCTTTATGCTGGATGACTTAGCGACACCAGAGTTTTGCGTGAAGTCAACGAAGCAGAAAAAGAAGATTGCGAGTGCTGTTGCTGCGGAAATGATAGCACGGAACCAGGCATATTCTAACCTGTTGGAATTGCTACTACCGAACTACATTCGCTTATCCATTCACGCCCACTCAAATCGAGGACCAAAATTTGGCATCCGCCTCTTCCCCATTCATCGAGTACGTGCCATTGACTCGGTCGATAATCGACACGAACTAGTACCGGCATATGAGTTTCAGCTTCCGACGCCGTGGCACAATTGCATCATAAAAGTGGACGGAGACAAGATGCTCTACCTGGGGAAGGCAGAAATAGCCCGAGAGGCCATTGCAAATGGAGAATATCAGGGTGCATGGGTGGATGGGCCAGGGGGGGGCCACTTCGCACTCCATTCCAAACGAACCGAACTTTTGGAATACAAGACGATCTCAGAGAGCACAACAGAGATTGTGGAAGTCCCCGCGAATGATCTTTCAAAAAACCGAACAACACATTCGTTCCACATATGGTGGTTCTACCCTTTTGTCGCTTCTTCGATACGATTCGTTCATCGCATTATTCGAATGCTGACAGGAAATGGTTTCTCGTGGGAAGGGTCCATTAAGGCTGATGTGCATGTTCCATAACTGACGTTCACCCTATTTACAAATTTAGCGACTCGCGTTTGCTTGAAAATTGTTGAGCATATCAAAGCATCAGCTGGGATAGGTAGTAAGCTTACATGGTACAACACGACATTGGGAGTTAAATCCTATGGTCTCTTTTTTTCTTCGGCGTGTCAGATTAGGCAAAAAGTTCATTAATACTAAGACTGCAACGATATTGCCTAGCCCTCGATCTAATTTGCCTTTCTGTGGGGCTATGCTATGGGTAGGATACGAATTCCCATGGGGAGCGTTTTTGATAGGATTCCTGTGTTCATGGTAAGCAATATATTCTGGGCAGAACTGGGAACAGAGAAGGTATTGGCGGCCTTCGTATTTAACGTTCTCGCATCATCCGCCTTCCGTATCCAGATGTAGGGGAACAAGGGTTGGTTCAGACAGGAGCTGAGCAGCATCAAACCCTAAGATGATCGCTACTTATTCGCACATTGCCACTCAAATGAAGCTTACAGAATTTACCTATAGTATCCATATGCCATATGACATAGATGACATTAGAAGTGAAGAACAAGGGCTCGGGCTTCAATGGTATCACAAATACTCTAGTGCAAGACCCATCCTATCATGACCGGAAATAGGCGCCGCGACACGCGTGTAAACCGCCCCAATTCGATTGTCACGACTAAACACTGACACTTGGGGAAAGTTTGCTCTCCAAAGCCCAGAACTTGGCAATACGTGGCTGCCGGGATGAGGCACACCCGTGTTCTCACGTTGCATTGAGCACACTAGAGCCGTTTTACTCCACATATCTGTAATTTAGCGAAACGTAGCTGGTGGGCCAGGGTGCCACGCGCGAATAGTCCAGAGCTGATCGCAGAATGGTGGCGGCGTCGAGCGTTTCGTTCACTCAGACCGGATCTCGGGCCCCCATATACACACGGCTCGGGATACCTTCATCTGTCTGCGCGGACTATGTCTAAGGTAGTCCGAGAGAAATGGTCTCGAAATACCTTCCGCGGCATGCAACGAACATCGCTGTCTCTAGGCCTAACGAATAATACTAGGGTGTCTACCTCCTCTCTTTGTGTAAGCGGCTGTATGTAGCCTGCCGTGGGAGAGGAAGGCCGAAGAATTAGGCGAAATGTGGTCTCACCAGATCCCATAATATAACGAATGAAATATAGATTGCAAAAACCTTCTATTCAGTAAATAGGCCTTTCCTCAAATAAGAAATACCCACGTGGGCCAACTTCATCTCTCAGCTTTCCATGGCCTCCAGTTTCTTAAACTGCAACCTCAACATCTTGGGCATCAGCGGACCCGCCTGCTTCTATGTTAGTAAAATTCCAGTTCTAGGTCGTGCAGATGCTCACCGGTGTCATTTTCTTAGGCCAAGTTGGATCGAGTTGCCATTCCAAATTCCGCAGAAACATCGACATTGAGAGACGAGCTCCTGTCATTGCGAATTTGATGCCGAGACATGTCCTCTTGCCACCGTGAAAGCTAATAAATGTCGATTTGCTGCTTGCTCTTCGAAACAACGAGTTGATGTCTTCTATTGTCTCACCCCACCGTGATGGGCGAAATTCCTCTGCATCTGGGCCCCAAAATTCCTTATCTCTGTTTGTGGTGTAGCCATTGTATCCGACGTAGGTGCCAGCTTGGAGGAGAATGTTGTCACCAAGAAGAACATCTTCGGTTGTGCGTCGATTGAGCAGCTGGGAGATGGGGGGATACAAGCGTAGTGTTTCGTAGATGACCGAAGTTAGAAGGGGCAAATTAGCGAGAGCGGAGGCACTAAGCTGGTCTTCGGGTGAAAGATCGAGGATTTTTTGTCGTAGTTGTACTTGCAGGTCCTATCGCCAGTTTGGATCAGGCGTTGAGAGAAAGAATTTAGATAAAAGTAGGCATACCTGGTGTTCTGCAAGCATTCTCATCATGGACAGAAGCAGAATTTGAGGATTTTCGTGGCCAGCCAGGAACGTAGAGACGCAATTCTGTTCAAAGTGGTAACGGTTTCTGCTAAGGGGTTAACTCCTGCAAAAGATTCGTTTATGTGGGAGGGGCTCACAAAATTCCAGTCTCATACGCGGTAACCAGCCTGCAACCCAAATGACTAGAGTCCATTCCTTCCGGGTGTTTGTGATGGTGGCCTGAAAGAACAATGTTTGCAAGCTCTGCTTTAAACTTTCTCACCAAACGACGAGCTTCTTCACGACTCGCGATCTTGAAGTGATCTAGCATTGGGAAGTTAAGGTAGAAGGGATTGAAAATATGCGGCTTAATCTCAGTTTGGAGTTTCGTCATAGGGGCTTCTGGGTTTCCAATAGTCTTCAATCCGGTTAATGCGGATATGTTGAGGGTATGGATTAGGCACTTACGTTGAAGCTAGATCCAAGTAAAGCTTCGCTAAGGTTTGCCAGCGTGTACTGTTGAAGGGGACTCGACATGATCACTGCCCCTTTCCGTGCCTGCTCATCGAGCAACAATTTTATTAGTTTTTCGGCATTCTTGACGATAATGGTTGTATCCACGTCGGCTTGAAGCCCGGGTTTGACAATGTATGAAAATCTTTTCCAATTCTCGCCGATAGAACTGATGATATTCTCTCCTGTATATAAAGCCAAGACTGAATGTGGGTTCTTGACATGGTTGCCGGCCTTCAGAAAGACATCGTCCTGTTTAAAAACTTGCGCGATGTAGGTCGGGCGAGTAATAAGAACATTCCATGCCCCCCCGAAGTATATTTTGACAGCACCGTGTTCGGTAAGGGGCTTCTTCAGGTATTTGTGCCAAAGCCCCTCTTGGTCCACCTCTTTGAGGAGTGGGAGGAGCGTGTAATAAAATGGAATTGTTGGCACATTTTTTGGAAAATGTGCGGGAGGAACCACGTAACCAGCCACAACTCTGTAGCTGCCCCAAGTAATGATGAATAGGAGGAAAACAACAGCCACGACGAGATAAAACATTATCGAATGTTCAGAAGAGGGTTCGATGGGGAGAGATTTAGCGCAATTGTGAGTACAGGATCTTACTCAATTTTATTTAGACCAGTTTAGGGTATAAGAAGGCGTCATATTGGTAGAAGCCACCAACGGTTATCTTGGCGGTGTGTTGGAATAATCTTCAAAGTTTGCTACGCGATTCCAAGGGTGGTGTCACAACTATTCCGGTCTAGTATGCTTTCATTAGCTAGTGTGACCCATGCGCCAGGTCCCAACACGAACACCCCTGGATTGCTTGCGCATCTCCACGAACCTCGGGTCCATCCCGTCCTTCTCCGACAGGGATGTTATGGACGGTCCCGCTCGCTGTGAGATGCATATGCGCCAAGACATGTTCATGCAGGTTGCAGGTTGACCTTTGCTGCTGATGTTGGCCTCCTCGCTTCTCATTGCGACGGGTGTACCATGTGCTGACCATCGGTCCACCCGGCTCAACCATGAGGACAAGCCATGCAAGCAGCAACCTTTCTTTCGGCTCTTGCTTAAAATCCTCGCAGCATTTCAGGGCGTTTCAGTCAACATAAGATACCTACAGCCAATCCACAGCCAGATCTTCTAATTGACGTCTCATTCTTCTGTTTCTAATATGTCCCCAAGTCAAATTATCGACCCAACTGGTCAGGCCCATGACCAAACAATCGAAGGGACCACTCTAATCGGCGACGCCTCGAAGTCACCAAAGACGGGATTCGTTCAGATTACATCTGCCGAAGTTACTGCTGTTTCCGATCCGGAGTCCCCCTCAGAGAACTCCGGTTCTAGCTTGGGGATTCCCGATCTAGAGGGGAGCGAGAAACTGGCAGCCAGCTCGCTGGCAATTCCAGATGAGCAAAATAATGAACCAGAACCGATCGAGGCAACCACCACCAAGATCCTCAGGGTAATCGAGACCTATAGCCTCAACTTCGAGAGAAGCGACGAGTCTTGGGGTGGCCTGACCACTTTCGTCCCGACGGTGACAAAGCAGGTTGCACAAGGACAACCTATCAAACTACTTCTTCCAGGGTTCCCATTCAAATCACCGAACTCAAAGGACAAGGTACTTGGTGTCTTGCCTGACCTCGGAGAAGAGCTTGCACTCGCTCATCTCGACAGCCTTTGCAAAAATGTTACGGCTGTCTACGAGCATGGGGCAGAAGTTCATATTTGCTCAGATGGGCTTGTGTACAACGGTAAGCTTATTTCCATGGAGAGGTCGCAAAATCCATGTGCTAATATCACTAGATCTTCTTGGAGTTCCTGATGAGACCGTCTGGGAGTATGGAGAAGCGCTACGACAAATTGCTGTAAAGAACGACCTGCACAATCTCAAGTTTATTCGACTTTGGGATTTACTCGATCATCCCGGATTATGGAACAAGGATTATTATGTCACACACGCTTCTTGCATTCGTCGTGAACTCGCCTATCGATATCAGGACCTCGACTTCGAAGCCGACATGGCCACAAAATCCGACGAAGACGTCCACATGACCCATCGCAGCTACATCGAGCTTCTTGGCAAAGACCTTGCTCTTAGGGAAGATTTTCAATCTCTCTCACCAGAAGCAAAAGCTTCGGCGATTTGTTCGATCGCTAAGAGCATGATGGGTCGCTGGAAGGCATTTGCTGCTGCCTTGGAAGCCAATCGAAAAGAATACATACGGTTATCCATCCACGACTCGACCGGCAAAGGGAAGCTTTCAATGTCACTTCTCCCTCAAGGAAGAGGCGCTCTTGGATTCACCCCTTGGCACTCGTCCGTTTCCGTCGAACTAGACGGATCCTATCGTACGGTGCATGCTAGCGATGTGCGCGACTCGCACACCCTTGTCTATAAAAATGGACGTCCTCACTGCTTCCGCGCAAAATCTGACCTTTTCAATTGGCCGTTGGACGGCTTAGGGATTGAAATCGAGCACCTTTACCCCTGCGGTATGATTATTCGCCCCGTTGGAGTTCATGACAGTAGTTCTGCCCCTTCAATTCGTGCCATTCCAATGCGCAAAGTACGACAATTATCTCACACGTTCTCCCCAATTGTGCTTCGAGGATTTAGCGAATCTATGGACGAGGAATTATACGTCCGAAAAGGGCATGAACTGGGTAAGATCTTGGAATGGACGTTTGGAATCATCATGAAAGTAAAGGACTCGGGAGAGACAAACAAGGAGGCCAACAACGTCACCTCTAACGAAGCTCTGCCGATGCATTTCGATGGAATCTTCAAGTTCATTGACAAAATCGATCCCAAGACAGGGAAAATGGTGAAGCAGCTAGCCCCCCCCGGATACCAGTACTTCACCTGTATTTCCACCGCGCCGAAGGGAGATGGTTATACGCTCTTCTGCAACTCACGACTCTTCTTCCGCTACTTAGCGCCTCCGTGGTCTCTTGAGCGCTTGGAGCCAGTCACCTGGCATATGGTGAATGATGGCTTTTGGAGCGCGAAGCAGACGGGTCTTCCTCTCGTCATACGGCACCCGTATACTAATGCGCCATGTATACGATGGCATGAACCCTGGACTAAGACTAAGTTTTCGAAATACATCGTCACCATTGAGAACGAGGATCAGGAGCTTGTAGAGGTTGCCAGAAATCTGGTCTACGATTATCGTACTTGCTTGCGGTTTACGTGGGAAAAAGGCGACCTTCTTGTAAATGACAATGTCACGATGTTACACACACGCACCGCGTATGCATCCGAATGCGACCGAGAGATCTGGCGGATTCATTTTGATTAAGTAGGCCTCTGTATTTCCAATTACATTCTACTTTTTTACTCCTTTGATAATCTCTTTTAACTTCTGACTCGCCGCCACATCAATGAACTCAACCGACTTGGCCACTTTCTTCCCATCCTCACTCATCGTCAAAAACCAGATTAAATCATTCTCAACAACCACCTCCGCCCCTTTTGCACGCATATAATAACTCCCTCTCACCATAGCCATCAGCCTCAGCTCATCAATCATGATATCTGTAATCTCTGTATCCCAAGATTCAAGATGGGGAAGCATGGTGCTGAGGTGCGCAATGAATCCATCAACATCCAGAACGCTGGATAATCCTGGCTTTGTGGAAACGAGGTAGTTGTGTCCCCAGCTGTGTTGGAAACCGGATTCAGCGCGAATTGCGCGGATCCGGTCATTGTTCATGCAGGTGGGGGTAGAGACGTCCTGGTCTTGGGAGCGGATGAATTCGATGGCGGTGGAGTGAAGGGTTTTGTACATAGTGGAAGCGGAAGAGGGAAGGTTTGTGGCAGCCATGAGTGTTTTGATTTTGTGGACGATGGAATGTGGTGTTGTAGCTTTTCGACGAAGATGAAAGGTGAGTTGCTGTTTTCGGATCCCCACATTCTAGATTGACTGGATCATAAGCTCCAACGCTTGTCAGCATCGCGGGGTTGCACGGCAGGTGGAAAGTCTCCGCGAACGGTGGGTAAGTTTTTGTCGATGTGTTCATGCGAAAAGGTATAATTTCAAGACATGAACTTCCTCCTATCTACACATCCGAGAGAAATACACCGCAGAAACTTTCATCGCATACTCTTCACAGCAATACTCTGACTGTTTGCACCACTCATCACCACTCGACGGCCACTTCCACCCGAAATATCCTTCCAGTTTCATAAGTCCACCTTTAAAAATCCTTGAACACCTGGGCGGCCGCTGCTGCATCCCATTGGGATGTAGAACAATTGTCTGCAGTTTGCTTCCCATATCAATTAACATTAACTTAAGGCCGTGACATGGCATGACCACACCATCTCTTAATGTGTGAGAGCATGAAGCGTTGGACATATACTTTTAATCCATGTTGGGTATCACCATATGCTTTTTAGAGATTTTCAACGCGACGATCTTGAAGGAATATTGAAAAGCGAAAAGAGAGGGGGGATGTTATAACCACACACTGGAACGAAGCCCACATTTCAAACTGCAAGGAACTGCCAGCAACGCTTAAAGATGGTGGTTTTCACTCATTTCACTCTTGAGGTAGCAATACATGCTTGGAGACATTGTTGCGACGCACACTTCTCAAAAAAGTCTCTTCTCATACATCTTCAATGGCTTAAATTTTTTTTTCACTCCAATTTCATTATCATAAACTTTCCCTCACCCTGTTTTCAATGTTCAAGCGTCGCGATTTTCAACACCAAATGCTATCCCGATGCTTGTCTCTATTTTTGCAAACTGGGACTCCGCATGCAGTTTGTGCAGTGCAGATTTTTCAATCCATGCAAAAGTTAGAGTGCGGGTTTTAGTCTCATTGAGAGTGTTGGGGGACGTTGTTGTGAGAAAGAAGTGAAGGAAAACGGAACGATTATATATCCCCACTGGAGAGAAGACACGTGATAACTAAGACTGCCTTGCCATTTTTGGGACCGAGATCTGTTGTTTTAGGATCATCAAGGAGCGGAAATACAGCACTCCTTTTGCAGTCATTTGACATGACTCCCAGGAACGACTAGCCACTCCACCCGCCGCATGTGCTCGTCTTATCAAATTTTCTTCACCCGCACTGAGTATTGTTGCAAATACAGGCTGTGTGAGCATGCGGCTATGTAAGAAGCTGATGAAGTGAAGTGCATTGTGAAGTGTGTTGTGCAGTGTGTTGTGAAGTGTTCTGCTGCAGAGTATTTATTTACATCTATGACGGCAGGGGCAGTAAGGGCCATAGCAATGGCCCAGGAGTCATAGTAAAGGCAGTAGGGGCTATAATAAAAGCAGTAGGTGCCATAGTGAAGGTAGTAGGTGCTATAGTAAAGGCCGTAGGAGCCGTTGTGGCTCGGGGGAGGAAGATTTCCGTATCAAGCATGCGACAAGTATTGAGCTAGCTTTAACAGTCCATGCCATGTATCTAGATTAATCGAAACATCGACGCGACTCTAAGGCCCGTCTGACAAACATGGAATTATTTTGCTTCTTTTTAAGAGATTCTCCATCAAGAGCTCATGCGTGCACTTCGGGGCGAATTTTGTACTGGTGTGCTAGAGCTAGTCTCTAAAGCCGGCAACCATGAATAGGATATGTCCTGTTTTTGTGCGAGACAGCAACGCACATCACCTCGCGTACTTAGCTATTAAAGACTAAAGGTGGTAGGTAAAGTGAAGAGAAAGCGGACGCTCTCCATATCTGACTGGGTTGCTACTGGATGATATATCACGTGCACATGCCCACCTGCACGAATCTGATGTCAGTACTTGGGCCAAAGTAGAGCCGTTCACCAGGGGAAGTAACAGAGAGCGAACGATCTCTCTCTCTCTCTCAAAAAAGGGAAAAGTCCCTTCAATTTCAAAACTTTTATATACAAGAACCAATATCCTCCCTCCAAATGCTAGTCTATTCCAGACGCCAAATTCCACTAATCAGGCCTCTTCCCATCCGCCCAACTTGGCGCCACACCCCCACAAACCCTAACATAAGCATCCCACCTCGTCATATCTCCCTTCCACCCTTTCTCCGAATCCTCACCCCTCTTCCTCGCGTCCTCCAATGACTTTTGCCGCTCTGCCCACTCTTCCACAACGCCCTCCGTCGTCCAGAACATAGTCCACTGTCCACCCGGTAAATTCCACATCCCGACCGCCCGCTCAAAATACCACTTATTCACGGGATTGCTGGATCTACTGCGCCAGACGAGACCGTGCGGAAAACAGCTGCGAGTAAGAGCGCCCCAGACAATATCTGCGACCCCGCCAGAACCTTGTGAGCTTGTTAGCACGGCGAATTTGTCGAGGTAGGGTATCCACACTGGGGAGTCGGGAGGTAGGGTGGATGTATTAATATGAGTCTTAGATTCGGAACTGGGAAGAGGAGGGGGGGTTTCCCAAGTACAAATCGCACCACCCTCGTAGTTCCCAGCAATGATGATGCCGGCTACTCGACCACGGATGCGGTCGAGGTAGTGTTTTACGTCGAGCTTCCGGCGGAAGGAATCATCGATGAGATCTACAAGTTTTGGGAAATTGACTTGGGGATCATTTTCAAGCTCGATGCTCGGGTTCTCGAGTGAGGGTGGTTGCCAAGGGCCGGAGATACGAGGATCAGGTATCATTGTTACGGGAATGCCCTTTTTGAGGAAGGTCGGGGGGTTTGGGGCAGTTGATGCGACAGGTCGGGTGACAAATGGAGCCGGCAGAGACGATGAGACCATGGGTTTGTCGGTCAGTAGGTTATGGATGAGAGGATTCTTTGAGCGTCGCGTTCGAACTTCAGTGGGCGGTTTTGATATTACGGAAGTCTGAGATGATGCAGCCGCCTCGGTAGGAGTAATGATAAGAGCGGACGACGATGGAGGAAGAAGTTTGAGGGCTCGTTGGACCACGTCAAGATTCCGCATGTGACGATTGAAGAGCGATTTCCCTGGAAGGTGTTTCGTGAGATAGGTTGCCAAGGAAGGAATTTCGGATTCAGCAAACTTCGAAATTGGGTTGCTGTCGCCTGATGGACTGTGAGAGTCTTTTCGTTTACTTCCTGAGAACGTTGAAGAGAATCGTTTCAAGTCATTCTTTACATCCCTGTATTCCGCTTCCAAATTGATGAAAACATGTGCACCATCGATCCTGTTTTCATGAGGGATACCTCCTCGCGGATCGAGGATGATGATTCGATCTAATATAGGTTTATCCGTGATTGGTTTTGACTTTTGATAGAGCTTCTCGCACATCTTGTCGGGCTCGCTCTCCTCAACCTTCTGAGCAGTGATGCCGGCGAATTTGCGGGTCAACGCTAGAACCACGTCATCGGGGTCTACCCTAACCTTCCTCACATCCGCATCGTAAGCGATTGACGGTAAGACAGGAATAATGCCCTCTTCTATTAGGGGAAGCAACAAATAATCACTCTTCACCTCAACGCCACCTTGAACCTGGACCGTGCTGGGAACGGGGGTGTCGATGTTGGAAATGGATAAGGCATGGTCTATCTCAAAGACTCCAGGCTCATTGAATTCCGCTAGTGCGTCGACAATTCGAGATATCTGCTCCCGAACAGTCTGTTCCCAGGCAGGCGATAGGACTAAGGGGGCCTCAGGCGCATCCTCATCGCAATCCACCACTACAGCAATATTCATTCCTAGTCGCACCATCTGGCTAAGTGTGAGGGCAATTCCTCGCAGCTTCTCATCATCCAGCTCCTGTGGCTGCCGTAGCTTGACCAACGCAATATGCAGGGGCTCGACATTCTCGGGTATTAGTTCCTTAGTTAGCGACTGCTGAATAAACACTGGGCTTTCCTGTATAGCCTTTGCTGGCTCGTATAGATTTCCCAGATTGACTCCTGCCGGATCCAGTCTCCTCGTACTATGGTGTGCCTGCCCCACGAAGTCGCTCACTACTCGCTCGACTCCGGGAGCAGCAATGAGCTCAACTTTCTTCGGGGTGTCGAAGTGCTTTAGAAAGTTACGCGCGTCGCGTTTACCAGGTGACTCTTTCAGTGACTTGATCAATTGATCGCGTTCGGCGCGTTGTCTCTCCTTAGCGGAGCTGTATCTCGCATTGCGGGGTGGTTCGGTACCGGAGTTAAGGGAAGGCGCGGTCGTAGAAAATGGTAGCATGTGAGGGAGCTCATTAAGCTTACAAATGCCATCATATTTGGGGAGAGCCTTAAAGCAGAATTTGTAAGAGAGGTCCTTTGTGAATATCCTAGTGGTGTGAGTCAAGCACGCACTCACCTTCACGGTCGTCCTCCCCAAGCCCCGACACTGGGCTTTCTGGCAGACGATCATGCTTCATAATAGACTGAAGTATGAGAGAATTGGCATTGGGCGACTCGGGGCCATTGAGGCCTTCTTATGATTGCATTGTGGTGTGCTTTGTGCTTGCTTGTGAATATGCAGGGTGCAAGCTTCTCAGCTCAGGTGGAGCTAAAAAACCAGGGTTAATCGATAAGACGTCACATTAGCCGACATCGGCCCGAGAGCTAATCGATAAGACCATAAATCCGGGCTGCTTCCGTGATGTCATAAGCGCAAACCCCCGAATGTGCACAGTATATCAGCATAATTGTCCACCACTTGAAGCAGCCTACTTCCAATCTCAATTATTGAATCAAGATCGCCAACTCCGAAATGGCACCACAACTAGCATGGCTTGGCCTCGGCAATATGGGCAGGGTAAGTTGCTGGGCCAAGCACGCCTCTCCCGTGTCTCCCCGCTCATGTCAACGTTTCAGGGCATGTGCAAGAACCTGGTGGAAAAAGGAAATCTAGACAAGCCTTTGATCCTGTGGAACCGCACCACGAAGCGGGCAGATGACTTCTCAGCCAAGCTTAGAAACGACAAGACCAAGGTTTTTGGCAGCATTGACGAAGCTGCGAAGAGTGCGGATATCATCTTCATCTGTCTTGGTGACGATGCATCTGTTAGTGGTGCTGTCGATGCCATTCTGCAGCAAGATGTGAAAGGAAAGCTCATCGTGGACTGCTCGACCGTACATCCAGATACAACCAATGCGCTGGAGAAGCGAATCATGGCTAAGGGCGGGGAATTTGTGGGAATGCCAGGTAGATTTCATATTTCCATCATTCCCATATCCAAGCTAAACTTGACTTAGTATTCGGCGCCCCAGCAATGGCAGATTCTGGAAGTCTAGTCTGTGTGATCGCTGGCCAAAAAGCCGCTGTCGACAAAGTAAAACCCTACACCAAAGGCGTCATGGGCCGTGCCGACATCGATTTCGTCGACCAACCTGCAGGTAACTCTACACTCCTCAAAGTAATCGGTAACACCTTTGTCCTCAACATGGTCGAAGCCCTCTCCGAAGGGCACACTCTGGCCGAGAAAACCGGTCTCGGAACTGACAACCTGCATCGCTGGATCGAAGCCATGTTCCCTGGTCCCTATGCCGCGTACTCCGCACGCATGTTGGCGGGAGACTACTACCAGCGGGAGGAACCACTGTTCCATGTAGATCTGGCGAGGAAGGATGCTAGACATGCGATGGCCTTGGCGGAGAAGACGGGGACGAATATGCCGGCGCTGAAGGTCGGTGATGCGCATCTAGTGAAGGTCAAGGAGCATCTTGGGGATAGAGGAGATATTCCGAGTATATATGGTGCTGTAAGACAGGAGAGTGGACTCAAATTTGAGAACAAAGATTGATGGCAAATGGGAGATAATCCTCATTGCTCTCATGAGAGCATGCTGGATCCGGCCCAAGAAGGATAGGAAAGGGACTAGCCTACGCCGACACTATGAGGAATATAGACAACCACATCTTTGGCCTACTTATTTCTACATTAGAATAAATACTATTTCTACCTCATCCACATTAAAAGATTCCATGGGGGGATATTGAGGTGGTGAAGATGCTGCTAGACATAGGTGAAGATTTCAACGCTATAGGGGGTAGATACGACCATACCCTCCAAGCAGCAGCAGCGGCACAATGGGCCAATACCAAAGTGGTGAAGATATAGCTAGACAAAGGCGCAGATATCAATGCTCAAGGTGGTGAATACGGCAATGCCCTCCAAGCAGCAATACAACAAGGGAATAGCGAAGTGATTCTGCTGCTCCTAGACAAGGGAGAGAACATCAACTCTCAAGGAGGTGAATACGGTAATGCCCTTCAAGCAGCTGCTGAGCACAACGGGGAAATTCCGAAGTGGTGAAGCTGCTGCTGGGCAAGGGCGCCCATGTCAACGCTAAAGGCGGTAGATTTGACAATGCCATCCAAACAGCAGCAGTAGCATAGTGGACGAATATCAAAGTGGTGAAAATGCTGCTAGACAAAGGTGCTGGCATCAACGCTCAAAGTGGTGGATACGGCAATGCACTCCAAGCAGCAATACCACGGCGGAATGTCGCAGTGGTGAAGATGCTACTGGAAAACAGCTCCCGAGAGCCAGATGTTGATTACCACATCTCCTTTAAGCGCTCACTCGCACCTACTATCTTAGATTTCATCAAGAGACTTACCGAAGAGCTGGCTGTTCGCTTTCATAGTGGCCTCTGTCTGAACCAGAGGAACTCAAAACAGGTTACTCTCCTAATTTATGATTAGGCTATGCTGGTAGGCATCATAAAGGGAGGCTCACACTTTTATGATGATATTCTACATTTGCGGACAAACTATTTCCGCGACTTGTAGTTGCCCGTACTGATACAGAGAGCCCGAAATGGTTGGAATCTAAGCGAGAAGCTGCCTCCCTCAACGAAGCGACTCTGATGCGTCTTCTATCTTGTACTTCGCCTCTCCCGAAGATAATAGAAGACCTGGATCGAGCCCATTAGATCAAAATGAAAGAGCTCCAGGAGACATGGGCAATGATGTTGGAGTTGGGGATGGTGGGGAACGCAATTTAGAAAATGGAGGAAAAAGGGACACTGAAGGAGGCTCAAACCAGCCTCAAGCGCATGGTGCCGTTTTCCATTGCGTCGATGTCGGGCTGAATGAAACAAGAGTTCAGACAGTTTCCCCGGGCGTGGCGGACAAAATGATCTTCAAGCCACTAGGAGATGCATATCCCAACTTCCCGCGATGGTGGTGGAAACGAGTTTCCGGAACAAAGTTCTATCGTGCACGTTCTGGTAAGTTTTATTTTCGTTTCATTCCGGATTCTTGCCTTCTCCCATCTGTTCACAAGCTTCCTTCGTAAACAGTCACCGGATCGACACTTCTTCCAGCTCCAAAAAGACAAAGAGCGTTACCCTAACCCCAAGGACCCAGAATACCCAAATTGTCGATTCGACCCACAGCCATAGCCGTCTGAGATGCCTTATCCTGAGCATGAGATCTGCTGGTACTTCTAGCACCCTAAAGACTGTAAGAAGTCGAAAAAGGCGAAAGATATACTACCTATACGCACCAGCGGCGCAATCAAAACGCGTTATATAACTTTCAGGATAAACATTAAAGAGCATTACACACTCTGGGCTGTGATTTTCCTCGTGCTGGTGGCCATGGTCTTTACTCTTAGTGCCACACTGTGTATTTTGCCTATGTGGCTAAGGGACCACCCAGGAGATCTACAGAATGCGACAGTACTAGCGGTGTTTGCTATCGGTGTATTGTCGATTCTTAGCAGTTTTGCTGTCTCACTCTTTTCAGTTCAAATGACGAAGTCTTGACCCTTAAATATGCAGTTTTTCCAGATTACAGGTCCTATTCGTCCGGATAAACCAAGCAGGAGATCATGACAGCGTTCCATCCGCAAAACTATTGGGCCCGATGCTGCTAACGAAGGCAAAGCCAGCACAAAATAGACTCCTGTACAACTTCGGCAAAGTGGGTTACTGCGTAGAGTAATGCTAGGGTTTCCGAAAATTATCTTGCCACAATGTTCTTCAAGGAAGGGAGGAGATATACTGTGGAGATTTATGAAGCTAAATAGTTAACCGATAGCCGCTGGTCTCATCCTATATCTTGAAGAGATGAAGAATAAACTTGTTTGTCGATTCTTAAATAACAGAAGCCTTGCTATACCCTGCTGAGCTATCTGTGAACTTGCATATTTTCCGTAAGCTTGTTGCTACATTGGTAAGCTCCCAATTGTCCATGTGTGGGCTGCACCCTTGCCGTTCGTCAATCTTGGAGTTCCCCGATTCCCATTGAGGGCCTTCTATCACAAGGTCAGTTATGGCGCCGATGGATGATAGAGGAGGGCATATAGAGTTGCGAGTAGTCAATTAGGTTGTGAGATCCAAACTACGTAAATTAAGCCAAGGCGTAAGGAGCGAGAGAGAGCTCTGAGGGGACTCCATAGTGGATAAAACGACGCCATTACTAACAGGATCGGCGCTAGTGCTAAACAGGAAATTGGTATCAGTCAAGGACCAGAATTTACCCTGACGTAGGGTTACGTGAATTAATGTCAGGTGTAATAGAATACACCTTGGAATATTCGACCATTGGATTGATTGGCCGCGTTCTTATTACTGGTACATAATCGTGCGCAGCCAAGATGAATGGGAATATTCATATATCGCGTGCAAAATCAATGTTTTGGAACGGGGCTGTGACTGAAATACGACAGTGGAGATTCGTAGAAGTGGGGTCGGGGGTAGTTCACATGTTTGTGCCGCTTCAGTGACGGATGCTACCAAACATGGTTTAGCGTCCTTCTCGAGTCGACATGAATCATTCTGCATCATCCAAACTAGTTCCAACAAAAACCTTCCGCAAAGCGAGATCCTAGATCATTCCAAAGCGAGTCGGTTTAATCTTCCAAGTGTTGGAGGTCGATCCAGTGAGTTTGTAATGACATCGGTTTTCTTTCCATTTCTCCATATTCAAAAGCCTCGTCTTGCCCCGTACCTGCAAATCACTTGCAGCCCATTCGCGTGCTCAGTCCATTCTTTGACATCTAAAAACCTACGAGTTTCTTATCGCCAAGTATGAGTGGATTGCAGCGCTTAGATCTCCCCCTCGAAATTTTCGGACAGCAGCCAGGACTAAACGGGCTCTACACCCAAATATGCCACTGTTATCCCGTGTCCGATGCCTCGACACATTCCACAATCACTGAGCGTCTACAAACAGGCTTAGGAAAACTCACCGCAAGCTTCCCATGGATCGCAGGTCAAACCATTAATGAATCGGGCACCTTCAAGATCAAGGATTTTGAAAAGACCCCCCGTCTCATTGTCAAAGATTTAAGAAATGACTCCTCCATGCCGACCTACAATGCACTCAAGAAGGCAGAGTTTCCGTTCAGCATGCTGGACGAGAATATCATTTGTCCTCGGAACACGCTACCAGGGATGTCGAACGACTCTACCTCACCAGTATTTTTAGTGCAAGCGACCTTTATCACAGACGGGCTCCTATTGTGCTTTGTCGGTGAGCACAATTGTATGGACATGACAGGCCAAGGCCATATCATTTATCTTTTTTCGAAAGCATGCCGCAACGAATCTTTCACCGATGAAGAGCTAAGAACCGGAAATCTTGACCGCCGAAATATTATCCCGTTACTCGACGACTCATACACCCCCGGCCCGGAATTAGATCGTCAGATCATAAAACCCCTTCCCAAAAGGGCTTGCAAAGGGGTCGGCGAAATTGCGGCAACTCGACCTGTAATTCCGAAGTCTATATGGGCGTACTTCGACTTCTCTAGCGCTTCACTTGCGAAGCTCAAATCGCTCGCCATGGAGACTAAACCATCTGGTGCAGGCTTCGTATCGACCGATGATGCCTTGACCGCTTTCATTTGGCAGGGTGTGTCTCGCGCTCGCCTAGCCCGCTTGAGGCCCACCAAAAAGTCAACATGTGCTCGGGCGATAGATCCACGACGGTATCTTAATATTCCGATGACATATCCAGGACTTGTGCAGAATATGGCATACAATGACTCTACCCTCCAGGAAGTGGCTGGCGAGTCACTGGGGGTCATCGCCGCGCAACTCCGATCTGCCGTGGACCCAAAGACCTCGAATATAGCACATCGGACGAGTGCTCTAGCCACTTTACTCTCTCAAGTGGAAGATAAATCACACATCAATGTGACTGCAAACATGGATTTCTCATCCGACATTATGCTCAGCTCGTGGGCGAAAGTCAATTCCTATGATCTTGACTTTGACCTAGGGTTGGGAAAACCGGAAGCAGTGAGAAGACCGATGTTTACAGGAGTAGAAAGCCTAATATATCTAATGCCGAAGAGAAGAGACGGAGAAAGTGCGGCTGGGATTTGTTTGAGAGAGGAGGATATGGATAGATTGAGGAACGATGAAGAATTTATAAAGTATGGCACATATATTGGATGAAGACAGTCCGTCTTTACTTGAGCATCTTAGAGGTCTCTTTCCATCAGAATTTAAGCTTAATATTCCCTAATGAGTTTCATACAGTCTAGCAGAAGGTTATTTGATCTAGTTTTCATTCATTATAAGTCATCCATACGCCTCTACAATTTACCCTTCACTTAGAATCTCGACCCCCTTTTCAAATATGTACAAACAGAAATAAAAATACCCTTCAGACGTTACCCCAAATGGATCTCCCTGCTCCTTTCATTTCCTGTTTAATACTTCAGGTAGGCCCCCGAAATACTTCCATCCCACTGCACATCATCCCTATCATAAACACCCACGACCTCAATCGGCCACTTCCCAGACGGGCAGGCAAAGCTCTTCACAACCTGTGGATAGCCCGTCTGGTACGTTGCATCGCCACCTTGCGCAACCTTTACCCTCGCAACATGGTTGTTTCTCTGGTTGCCCGGTCCCCAGGAAGTCCTCTCTCCTGGTGCTGCCGCGAGACTGGTGAACACGTCAAGAAGTCCAGAGCCAGAAAGCGTTGCTGCGGACTCGAGGATGAAATGGAGCTCGCAGGTCTTACCCGCAGTGGCAGCGGGCATGTCGAAGGTGATGAGTGTTGTCCAGTCTTGGCCGTTGCCAGTCTTGAGGACTTTGCCTCGCGGAGTATTGAAGTGGATGGCACCTTTGCTGACTTCGTATTGGGAGATGGTGGTTGGCTTGACGATGTTGGGGTCAGCAGGCCAGGGTTTTGGGCTTGCAACCGGAGCCGCGAAAGAGAAGGAGAGGAGACTCGCGAGGGTGATAGTGAGGAGCTGCATTGTAACGGATTTTCCGAGTGTTCTGAATTTGAGGGTTTCAGGAGGAAGTGTAGAATCGGTACTCAGTCGTGATGAGTGTGTATGTATCCAAGTGAGAGTTTAGATGCCTACCTTATATACACATCTCTCCAACACTCAGCCTCCTACCTATTTCCCAACCTGTCCTTCAGCCCTCTATCTCGTCAAACATGTCATACCATCCATCACCCAACCCAAGACTCTCGGCCTTCCTGCAATCATCCCCTTACCCCTCATCTCGAACCTATTTTCCTCTCTTACGACTACGAAAACCACTCATGGTGGGGGCACTGCTCATCACGTTACTCCTCCAAAGAGCCACTCCCATCTCACCACTGACCTTTACCCAAAACTTAACGAATGAGAGCCGACTTTGACCCCGCATTGCCTCTCTTGGATGGAAGAGGCAATGCCACGATGTGGCGCTCAGCTGCGATATGTGGCGTCGCCCTAATCCCCATGCGGCCAGCTGGACTTTATTTTAGGACCAAATCAACCTGGAAGAATCGCCACGTTCATTTTACCAACTGAGTAGTGGGCTATGTTAGACGAACCTACATACTACCATAAGAAATTTGCTATTTGTACTGCTTCATTTCCATCTGGACTCTCATCGGAGAAACCTGCCGCGCAGGGAGTGACATTCCACTAAAGAAAACCGGCGCCGGAAGCGCAAGATCTTGGCTTCGAACAGAACAACTCAGCAAATGTCTCGGCGCCTTCCTCACTCGCGCAATATTTCGATCAGCCTCTTTCACTTAGAAGCATATTGTGTCAAATGTTGTGCGAGGAATGACAGGGGTGGTGAAAACGTGGGTGTCTGCCGTGTTCCCACAAGTCAGCACGTCTACGGCGCGATGTGCTCATTGGGTCTTATTCAGAGTAGGACTCGGCTCTTGGAAGGCCGGTAAGGCATAGTATAGTATTGTCGTAATTCATGTTCAGGTAGCGAATACCTGGTCTATCTTGATTGTCTTCGAGTGCTTCTGCAACACCCCACTCCAACCCATCCTCTGCCATAGGAAGCCGTTATACAATGCAAATGAATCTTGCCACGCTTCATTGGTTAAAAAGAAATTCCATCTCCTTGTTCAGAATCTGCCCTCACAATGTGTGTAAGTCCACCTCGACAATAGGCCCAGTATATTTCTCCTTCGCCAGCACTAGATAGTAGAAGATGCTAAACAGTACTACAAATCCAGTAACCAAAACAGCGTAGTTCATTTGTGTGGCATCCACGGTCCTTGCCCCTGGCCAAAAGCTGAAGAATATGAGGAGGAGCAAGTACGAACATGCGAATATGTTGTTCGCGATCCCGAGGGCGCCTTTCAAGCGCCATGGACCCCACGTCAGACTTGAGTGTATGCTTTCTGACGGTTCTGTCGAGTTGAAGGTGCTTTGATTCGTGGAGTCAGGCTCTCTGATATCGCCGCGGAGACGTCGCCAAAGGAGGAGACCGATCGCTATCAGGTAGGAAATATAGAATCCTTCAAGAACAAGGGAAACAATATCGGCGAAAGCAGTATCGTTCCCTATATTTACGAGAGATAGCAGTGCAGAGAAGACTGTCACTGTCATGATAGCGACAACAGGGATGGTGGTCCGCTTGTCGATCTATTCTCTGCATTAGAACAACCTAAATTGCAGTGAAGAAGAAGACCACGAACCATGCTTAAAATGCGTGAGAAAGGAAGGCCACGATCGCGAGCGAACGACCAGGTCATCCTGGAAGCAGCAGCTAAGCAACCAAGTGCACTACAGAATTCCAGCACAATGATGATACTACTCATAACTGCCGCTCCTCCATTTGATCCGACGGTCTTTGCAAAGACCTGGATGAAAGGAAATTTGTGCTTCTCAGCAAGCTCCATGATATTCGGAGGGGAGCTAAAAAGAACTGCGAAAAGCATACCGAGCGCAAGAAATCCATTTAAAACCAGGCTTATCACCATGGATCGAGCGACGTCAGTGCTGGCATTCTTGACTTCTTCCGACATCTATCAAGAGTTAGCTGGAAATCATTTATATTCATTCACCAGCTTACATGCACAGCCGAATCCGTACCAACGAAAGCTAAAGCATTCCCTTGAATACCGATGAAGAAAGACAAAGCTTTCGTCTGCCATTCGCCGTAGTTATAAAAGGTAGTGAAAACATCCTTGGCAGAGTTATAAGAAGGCGTTAGGTAGACCAAGGGAATGATTATACCAAAGAAGCCGAGTATGTGAACAATCAAGACGAGGACCTCGATCGATGGGAGCGCAGAGCTCATAAATACGTTGATGATGACACAAAGCAAAAGAGTTGCCCAGAGAACCAGAGTTCCATTCCATCCTGTTGGCTCGAATTCTGGAATGCTTAAGGTAACCAAATCTAGAATTAGCTCTGCGACAAAATATGAAGCTGCCGTGAGGCCTGCAATCCAGCCAATTACGGTAAGCCAGCCTAGTATGTCAGCTTCTTTTATTTATTTTTTCCATAGAAGGCGAGGGCTTACCTGTTATGTAACTGAAGAACCTCCTACTCGATAGAGGCGCAAGGAGCGAGACCCAGTGGTACTGTCCCCCAGCAGTGGGAATCATCGAGGATAGTTCACCGATTGCAATAAAAACCGAGAGATTGCCGATCCACACCAGGAAGAAGCCATATATGAGTCCCGCAGGTCCCCCGCTGCTTTGCTCAGCATAAACGAAGGCCGAATGGGAGCGAACTTACTTTTGGAATCCTATGAGGAACACCCTATTGGCTGGTTAATTATTGGAAGAGACCATCTCGAGGCTCCTTACACTAGCAAACTTTCCCAAGTGCACATCAACCCACACGTCAGACCGGTCATGCTCACCAACCCAAATCTCCGCTATTCAAAGTTAGCACAGATGGTTTAGCCAACGCCTGGCGCTAAATACGAACCTTCAAAACTTGTTTCTTTCCAACTCTAGCCAACTCATATTTGTCGCGATCGAAGTCGCTCGCTAACTTTGATTCCAAACCTTTACGTCTGAGATGAAGTACCTCATCATCAAGGGTTTGGAGCTCAATAATTTTATCCATCTGGCTACCTACTACTGGCTATCGAGAAGATATCTCTACAGAATGGTTGGGGTCGGGGAGAAACAAAAATAAAGCGACGATTGTAAAGTTGACGAAATGGAGGGTGCACGTCTTCAACGAGGCAGATATCAAATCAGCAATATGGGAACGACGAAGGACTGAATAGATGGAGGTCTGTGGCACATCACACATGCAATGCAAGCCAACCCTGATATTTATCCCTTTGTGAGGTAAAGTAAACCATGTGCGTCCGGCAACGTCTGATAACATATGAGAAACCAGCGGCATTAGTGGAGTGACCAGGGTAGTCCACGGATCATGGAAGTGATGCTGGCCCGGACTACCCCTCAGTTGGGGAGCAGCAGGCTGTCTGCATCGTATTGCGTTGAAGGTCTCAAGAATTGCGAGGGTGAGAGATGGTTCGTTCATTGCGTCGTACGGTCAGGCTGGCAAGTGCTGCAGACGTGCGGTGGCATGCATCGGAGTATTCCAATGCAGACATATCTTACATGAACAAATCAGATAATTTCCCGCCATCAATGCACTGTCAGTTGGGCGACACCAACATTGTTTTCTAGATGCACAAGTGCTCAGTAGGCTCGGCTTACTAGAAGACTTATGGAATTTCACGAAACTTAGCAGCCTTAGCCGCAGGGAGACTAGAAAAGCGGAATCACATTGTTGAGACTGAGTTAGATGACATCGTGGTACGAAGAGTTGAACGTGTGGGAGGCTGATGAAGCTGCTAGCCGGGGCGATGGCGCGACAGGTTGGCTTGCACTACCGGACTGACATTAGCCCCGAAATGAGTTGTGATACATCAACGAATGTCAAATGAGTGGTTAGGGTAATAGGGATGAGAAAGTGGAGATTCGAGAGCTAAGCTTTTCGTAGTTGACCAGTTACCCAAACAGCGAAGGCCAAGATTTCTCTCCATCCTGAAATCACGTGGGGGATACGCCCACTCCGTGCTTTGAGCTTGTCAAAACAGATGTTGAATTATTGCAATCTAGCTAGCAATGGATTCACATCCCAAACTTAATCTATTTGAATAAAACGTAGTTTGCAGTCGCCCCGAAATTAAGCTCACACTCTGAGTTGACAAGGTGGTTTCCTTCTCCACAGCCTTTCACGCTTTAGCATCCCCAACCACACTCATTTCATCAATACACATCACGAAATCCCCTAACCGAATATCTGCAGCGCATAGGTGACGTAAGTATCCTGCTATGACGGAATGTCACCGAAGTCCTTCCTATAGCAACGTCAACGTCGCTTCGCAGCCGATGCCACGCAGGTCGCATTCATGATATTCAAGGTCCTTATGGAGTTATCCAGACCGCCTCACCGACGCCTTGAACCTCTTTTGGCCATATTTCAACAATCACTTCGTGATTTTCTACATTTCTCTACTTTTCGCTGATAGCTTCGACGTCCACCTTCTCTAAGCCATGTTCTGATACAGTCGCCCAGCCAGTTTCTATCATCCAGCTAGCGGATAAATTTGTTGAGGGGAAATCCGCCTCACAGCTGCTATGAATGTTCCCTCTTCTCCAACTTCGCCTAGATTATCGGTCTATTCAAAATAGCCGAAAATGATATCGCGACAATGCGGGGATGTCAATCCTTCTACTAAAATCAATCTACCGCTTATATACCACAAGCCCAGATGTTCCATATATTGAAAGAGACGAGCCAGCCTTCCAAATGCCACCGATGCATACCACTACAACACCAAACTGCAACGGAGCTTGCGACCATCTCATACCTCAACGCCAGATTAATATTGGAATACTATTTCATGCTACGCCTGATGCACGTAACGTTTCTTACGCTTTCAGTATTCCTTTCGAAGCTACTGTTGCTGGAAGACTTCCATGGCCTTTGGCGAGTAAAGGTGGGTTCAGAGGTTGACATGACTGATATAAATACTCTCAATGATTGTAAGCATACCGTTACTGGATTGTAGAATCGCAAGTTAACATGGCTCGCCTTCTCTTCTTTATTTTGGCCGCTATCATTGAGAAATGCGTCAATGCAAACCGTTATCCTGCAACATCACTTGAAAAGCGAGCAACATGCACTCCTCTCGCGCAGGGCTATGAGATGATAGACGATGCCCCGGCCATCAATGATGCTATCAAGAAGTGTGGAAATGGAGGCACAATCGCCCTCCCCGCCGACCAAATCTACAGTATCCGCTCGCCAATCGATTTCTCAACCTGCCGTAATTGTGACTTCCAGCTTGAGGGTCAACTCCTCTTTTCCTCCGATCCCGACTACTGGGACAAGCAAAAGGCTATGATATCGATGTCTGGAGTCCAAGGAGCCAAACTACGAAGCTTGACCGGAAAGGGCCTCATCGACGGCAATGCCCGTATCTTCTACCAACGAAACAGTGACACATACGGAAGAGGTTTGTGGAAATCGCCAGTCTTCAACCTCATTCGGGAGTCTTCCACCAACATTCTTATCGACAATCTAACCATCAAGAATATGCCATTCCAATTCTTCCGCGTCGACGAGCGAAGCTCCAATATTCGCTTCACGAGACTGAGCGTCATTGCTGAGAACCAAGCTTGGTATATGCCGTGGACACGATCCGACACTATTGGGTTCCAATTTCGCAACTGCTCTTCCATCACCATGGATAGCATCAACGTAGACTTTAAGAGTGTTGATACACAGCCCAACGCGGGGGCGTGCGTCGGCATCGATTACGGCACCAGCAACATCAACATCAACAACATCCAATGCAGCACTTTCGACGGTGTCATGATAATGTTCGGTACGGTTGTCGATGACAAGCCGTTCCCGGCCGCTGGAGATCAAACCGCAAAGAACATCTACATTTCCAACTACACCGCCAAATCTATAGTCAACGGCGGATTCCGAAATTTACCGGATTACAACTACCCGGTTGTTAGTAATCTTACTTACGACGGAGTTACGGTTACAAATGGGACGTCTCTCATCGATGATCTTTGCTTTAAGCTGGATAATGGCCGCTCACCTGGTCAATGTTCGGTGGCGAGGAGCATCTATAAGCAAGCAACTTTCTCAGATATCTGGTTCAAGAATTTCAAGGGGAAGGTTGGTCCCGCATCCTTGGATTGCTTTAATCCTCAGAGCACGTGCGACTTTCACTTTGACAACTGGGTGAACACGACAGTTTTGTAAGTGAAGAATGCAGACAATTATGAGTGTCGAATACTATCAAGGTTACATCAGGTCGTTGAGAGATGACGACCGAGAAAATTGTAATTTCTTTCATTTTTCGTCCTGCTGCTGAAACTACTTAACTCCACATGGAAAATGGAATGCAGAAGTTTGAGTTAAAAAATAAAAAACTTCATGCTGGCATATAGCTAACCTGACGTTTACATGAATACGTTAATAAGACACCACCCGATGCAAAAACAAAAAGCTATATTCTCGAAGGGCTTTCCCTTGTGATCACATCTTCTGACCCCTCGCTACTCCGCGTCTCTGCCTCCTCCCACGCTGCACTTACAACTGTAGTTTTTATGATCTTCGCCTGACTCCCCGTACTCTCAGTCTCCCATTTCGTGTGGTCCGGTGCCCTAGGCGCTGTAATCGCCACGCCTATCTGACCATGTAGTCGACTTGGACCACCAGGTATGCCCGACGCTGAGTTTGATTGCGCTGTCGAATCTAGAGAGAGTATTGGGACACATCTCTTAATCCTGCAGCTCTCATTGTCGCTTCTTCTACTCTTGTTGCCTCCAGTCCAAGTGCTCGTGTTACTGAGTTTGTATGATTCATCGCTCTTGCTGTGTGTGTTGTCACGAGTAGATGTTGACGTTCTTCGACGTCGGAGTTCATCGGCTCCGTACATACCCGATGGTATGGACTCAAGGAGCGGGCGGAGGTAAGGGACACAAGAAGTCAAGATGGTGATGCATTGGACGATTTGGGTCATGAGCGTCCACTTCCAAAGCGCAAGAGTAGGGTTTGGGGAGGAGAAGGCGTGGGTGTATGCGAGTTGGACGCCAGTGGCTATGATATCGCTGTAACAAGTCGTTAAACAAAGCTAGAGTGAAGGCACATTTGCAACGAGACGTACAGTGAGCGCGCACTAAAGAAGACGAGAATGGTGAGTTTTTTCCCTGCGCTCATTTGAAGTGTGACGATGACATGCACCGGGAACATGATCAGTGCGAGATCGGTCAACATGTTGATGGCACCTGTTGCACGCCAGAATGCAGGCTGCCATGACAGGTCAGTCACTCAACGTCTTCATCGTTGAATCACCATTTTAATGGGATGTGTGCTTACGGTGTTGAAGCAATTTCGCTCGCCCAGAAACGAACGCCACGGTTCATGCGTCCCGCACTGGAACGCAGTTGCGAACTCGGACACGATGCCCCACACCGCAATAAATGTTGACAGAAAAATGCCTAGCCGGCGATGTAACTCTGAGGCTATAAGGATCATGAGCAACGAGATGATGGACAACTTTGCGAATGCAAGGGTTGCGATGTAGAGCAGCTTGGTTGCATATTCGCTCTGTGTTCGAAATGTGGAGTGAGCATTAGGTCTAAGCAAGGTCGGAATAGGGACATGCAGCGCGGATGAGTACCTTTTCGTACGCCACGATCTGGCTTTCCGCCAATGATTCAAAGTCTTGCCCAAGTCCATTGGCGGTTTGAAAGCTTACCGATACGCCAGAACCTATACTCGTAATCTGAAAATGTGAGCTATCAGGGTAGACCTCAGCTTCATGCGTGGAAGAAGCAAAACGTACCAGGGCCCCAACTACCAAAGCGTCATCGACGTCTATCCGCCTCTTCAGCGCCCGTTTTGTTACCAGCCGCGTCAAGACCGCCAGCGCCGACGTAATCAAGAGGACCCAGGTAATAACATTGAGGAAAGGACCAAGGTCATCAGCGGAGCCTGGATGTCGTGCTACGGGAGCCAATTCCACACTCATTGCATGTCCAAACAGAAATGATTCAGGTCGACGTCTGAGAGGCTGCGCGCTAAAGGTGAGGGAAGCCGCAATGCCAAAGCCAGAGTGGGGGAAGCGTCTAGATGGAGCCCATGGCGGCGCATGGCTTGAGAAATGTAGTGCCCTGAGCTTTGGATAGCAGATACGCCTTGGTTGTATCTGATGTTATCCCCGGTTTGCACCTGGACAGCGTTGAAGGGTACTCTGCTTTGTGGGATTGTTACACACGGTTATTTTCAGCCACGTAAGGACATCCAAAGGTCAAAGATAGCCGCTGGAATTCCAATCATCATATTTTGTGCGATACGGCGAACCAAGTCGTTAACCTTGGCGACAAGTCGTTGAACTTAGCGACAAGCAGTAAGAAAGTAACAACGGAGCTGTCGCCAGGGATGGAAAGGAGGGGAGCGATCATGAGAAACAATTCAGCTCAGACGACCTCCCCCGCTTCCGAGACGCATCCGAGCAAGAATCCGAGGCCAAACAGGTTAGTTGCTGAGGGTCGCTGCAAAGTCGTAGTACGGTGGCTTACGCGCCGTGGCACAGCATGGAGACTAGGGATGTGTAGCGGAACATTTGAATACGAAAGACACAACAGTTGTGAAACACATACCGATACATGTGGAGAGTCCTGTCATTTGTCCACTTGTCGGGTCTCCGCATTAGTGAATGCATCACTAGTCATCTGACAGCTTTCGGGATATCTGAGGTCATGTACCACGTCAAGAATTGCTTGGCATTTACAGAGTGGACTATTAAGCAGTGAGTGAAACGAGTGTATTAGCAAGGAGAGTTTCGCTAAGTGTAGACAAGAAGTGGCAATTCTGCCATGACCGAGCCACTGTAGGTGGTCATCAGCCACATGGAAGCCACCAGCATCTCCCACATGCTCCAAGCCCTTTGAACCCATTACTGGAGTCCCACCAATGTTAGTTTGCATCATTTCTATATCTCTAGGAATGAAATGCTTACAGTACGGTATGCTGGCCTTCCATCTAGAGGAGAGTGAAGATTCGCAGCGACCCCTTCAGGGCCGGCTTGTTCAATTTCGATAAGAGGGGCCGCTCTCTGGTGTATGGTTAAGCAGAGTTTTCGGAGAAGGTACAGAACCCTAATTTAGAAACTTACGGGATTGTAAATCGTACCACCTGCATGAGTATTGCCGGCAACTTGCACGGGGTTGCTTTGCTTAAGCTCGATGGCTGGCGCAGTTCTGCTGTCAATTCTGGTGGCATCTCTAACTTCCATGCCATTTTCTGGATGAGAAACACCAAAAACCGGGGCCGAGATGACACCGGCTGTAAGAGCAAGGAGCGAGACGAGGGCCCGAGAGCGCATGATGGAAGCCGAGAAGACGAGATTCTGTCTGTGTGAGAACGGGTCAAGAAGTCATTGAAGTCGGGAATACTTACACCTGACTGATGAGGCGAGGATACGTTGGAAGTGTTGTCAGAGACCGTAAATATGGTTGGATGCCAGATTCATATAAACAACTCTATCCGCCATCCATAAATCTAGAATTAATACCAGCATACCGACAAAAAGGATTTCAGATCACGAGAGGCCATGAACTCTTGGGAAAGTCAGAATATGGCATTGTCCGAATAAGTCTCGGACGGAAGGCTGTCCAGCCGGCGTCGGAGTGGCACAACGACGGCTCCATATACAACCTTCATCCACTATAAGGACGCCTCTTCGCTGAATATGGCGGTGAGTGTTAGGAATGATGGGGAGTATTACCCGATACAGAAGGTGGCCATGGCGTTGCCGAACATCTTTGGTTAGGAGCGGTCTGCCCCGGAAGACGTCAGATCAAGTATCGCGAGACTGTGCGCTTCAAAAGATTGGAGGCACCCACTAACATCACAACGGGGACGCCGTTGCCCGAGATCGTGTCGTGTCGCACTCCCAGTCAGTAAATGTAACGTTTGAGAAGACAGTACGCCCTTAAATGCGGGTGTATCGTGGTAATGTGTCATTCATTCAAATCAAAAGTCCACATCCGACCTCCATAGCATAACACTAATTAGCAGCCACCAATCAGCTTAGAACGACAACTATCGAAGCCGAAAGGCCTCTCCGTCATTGACTTCGTACGCATCTTTATGCCCATGGTAGTCAAAGTAAGCCTCCATAATGGGCCGATAAGGTGAATGTTCTGGACAGAAGGCAAATAACTCTAGAGTATTTGAGGCCTCACGATAGTCGTCAAATTGGTGACACGCGTTCTGGTCTGGGCTAGAGGCCCAAGCAATCATCTTGTCCCAGTTTCGGCATCGTCGAATCTGGCCGTCTCCAATGTTATGGGACTTTGGAGCTGGCATTGGCGTATCATCGGCTGTGCACATGATGTCTTGTCGGAGACCGTCCAGGCAATGAAGGATGTGCTCAATGGTGAGTTCATGCTTCTCGCCGCGTTGAGTTGAGACGATGGCTTTGCGAATCAGTTTCTGAGAATCATAGTCAGACATGGAAGGGAACCGCGATTGATGAGCTGCATACCAAGCAGTGCAGGTCATGAAGACCTTTAAGATAGTACACGCTGCGTTCGGTATCCCACGGGAACCGAGTTGAATCAGCCAACCCAAGTTGCTTTGCGTGATCATCGTGAAGAGCGACAGCTATGGGATTAGTGTCTAAAGCATCCCATGCTTCATCTGCAAAGCTTTCATTGACCTTTGGATTCCAATATTTTGTAAAGGAGTGGTACGGGACCAAAGTGTCGAAGGTATTTCCGCCTAGTAATGATCAGCACGCACCCAAAATAGCCGCAACGAAGATTATTACTATATGGACTCTTCCCGAGGTCGGGAGGGCACTTTGGTGGACTGCCGTGCCAAAGAAGCAAGAGAATGTTCGCCAGGAGAGAAGCCATGAGTAGGATCAACGTTACGTAGAAACTCCTTTTGTTGGCGGGAATTATGTCGAGGCCATCATTCCAATCAACCGATTGCACTCCTTCATCTCCCTTCGCAAGAAGATGCTCCTGGTCTTCGTTCTCTTTCATTTCGACAATTGATACGGGTGATAGGAGCAAGGAAGGCTGCTGCCATTCTGAGAATTTGTCGCTCTACATCTCCAATAGTCGACGTAATACAATTTTAGTAGCTTAACGCTCGCTCGCTAAGGTTGTATTGCGTGCAGGCATTAAAGCTCGGACCAAGGATGAATTGACGGGATTGAAATCGGATGACACTCTTGCCGGGAAGGTGACAAATTGTCGAGCTTAATGCGAGGGATATAGCAAACAAAGGTCGACCGGTGGTAGTAACACCTGTGCGACGTTGATGTTGGCTAAGGAAGGACGTGTCAGAGTCATCAACGTGTGACGAATTCAAGTTCACGCCAAGACGCTAGCCCGCTACAGTGTTTGCTTCATGCTAGATCGGGAAGTAATGCCGGGAAGCTTGAACTTGCTCTTTCCAACCCCCATCGTATTCCAACCCACATCGTAGACTCTGAACGACTTGCAAGTGCCATCCGCTTGACTGTTCGTTCTGTCCGGGGTCTATCTTACAGATTATTTTCAAGTCACGATTCCAATCTTATATGGGCTGCATGGGTTCCGTCCAGGATCCACAGCCAAACATGGCCGCAAAGTACATCCTCAAACAAGCTGGCACTAAGGAGGAAATGAACGGTATCATGGACGTCATCTGGGCTGCCAATTACACACCATACGAGCCCTTCGTCCAGATCTTCTTTCCCGTCACTGGAATTTTCCCTGCCGAACGCAAGGCAGCTATTGTCGAGTCCAAGGCCCGCTTCTGGGACTTGCATCAGGAAGACCCGTCAAGCAACTGGTTCTACGTGGAAGAGATCGGGACTGGCCAGCCAGTTGGCTGCGCACAGTGGCAACTCTTCCTGGAGAACCCATTTCCTACAGGACCGCCAAAATTGCAGGCAACATGGTGGCCAGAGACCGAAGACCGGGAGTTCTGTGAGCAAATACTGAACCAAATCTATAAGCCGCGAGCTAGCTGGATGACGCGACCACATCTTGGTAAGAGATGCAATTTCTTTCTTTCTTGCGCAAGTCTCGCGTTTCCATTTCTCTTCGATTTCGGCCTCCTTCCTCAATCGTCATAAGCTACTTCCGCAACGAAAATTTTTCCACTCTAACTAGCTCTGACCCCCACACCCAGCCCTAAACTGGATGGCCGTCATCCCCACACACCGCCGCCTCGGCGTTGGTTCTCTCCTCATGCAACACGGGATCAAGCGTGCAGACTCCCTCAGCCTCGAGTGCTGGCTCGAAGCCTCTGCCATGGGCCGGCCACTGTACGAGCAATTCGGCTTTCAGAGTTTGTTCAAGATTGCATTCGACACAACAAGGAAGAATGCAACTGATGTGTGGCGGAAATGCGAACACGAGATGACCCCGGCCCCGTTCCATGCCATGTGGCGCCCGAAACAAGGAGTTTGGGAGGAGGAAGCTGAGGGCGAGGGGAAGGAGGTGAAAATGCCATGGGAATTGGGGAAAGGGGGAAAGGTGGAGTTGAACGGCGAGGTGGATCAGGTTTGGTGAGTTTTGTGTGGAGAGGAGCTTTCGGAAGTGTCTTTGATCGGAGTTCAGGAGGGCAATAGTATATCCATGCGAAATCCCTACAAATGGCCAAGGAGTTAGGTTCTTAGAGGGGTTGTATTGTGGGAGAATGCGGGGTTTTCAGCACGGTATACCCATGCATTATACTGCCAATTCAAATCATTAGCATCCAGGTACCCAACGTGCAAGTGCACTAAGAACTCTCTTGCTACAGTTCCAACACTGCATATACTATCTCAGCTCTTCACTGGGTCCGTTGTTAGGTGCTTAGCTCCTCCAAATCGTTCCTAGTTCGGCTGGAGACGTAACACATACAAACTGAGGCTGAGGCATGTGATATGCTTCAAGAAAGTGAGTCAAGTCAATGCTAGTGACTTCATCCTCCATGCCCGGTTCACAAACACTCTAATCCCCACGACTAGCCTTCCATAACCAGCCCTACATAACTACCTTCCTTCACCGTTCCCAGGATCTCTTAACCCCTAAACAATCTACATTTCCCCACAACCCCTCCCAAACTTCTCACGTAACCCCTCTTTGACGGCCACTACGAACATTGCGCCCCAACCAATCCCGTCCCCGAATGGACCCACCCTGGCAATCCCCCATCCCCTTTCTCCTAGCCAGCAAGCCCACAGCACTCAATTTGATACGTATGCGAACACCCCTTACAAACATATCCCACCTCCCTCGATATCCATTCTCTTCCACACCCGCAACACCTCCACGCCGCATCCGGAATAGGTTCCGCGCCAGGATAAGGGGAGTATTTGTTTGTTGGAAGTTTAGAGTGAGCGTGGGCCATAGAAATGGCAATGACGGACTGCAATCAGGAGAGAAGGTGGTGGGGCTGGCTGTTATGGCGTGGTGTGGGTTGGAAAGAGGGTTGGTAGGATATAGCAAGGTTGTTGAGAATTGTAAGTTGGCAAATAGTTGTTGTGTTGATTGCTTGGTAGCCTTCTGCGTGAGTGAGAGAGCTGCTGGTGGTTGACTCTGTAGAGAGGAGAAGTAAGGAGGTAAAAAAAAAGCCGCGGGTTATTTCTACGGATTGAGGTGAAGGCTGGGCCGGATGTCCGTCCTAGAGGCAGTTTATTGGACCTCTATAGAGCGCTTGTACGGCGGTGAGTTGAGTTGATAAGAGCAAATATTTTGCTAAATAGGGGGGGGAAGAGTGGACGTCACGGAAGCGTGCTTGCGATAGGCTCCCCCACTGGGGCTGGGTCGTGGGATTGGATATGGCGGGGTGTTCAAAATCTCTTGCAGCTTGCAAAAGTGCTTGAATGGGCAAGGCAAGGAACTCAGCGAGGAGGTCGAGGCATGAAATAGCAGGAGTAGATTTGAGCACTAAATATAGACAAGAAACTCAATCAAAATACCGCACTATATTGTCACAACACGCTTCCATCAAATTTACAACCTCGACTTTGAAACAATGTACGAGTTTCCAACCTGCATCCACTTGACAGCATCGCTCACCATCTCATCAACAATAACTTTGGCGGGCTTCCTCTCATTGACAACGGCGGCAGCCTTGCCCATCAAAAATGGCCGTGCGTTGTCCATGGTATCATCATCAATGTCGTCTCCCATCGTCTCCAGATCGTGCTCGACGGGAATGACACCCTTGGCCGTGAGATCCTTGATATCGTTCTGCCTGTTCTCTTCCCAGTTCTGAATATAGGGGTTCATTCTTACGCGTAGGGGTCGTCCAGTGAAAATGATAGTTCGCACGTTATCATCAAAGCCAGCTGTTCGGACGGCTTCTTGGTGTGCCTTAGGTGCACCAGCCTCCTCGGACAGGACAAATCGAGTTCCTATCCAAACAGCGGACGCACCGAACATGAGCGCAGCAGCAAGGGACTGGCCGTTGAATAGACCACCAGCAGCAACTACCTGGACCTCCTCGCCGGTCAAAGGCGACTTGTGACCCTTGACGAGGCTCACGACGGTGGGGATGAGGACGGTTGTGGGAACGTCGCCGGTGTGTCCACCACCTTCACCACCTTGAGCACAGATGATGTCGGCTCCGACCTCGAGGCATTTCTTGACGTGCTTGGGGTGGCCAATCATGTTCATGTATAATATGCCGGCCTTGTGCAGCTTCTCGACGACGGGCTTGGGGGGGACGCCGACAGCAGAGACAAAGAGCTTGGCGCCGGAGTCGATGATGATGTCGACGAGCTCACCCAGCTTGCCTTTGGTATAGTCATAACTGTTGGAAAAAAAAAGAAAAATAGTTAGCACGTGCTACTCGGAGATAATTGTCTGGTAGACACAACGGCCTGTAAGATAGATCAAGGTTGCTCACTTTGTCTTCCGCGCGTTCCCGCCAACCTGCGGGAGCAGGAGGTCAACGCCAAAGGGCGCGCTCTTGTCATTAAGGTATCCCTTCAATTCTGCAATCTGCTCCCGCAGCATGTCTGGTGTGTATCCGACACCACCAATAACACCCAACCCTCCGGCATTTGTAACGGCGGCAGCGAGCTTCGGGCCGGCAGCAACGTTCATGCCGGCAAGCATAACGGGGTGCTGGATCTTCAGTAAATCAGTGAGCTTTGTGCGAATTTGCTCTACAAACTATCAGCACATGCAACATGTGAACAGGGTGTAAGACGTACGCGGCGATGCCATTGTGAAGGATGGGGGAAGGTTGTGCGGCGGGAGCTTGTTGGATATGCGTGATGAAGGTGCAAGGGTTTAGAGGGCAGTTGCTGAAGGTGGTGAGGAGTCAGATGAGCAATGGGGTTCAGCTTCTTAAGAGTAAAGTGAGGAGTATTTGTCGAGTCCACAAGATGCCGACCCGTGGACCGAGGCACATATCGAATAGCGTTAGCGCGCCCCCACAAACCATGAGATCATGCGTCTGCACGTCTGGGGAGCTGCCGAGCTCTTTCTGGAGAACTTGGGGGCGGAGAACTTTCAGGAGTCCTGGATGCTGTTTCTTTATGATTTTTTCTTTTTCTGGTCCTCTCTTTACTGTCTTCTAAGCATTAAAATAACAGCTAGGAAACCAGGGGCGCAGGCAATCAAGAGGCCATCGGCTGTTGCAACGGAGAACTCCGGCTATACCTAAATAGGGCACAGCCGAGGAATGAGAATCTTGGCACTTTCTAACGTTTCTCCGACTCCGAGTTGATTCGAGTTGCACACCCCTCTACATTCGTTGATCTCATCCATTCTATGGCTGGACGATCATGTGCGCCGAATCTGACCGCTCTAGTTTTGAAGATTTCTAGTGCACTTCCTAAAATCTCGATCGGAGGAACCCGAAGCATCCGCAGACATTTCAATGGCGCAAAATCATCATCATTCTCATGCACAGTCTCAAACCCATGTGAACATTTTCGTCCCGCTTCGGCATCTCCTTCGTTTTCCGATTTGAAATTGGATAAACCTCTTAATGCCGGGGTGCACTGCACCCGAAGCCTTCATCAAGGTGCAAAAATGAAGCATCGTGCTTTCATTGCTTTAGGAAGCAATCTGAGTGACAGGGTTAAAATGATCGAAAAAGCATGCCAAGATATGGAGGCCAGTGGATCAATACGAATATTAAGAACAAGCAGTCTCTGGGAGACGCAGGCAATGTACGTTCTCAATCAAGACAAATTCGTCAATGGAGTCTGCGAAGTGAGCTCTGCCACCCTCATCTCCCTATTCAAATGCTAAAGAGAATATTAGGTAGAGACATCGTTGCCTCCGATCGAGCTTCTCAACAAGCTCCAGTCTATCGAAAACCAGCTGGGTCGTGTCAAGGTAATTGACAAAGGACCCAGAAATATCGACCTTGATATTCTTCTCTATGACCAAATAGTATTCTCAGACGAGAGGCTACAGATTCCCCACACACTCATGCTGGAGAGAGGCTTTGTTCTTCGGCCTCTATGCGAGTATGTATCTTATAGAAACAACGAACATCGTGTTGATTTTGGAGTAGGATGATCCCCGAAAGGTGTCTGCCTACGCATATCTCGCTTCCTGCGGGGACCTTTAGATACCATCTGTCGAAGCTACCGCCATTAGAGACCCCAATATCGCCACTCACCCCTATTTCACCAAGTTTGCCACCAATATCCGCATATCACTCAGCCCGTGATACGAGAATTATGTCTATTATAAATCTAACTCCAGATTCTTTCTCAGATGGTGGAAAGCACTACAACATCGATGAGAACATTCTGTCCAATATTATCAAGTCTCACGTCGCCGCTGGGGCTACTATTCTTGATCTCGGGGGGCAATCAACCCGACCAGGGGCGATCCAAGTCTCAGAATCAGAGGAATTATCTCGCGTCTGTCCTACCATCAAACTCATTCGATCCATACCAGAAGCCAGAAACACTGCCATCAGCGTAGATACCTACCGAGCTAGCGTGGCTGAAGCAGCTATCCAGGCTGGCGCAAACATGGTAAACGACGTAAGCGCAGGCTTGATGGACACCGACATGCTTTCCACTGTCGCCCATCTTGGATGCACCGTTTGCCTAATGCACATGCGCGGTACCCCCGAAACCATGAATAGGCATGCTTCTTATCCTGACGGTGTAGTCGAGACCGTCGGCCGGGAACTCTTAGAACGTGTGCAAGCAGCCGAAGCAGCCGGAATTCGTCGATGGCGTATCATCCTGGACCCTGGAATTGGATTCGCGAAAACGCAAGAACACAATCTAGAGCTCCTCCGTCGCTTAAGTGAGCTCCGCCGTTACCCTGGGCTTCATGGCCTTCCGTGGCTTGTCGGTACGAGCAGGAAAGCGTTTGTGGGCAGGATCACGGGCGTCAAAGAAGCGAAAGAGAGAACTTGGGGAACTGCGGCCGCTGTCACTGCTGCTATTCAAGGGGGTGCGGATATCATTCGAGTTCATGATGTGGAAGAGATGGGCCAGGTCGTGAAGATGGCGGATGCTGTGTGGCGAGTGTAGCGAGATTACCGTTCTTAATATCTTCAAGTTTTATAGTTGGCCTATCCGTATCTTAAGATCTCCAGCACCACGATCGAACTGACAGTGGGTCGAGCTGCTCATGAATTGTTCACTTAGGCAACATCTCCCAAAAGAACCTTTACGCTTCAAAACATCGCCAGACGCGGAACCAACCATCCAGAAGCAATATGATAACGCGGTTATCCAAATAGGGTTCTGAACACGTCCATAGCCAGCGTTACTCGCAGAAACGTCTTCAACCCAGTATCCTCACACAAGCACGCTAGAATGTTTGTAGTATCATCGTCTGGAATTCACTTTCGGTCTAAAATGGAGCGCCTACTCCCACAGCCATTATTGCTTCTTAACTTCGTTCCACAACGGTACTAACCTACGCTCACAGCTTCTCGTCTCTAGTCTTCGGAAACCGAATAACAACTTTCGTCTCCAACTTTTGCTCAAACTTTCTATACCACTCCGGCGCCGCCTCAATCCCGATATCCTTACTAACCACAAACCCCGGCCTTCCCCTTCCGCTCTTGATCAACTCAACGAGTTTTGGTGCAATAGGTTTCGGATCCACAACCCCAGCTTGCATCGTCAAACCCTTGAAGAAAAATTCCGTGGCAGGAAAATCGATGGTCGGAGCAATACGGCCTGCATTCGGGCGCCCAGGAGCCTTAGTCTGAGCCGTATAGAGACCAACAATCCCAATACGACCTCCAACAGCTGTCACGGAAATAGCATCTCGGAGGATAGCATTTTCCTGGGGTTCGAGATTCTCGTTGACGCATTCGTAGCCACAGCAGTCGCAGCTCTTATCCACCCCATTGGGCTCGAGCTCTAGGATTTGCTGGGCGGCATTGGAGTGCGTGAAGTTGATTGGAATGGCACCAATCGAGGCTGCTTTGTCGAGACGACTTTGGACGTAGTCGATCGAGTAGACTTTCGTCGCGCCTCGCAGAAGTGCAGAATAGGCGCATAGGAGACCGACGGGTCCTGCGCCAAAAACAGCAACCGTGTCGCCTGGTTGCATGTTGGCAAAGTCGAGGCAGCCCCACGCTGTTGCCCAAATGTCTGATATGAGGAGGTAGTCAAGTTCTCGGGCAGGAGAGTGGGGAATGGGGATGAGTGTCTGGTCCGCGAAGGGGACACGAACGTATTCAGCTGTGCTTCGTCAGTTTTGCTACATCTAGAGGGCAAAAAATACGGACCCTGACAGCCGCCCAAATTCCCAAACTCTGATCCGAACCCAAACGAAATCACTGACGCTATGGAAGGATCGACATTCAAATGTCCATCGTCAGGGGAATCCGGTACGATCACGCGGTCTCCAACCTTCACAAACTGCACCGCAGATCCAATTTCGGTCACAAATCCGATGGCTTCATGGCCGAGCGGCCAGGGGGGATTCGTGCTTCCCAAGATACCGCGATAGGTGTGGAGATCAGAGCCGCAGATTGCAGCGGTCGTGACGCGGATGATGGCATCGTCGGGGGCTTGTACAGTGGGTTTGGGGACCGATTGGACACTTACCTGGAAGGGGTTTCCTTCCCAGATCACGGCGCGCATTGTTTTGTTCGTGGGGGGTTGTGGGGTTGTTGGTATGTTCTTTTTGGTGGTGGTAACGGGAAACATGTTAGAAAAAGTGGCGAAGTAGTATTGATATGTGAGCACCTTGTATAGTATGACTGACTCTTCTGACTGATTGATGAACTAACTGGCTGTCGTCTGGAATAAACTCACTCTTTTATAATTTACCAACCGTCGGAGGACACCGGTGGATACCCTATACATTTCCTTTCCACGTGGGCTACGCCTTTTTGCTTCGCCTCATTGGTATTATTTCGTAGTCTCATGTGGCTCTGGGTTTTACGCCCTTTTTCCCAAAAAGAGTTGTTGGGTGAGATGAGATACTGGAATAAGATTTCAGCCTGTAAAGTGGTCAGCGCGGTTTCCATCGGATGGGACGGTAATGTCGCGATGGGATCTGAGAATCTAGGAGTTAAAATTCACCGATACGAATAGAATTTATGTTGGGGCGTGATGCATGGTCTCAGTGTTGTCTCTTGTGTACTATACAAAGCTGTCCTTAAATTGTTGGAGGGGGCCAATTTAATGTACTTGAATACCTCTCGACCTTGGGGTGAATAGCTCCTGGGTTTCCCGGGACAGGGCTGAGCTACCTCAGGAGAGTCCGCTTCCCACATTTCCGCCAACAGAAACTTGTCATTAGTCAGATATCAGAAGGGAACATGCTGTTCCTTGAACAATTCCTTCGTCTTATACGGACCACTCATCCCCTTATTGTTACACAAAGCCCGGTGCTTCTATAGGCATCCCCTCTACTTAGTATGCGGCGAGGGTGGGCTGTGATTGGAGGAAGACGCTTGGGCCATTTCATGGGGCAAACCTTTGGAGTCGAACTATCGCCACTTTCCTCTCTAGACGCCTCACAAAGCCTTCCACTAGTTTTGTGTTTCATCAATACTCGCCACGCTCTTCCTTCTCAGGCCCCGCCTTATTCTGTGTGACTTCCTAACAGCCCGCCTACCACCCACACCGCACAATTTCTCAATGTCTGGATCAGCCCGATTCATAGGTCAGTTCAGCCGTCAATATTGCTGAGCGGCTGGCTCCTTCTGGAAGACTGATTGCCGCTAGGAAAGTGTACATTACGTTAGCCCCTGCCCTTTCACCCTAGCACGCCCATTAATCATGATTCCTAAATCCGGGCGCCTGAAGTATGCTCTGAGGAATGTTCGGAAGGTTGACGTGCCGCGCTTCCGAGATATTTTCGATGCTCCCTGTGTGCAAGTGCTGAACGACGCCATTACTGAACACTCCGTGTTTGCACACAAGTATTTGAAGGACCGCCTCCTGTACTTTACTCTAATACAGGTTCTCTATTCATCGCACAACAGATATTGAGAAATGTCATTTGAGGAATTGTGGCCCTGCATGACAAGGATATCGTTCATAGCGGTACCAAAGCAGATAACACCTTAATTGAGCGGGAAGAGAATGGCCGCGTGATTTCCCTTTCCTTTGCACAAGTGGCTAACCTAGAAGATGCCGCTTATGTAGCAGATAATTACGCCACCATGAGAAGACAAGTCGGAAACCCCAATGTGGAAAAGCCCTGAAGCCCATGTATTAGGTAATTGTAGAATCTGTCAGATATATTCGCTTTCAGTGTTATCTTAAGTGCCCTGGCTTCTTCTGTGTCTATCTCGCTCTTTGATTTTCTGTCTTTTAGTACATCTACGCCGTCACAAAACGAGTTACCTTCGCAGTGGGGGGCGAAGAATTAAATGATGAAGGACACTCGCTATCGTCCTTGAACGCCAACTGCTCCATTTCTCTGATCTAATGTACCTTATAAGCAAGCTGCGCACCCCACTAGCTTTTTGCAATGCGTAGCTAGGGATTAGCTGGTAGCTTTAGGAAGGGCATGGGATACCCTAGGGAAGCGTATAGGCTGTGCCTAATTTAGAACCGGATGATAAGGACTTGGATGAATGGTGAGTGTAGATCTGAAGGGAAGACTGACGGCTAACGATGCACTAATAACTCGGTAGTTTGTGGACGTTTCAGGATAACGTCTGAGTTAGTGTACGTTGTGGTCACGATGAGACAGAGCTGTGGTGATAATGAAGATGACAGGCTTAAGACGGAGCCTTTTCAACCGGTCATCTCCATTCCCGGCACATTAGTTGCCGAAACTAGAGGTCCCCAGAGAATCAGGCTCTTCCCTCCTGATTGACCGTACCTTCCCCACTCATGACTGTAGTGAATGAAACGTCTATGGCATGTTCCTAACGGAACACCGCTCTCGGAAAATTGGAAGATTGCTTTGTCGGGTTTATATAAAATTTTAAAAGGGCATTTCATGGGTATCTAGTTGTCATCCCATCTCTCATATAGCCATCTCAATGGCTATCTTACCGTATTCTTTACTTAATTTACTATCCATATTTAATATTGCACAAACGGGCAAAGACAAATTATTCTCATTCTTCCTCTCTCACCGCCAGAATCGATCGCCACATTGCGATACTACGACACCTGAAGGCCACGGCCCCCAATCCGTTTCTGCATTTGTCATAACAACAAATGCCTTTAAGGGGAGCATTGGTTTTTGCACCTACCTTTCGATTCCAACACGTACACTCTCTCAACCTACCCAGACAAAGGCTAATGCGCGAACAGTAAAAAGCATCAAACAGTTGTCTGTCGGTGAATTGTAAAACTCAATGAGATCGTTCTAACGGTGCCAAACCCCTTCATGTCCGTTAGGGTTAGATAGAGATATTATGATAAGAGGATAGATAGACATCATTACCTTAACAAGATGAAACGCTGCCTAATCAAGTTCCTTTAAAATCTCCTTCTTCCACCCTTGATATATCTGCTCAATCTAGATTAGATTTGATGATTCTAACGCTGCGGAAAGCCCTAATTGGGCTGTACACTTTTGGGTAGGAGATCTCAGGAACAAGGAGCAAGAGAGGAAGGAGACTAGGGAGGTGGAGGAATCAAACTGATGGGTGTAAAATGTGATCTCGTTTAACGGTCTCAGCTAATGGCAATTGCTTGTTAAGCACTGACTGTTCAATCTGATTATACGTGGTCGGAATCTGTCCGAGCGCTAACCCGATCGGGTAGTAGTACGTCGTCAATAGAGAATAGTAGCGCTGTCGGGCGGACTGGACGTTGATCTGAACATGCGGTGGCCTGAGGTTATGGGATTCAGCGAATCAATGTCTTCGCATTTGGGCCAGTATTATGGTAGGCTCAACACCAAGCGCAAACAGCTAGATAGACAGCCAATCATAGCCGCTCCATTCGTATCCCTGCTTGCATATCAAAAGTCTGCTACCATGAAGGGCATCCACCAGAACGCCCCTACACACAATACTTCGCATTTTAATAGCCAGATATATCTTTAAGCAATTATAGTTTTGTTAGGTTCGCTATTAGAATATATGCTACATTTTTAGTAGGTGGGGCTAACAACAACTGAGTTTTTGCCTAGAACTGTGGATGATTGTTTTAAGTCTGTTAAACCGCTCCGGTGACGGCCCTACAGTGGCTTACCAGGACAGACTACTACACAATTTCTGATTTGGTCAATCAGAGTCGTCCTAACCCGGTCAATTAGACACCTTGACGGTTTAGGTGAAGCGAAAGCTAATTTGGTTAGCGTTATGTGAACCTTTACCTTTCCATATGTGAAGAGAGAGAAATAATCAAACGTGCTATGCGCCTGACAGCGTTGGATTAGTGCGAATTTGTGAGTTGATTAAGTCAGTTAGAGCAACCAATCGTCCAAGCCATCTAAAAAAATTTCCGACTTGCGTTCTCAAAGACCATTGGTGATCATGCATTAGTGGAAAGCTAAAATCCCCTTTTCGCGTTAGTGTAAGAGTCTACTGGTGGACACGTGGACTCAGGTTAGTGGCGTAACAAAACATGCCAGCAAAACGTACCGGTCTGGACTCACCAGGAAGGGAAAGTTAACATATGATGGATGTCTCTTCGGCACTGCTCCCTCGAATCCACACGCCTAACTTTCAAAGGGACATTTCCACGTAGGCATGCAACGTTATGCAGTGTGCACCCTCGTTTCCCTCTCCGCCGTGTTCGACAAACCTCAAACAAGCTACCAGGATCGTAATTCCATAATTCATTCTCATTTATATTCTACCTAGCTGTGTTTTCTCCCTCTATCATCTTCTTGCTTCTGCTACATTATCATGACTACTCTTCTCATCTCCTTGGGCAATTCTATCTCGTTTATAAACGCAGGCCTATCTGCTGGGCAGCGCTCAGACAAAGACCAAACGTTCACTTTAGCCTATTATTTCTCTCACCTCAAGGCTTAAATATGGCTGACACTGGAAACCGGTTAAAAAAAAAAAGACCCGAGCGGTATTGATATTCGCGACAACTGTCGTCCAACGAGGCTGAGGCTGGATCTCAGCACTAGTGAAAATGGCAGGCTAGAAAACAAGGCGAGCAATGAGAGTTTCAGAGATTTTGTAGAGTGGCCCTGTGGTAGCTTTGAAGTTCGTGGCGCAAACAGAATAGCAATTAGCTGAAGAGACCGAGCGGGGGATCGGCGATGGAAAGCGGATTGGTCCTCGAAGCAGTGAGGTAAACTGCACTTCCGCAATCGTGCAGTTACATGCATGCAGAACAGTCTAGCTGCTGCCTAGTCGTTTTGTGATATCCTCGGGACGTTTCCTGACTTCCGTTGTTTTTCTACCAACACCCATCGAGCAATCAATACCTAGCACCAGCCAAGATGTCTAACCCTTCGGTGTGCCCGCCATGTCAGGACAGTGCACTCTCCATGACTGGAAACATCATCGGCATTCTGACTTTTGCGTACGTGCTTGCTGTCGGCATTCTCTACCGAGTTTCTGTGATGCGACATGCGCGATACGAATTGGCATCGCTGTACAACGAAGCAGAATTTCGGAAACGAAAGCTAGAAGAGACACGAAATGCCATTGAAGCAGGTGAAGCAGAGTTGCGGCAACGTCAGCGGGAAGAGAGACAAGAGGGTATTAAAGAAAGCAAACCTAGGAAGGGCCGCGGTGCACGTTTTGCTTTTGGGAAAGCGGAGAAAGAGATGGCTAAAGTAGAAGGCCTTCTGAGGAGGTTACACGCTGAGCCTTGGGAGAGCACCTGGAAAAACCCCTGGTCCGCTCTTATGTATGGTGTTTGGGAGGATAGACTGAAATCGTCGTTGGATAAAATGAAGATGTGGATGGAATTGTGGAAAGAGTTGAGTGAAGAAGAGTACGTATGAAGCCGCTTAGTCCTCGACTCTGTTTTGCTGACTGTGATCTAGGAAAGCAGAAGATCCTCTGGAGATTGCAGGTCACAGGTATACGCACCAAGGAGGAATTCAAAAGGAAACACAAAAACAGTACTACCCAAAGCCAGAGAACTGGGACTCAGAACTAGGGGGGCCAGCATTCGGTAGCTCAGGGAGGCGCGCTTTCGTTTCTCGTTTCTCACACTCTATTCCAACCGCGCCGCCTAATCCCACATCTCATAATCCGGAAACCACCTCCGATGAAGCCGCTCCGCATACTCTACTACCACCGGAAACCCCCTAACCAACTTCTTCGACTCAGGGCCTCTGCAAAATATTAGCTCACCTGGCAGGAACCCCAGGAAAGGCAAAGCGAACTTACGCATCACAAACCAAAACACTAACCACAAACCCAAACACGCTCGCATCCGCCTCTGTCGGCTCCGAACCACCCAGAATCCAAAAACAATCTCCCCCCTCACTGTCTCTCTGCCCATATTTCTCCATCATTTTCCTCCGACTCTCAACCAACAATCCATTAATCCCCTCCCAAACCTCTTTAATGAACCCACGAATCTCAGTGTTTGAGAAACGCCCCGTTCCCTGATCATGTAGTTTCCTCACACTCCTTCTATACGCAAGAAGCCCTATAACGACACGTACGGGATATGGAATCGACCCCAGCACATGGTCACGCATAGTATAGTAATTCATAATCCAGCGCTCGTGCGTGTGATAGAAATACAACTTATCCTCCATTAACGCTCTAATTGCTAAATCCACGCCCTTCATCCCGCCCTGGAGTTCCAGTTTCACGTTAACGTCGTGTAGTAAGTTGAGCTCCATCAACCGCTTCATGATTAGGCTGGAGTCGCCGAGAAATTCGGTTGGGCGGCCGGGAGTTGAGAGTGAGATGTAAGGAATTTTGCCTGTGGGACCAGAGGCGGTGGAGCCAGCGGCGCAGGAATAGGGCAGGTGGGAGGTGCGGAGCCGGAATTCGAGTTTTGTGACGAAGGGTGACCACACATATTTCCCAGGGGAGTCCCAGCCGCGGTAGAGGGTGATGGTTGGTTGAGATTTTGGGGTGGTCATTGAGATGGTGAAGGTGAGGCTTTAGCTAAGATGAGAATTGTGAGATCGATTGAAGATTCTGATATCGCTTGTGCATGAATGGAGAATTGGAAATACTGGTATCAAATCCTCTAGTCGATGTTGACTATTGCGTTAAGTATTAGTGATGTACGAGTTGATGTACGGCGTCTCGCACAAGCCTCGTCGATCCCCGCACAGTATGCTACCAAACTTACAGCCAGGTGCGCGCATGGCAACCTACCTGTGTATGTTAGCACCTATCGCGGAACGTAATCAAGGTCGCCCCAAGCCATTGAACCTGTTGCTTGAATTAATAGAATTTTATCAGCACGCCAAAGCTGTTATTGACCAACCCACCGTTAGTTATATGCCACATTAGGTGGGAGGGGTTTGAGTCTTCTTAAGGCTTTCAATGTTCCAAGAATGAGATTTAAGACATTAGATCATTGCTCATAACATTTCGCGATAAGTGGTGTATGAACATATGAACATGCCACACTCCTGCTAAGTCAGCCGAGTTGGAACACGTCAGCGTCACGTGGTCGTCCATCTCACCGACTCAATTCACCTTCACCCACTTCACCATGTAGACGCGTCCCCACCGCATCAGGTCCTCTATAGATGCCATGGAGCTACTCTTGAGGCGGGGATTGCCTCACTCACTCAGCTTGGCCTTATTTTCACGACCAATCTGCCACCAGCGTGCCCCGCGCGAGGCTCCTTCCGTCCCCACGGACAGGCAGCAAGACAGCCTTGGGAACACGACGGCCGGCGTCTCTTAAGGTCCCAACCAGCCAAATACCTGCCCTAGACTTCTCCACACCACCTCCGCCCTCCTATTCTCTCTTCCCAACAACCTCCAACCCACCCCCCGCCTGCGATGGCATCCCCGACAATGGCCTCCCCCACTACGGCTGGCCCAGCTGCCGCCGCTGATGACGTTGCATCGCTCATGTCAATCCCCCTCGAGCTCCGCCACAATATCTTTGAGTTCACGGCACTCCGCTCGAAGCCTGCTAAGAAACTGCTCCGCGCGTGGTTTGAGAGGAAGGACATCGCGGAGCGCGTGGCCCAGCTGGCTGCCAGCAATCCCAACGGCCCCGCCCCGCGAGTGGTCGCCGCCCACGATAGCGACCCTGATTCCGACGCTGGCGATGACGAGGATCAGGATGACCAGGAGGACGATGACGAACAGGACGAAGAGGACGACAACATCGTTGAGGATGAAGACAACGAAGCTGCTGATGGCGACGACAATGGCGATGGTCTCGCCGGTGACGGCAACACGGCAATCACCACCCAGGCTGTCCCGGGCCCGATCATCCAACCCCACCGCAAATGGCGCCACATCCCGAACTTCATGCGGATCTCCCACTGCCCGCCGACTCTGGAGCTGTTGCTCACCTGCAAGGAGCTCAGCCGCGAGGCCATGGACTGGTACTACGACGTCGCCATCCTGCGTATCGATGCCACCGGGAGCTTTGCGCACACATCCTTCTTCGAGGAATCCCTTGGCGAAATCACCGACGCCCCGTTATCCCCTGTCGAGAATATCCGACGCGTTGATGTCACCTTCGTCTGGGATTCTGCCTGGTTGCGCGCAAGCGAGGCTTTCGAGGGCATATACCAAGCCATGTTACGACAGCGCGCCGAATTCGTCATCGGCATCCTCAAGCGCGCTCCGGAGCTCAAAACCGTTACAGTGCATTGGCACGATTCCGCCAACGATGAGGAGAGCACTGCCCTGAAGCTCGATGTGCTTGAGGGCTTCTACGCCTTCCTGGGAAGCGCGGAGCTTAACTTGGAGGAGCATTATTTGTCACCAGGTGAAGAGCCGGATGCTACCAGTCTTGCTGGAAAGCAGCGTGTGGAGTTCCAACGTATCCTCGATGAGAATCACAATTTTCAGTGAAGAGGCTACGGAGCAAAACTGTGCACTTTCTCGAGCATTAGGTGCTGTCTGGCTTTCCTCATTTCATACTGGGTTTTCAGCTTCATCCTATGGCTTCAGCACTTTATGATGGGACTGGGTGTGATCGTTCGCTCTGGGATTGACGGCCTTGATAATGAACCATCTCTCTCCTGGCGACAAGGTGTTTACATGTATGCACGGGGTAAATGACACTGGTATTTACCACTCAATGGGTCTGGATAGGCTGGCGCACTGAATACCAGACTTTTCACTAGGAGTCTCTTGGCTTCTCCTTTCACTAGCTAGTCTTCTAAGCTAGCCTTCTAATATGGGGAATCTACATCCTGACTTGAACTTCTGGTGCATGACGGGAATATTGTATTAGCATGTTTTATGGAATATGAATAGATTGAGCTTGGTTTATTAAACTGCTTGACGATATTCTAGTAGATAGCAAGCGGACGCAGGTTCCCATCTCGAATCAGACCCAGTCTCTAGAGGTCTCCATTTATCACGATGGTGTGTAGGCATAGAATTCTCTGGCGAGATTTTCCGTACCTTAGCTTCAACTACAAATGTGCGATGGGGTCAGCGCGTTAGTATGCGTCACAGCACGTGAATCAAATAACCTTGTCCCAGGGAACAGCTTGCTGGGATTATGCCCGATAAGGGTGGAATCCAGTATTCTGTCGTAGATTTGACATCTGCTCTAGCTGTATCTTGAGAACGTGCTCAGAGTAATTCAGGACGGGTATTTTCATTTGTTGACGATCTATTGCATTCGAACAAGGGGTCTAGGTAATAAGGCCTGTTCTAGTTATGTTGCTCTAATTATGTTCCGCGTTAGTGCTAAAGGAGTGTACCTAGGGGGATATATACAATGAAAAAGATGTAAGTCTTGGCAACAAGTGACTATCGTGTAAGTCGTTCGTGGCTACTGCAAGCACACACCCCTAGCTTAAATCAGAAGAGTGCGGAGTAGAAGCGTTTCCATTCAAAATACTAACAAGTGAATGGCACTGAAATAAATCCTGACTACTACTACTACTACTACTAAATAGCGTCGTAAAGTGCATTGAAGGCAAGACATGATTATACTTAGCTGCTTTAGTCCTCATGCTGCCTCAGGCCCTTAATGAGTTTGCCGGCTCTTGCTCAGGCTCCAGTCAGACCAGCCTCATATGGTTAGCGTTCTCTTATACCTGTCTAACTATTTTAAACTTCTTTCCTTGAACTGTCTCCAGCTTCTGCACCTACCTTTTCATCCTCTCTTACTAATTTTTAAGCCTCTAACTGCCGCTTGCTATCTGCCTACGTACCAACTTTATGAAATCTTCGCGTGCTAACGCCTACTGGTCGTCGTCTTCTATAACGTCTGTCACCGTCTGTGTAAGGACGGGGCCCGCACCACTCCTCCATCACAACCAAAACGATACGAATGATCAGCCAGCAGTTGATTTGCATGCAGAATAGTACATATGCCTTACAGTCAGGCTCTCCGCCCGAAAGCTGCAACCTTCTAAATCTGCCGCAAAATTCCACTATTCCTCTATGCAATTGGTCCTTGGGACGGCATGTCTATATCTACGATGAAAATGATCCTAATACCGTGCTTAGTAGTCCCAGGGCTTCCAACTGGCCGTACTACGGTCCGTACAAAGTGAACCGCAACGGTCACGTGTTCAGTACGAACGTACCGAGTTTGTAAGCCGCACCGTACGTTTAGTGATGCCCTAGGTACGGTACGTAGTACGGATTGTATTACCCTTTTAGGAAGTTTGTATAGTGATTTAGGAGGAGTAGGAGGGCTGGCGAGCAGAGGGCCTGCAGGAAGCCTTTAGGGAAGTTTCTAGGGTTCTGATTAGCTAAATATTTTAAGGGGACGCTTAAACCTCTTTCTAAGTGTTTTACTCTATCCATCTGCTGTCTTAAAAGTGTCTTTTACTAACTATTTTCTATTGCAGAGTTATCTATCTGCACTCCTTGCGCCTTACAGGCCTTATCTAGTTAATTAGATACTGGTCTTGTAGGCTGCAGTGGTGGATAGCTATAACCATATTGTTTAACACCTACTAAGGGAGCATAAGGATAGTGTTGATGGAGAGCTCTTACCTAATAACTTAAAGCTACCGCAGCACCTATGGGAGCACCTAGAGGAGAATTAGTTATCTTATAGTTAATTAGGCCTTAATCCTGCGTCTCTAGAGACCTATTATCTTAGCCATTTTAACTAGAGTACAGCGTACTTAAATTAAATTATACTACTTGTACAGATCACATAAGCCGTAACAGTTACAATACGTACACCTACCTCTCCTCCTCCCTGTTGTACGAACGTACACAATATCTCACTCATACAGGCCTCAAAATCGCTCAATCGTACAGTACTACGCCTCGTTGGAAGCCCTGAGTAGTCCAGTTCTTACTACTAGCGTTACAAATGCTGACTTCCAGTTAACAGTGGAGATTCTTTTTCTCTTTCAAATCTCTTCTATCTACGAGGTAAGAATAGGACGAGGATTAAGAAAAATAATTGTCTGCTTTAACCTAGAAAGTACTATGTCATTTCTAACATTTAATTCCTATGAAGCCTGATGCAATGAAATAACTCGTCCGAAATTTAGCTATATTACTGGAACCCACGTTGTAGTCTTCTCTAAGGCTGTTCATTCGCGAGCTTATCAAAACGGTATATTTAGAGAAATTGTGCCTACGCTTGATTAGCAGCGTGGCCAACAGTCCGTAGTACGTAACGTAACTACGTGAACGTAGTAATCACGTGAGGAGTACAAAAGTAGTTAAAATGTGAGACGTAACTTTTGTACAGTGAATTGCTAAGTACGTCCTGTAGTACAGGTTAGAGAGGTTATATTTTAGGAGATTTCCCTCCTGTTTTTAGACCCTATTAGCTATTGCGTTAGAAGCTTTATTTTAGGTTGCGTTTTAGAGTAATAATTATAAAAATAGTTAACTTTTGCCCTAGAAAAGCTCTTTATCTTATACCTGCTTATTTGCTAACCTATTGCCTATCTTATTAATTGTTATAATAAGCTAGATGTCTTAATTCCTCTATTGCAGCAGGCGTACAGCCTTATCCTAATCCTCCTGCTTATTAGAGTTGTCCTAACAAGCTAGAGACAGAGGGCAATAAGGAGGAGGAGGGGACTTTATCTAGGCTAAAAAGCTTCTCCTAGAATAATTTTAACCTAGACTAACAAAACTTCTTGCAAAAAGTACAAAAGTATAAGGATTTTAAGAAGTTACTGTTATGTTACGTACTTGCTAATTAATTTACTGCTTACGTACAAAAGTACTACTAAATTAAGAAGTTACTGGCAGAAAAAAGCTCAAACGTAACGTACTACGTACTGTTGGCCACGCTGTTGATTAGTTTCATATTCGGGATGGCTTGAAAGCCGTATATATTTCCCCACTGGCTTACGAAGGTTGCTGGGTTGATAAAGCTACAGCCGGTAGATTATAGTTTGACTAGCTGAAGGGGGATATATTAACTCTATGTAGAATATATGATTGCTTGGATCTGTATACGCTCACTAATTGATGCCTATGCCAGCTCAATCCGCTCAGATGCGTGTTTTCTATCTAATACCAGAGTATATCTAATATTTATCTAAGGAAAGCTACAACGCCATGGCTTTGGCTTTTAGACTTCCTTGGGAGTTACTGCCAGCAAGCATCTCCATCTAGAATATTTTGCTCGTCCTAATGCACCTCGTAATTTGCTTCTACGCTAGCACCCTAGACAGGGGCTAGGGAGCCTCTCTGTAAACATGACTTCCTGCTTAGTTCTTAAAGAAAAACCTGACATGCAACATATATTCAGATAATAGACATCAGAGAGTCTATTTTGGACTCGGAAGCAGAATTGCACGCATCGTGATCCTACAGTCGGTTATATAAATCTGTTGGTTTGATCTTAGCTAGTGCCCAAGCTTCACGTTTGCCGATTAGCAGGTTATTTGGCTTAATGTCCAAGTACTTGACGTTTTTTTTCATGAATGAAGAGCACAGTCTGTGAGTGAGGTATCCGAGATATGTTTTCAAACCGGTAGCCCGGGGGCTTTGATAGATACAGCCTGGTATGTCTTGCGGTTAGTGCGCTCCCTCGATGGATGCTGGCCGAGACACAGCACCGATTACTTCCTGTTAGCTGGAGGGCTCTACAATAGGCTGCCTAATCAACTTTGGGCTTTGTGTCCCACGCTACAATATAAATCACAGAGCTCTTCGAACCGTCAATCCACAATACATGACTCCTCTCATAACTCGTGCCCCTTGCAAGTGAACACTTCCATCCGCGAATACTTCCAGGTTGTGCTTAGTCACAGGGTATAGCAAAATTGATTAATCTTTCTTAAGGCTGTACGTTCCTTCAACTCGCATGATGTGGTAGTGTTGGAGTCGTTGAGGGTGTTTTCCTTACGCAACCTCCGATGGCATCTAATCCTGTTACGTACGAGCCGAGTCCGTCCACAGCGGACTTTCTTAACCACTAACGCTATAGCCAGGGGTATCTAGCTCTCCTTCCTCACTTCGTATTCGATGTGTTGCTCGGGAATCCAATTCCTTGGCCGAGTCCGAAAGGATCCCTTCCTTCTTCGAATACGAGCTCTAGTCGCTCTGGAAACTTCGTACTTAGTAGTAAGCGGTGAGAGTGGGGAATATTTGGATGGGAAGCCTTATAACTGATTCTCAGCGACGGCCATCTAGGTACCATACAGGGCTTGGAGCCGGGTGGGGGGATAGTTGTAAGCAAACAAACTCAGAAGGGCCCAGAGCGCTAAAATTGCTTAATCAGCAAATATATAAAAAGATGATTGGAATACTTATCTTGTGTTGCATACATAAGGTGACGTCGGTATCAGGAGTCAAGGCTATCGCACGGGTAGTTAGATAGCTGACAGGGTGTGGCGTTAGGTGGCGGATTCCTAAAACACCACCAAAAAGGTTAAAGGTCTGCAAAACCACCTCAGCATCCTGCACGACAAAAACAACAACAGTTACATGCATGGGTCGCAGAAATTTGACCGCACAGACTTCGTATCTTTCTCCCCACCAATAGATACCCCAAGTCGCGTTCCCACAACCGTAGTGCTTTCGAAATTCCACAGCCTCAAATATGGCAACAACAGTGGCTTGCTATGGGACTTTCCGGCCTGTCCACCGAACTCTTTGCTCACATAATTCACACGCTGGTCGCGGATTTTGGGGTCTGCGAAGCGTTCCGATTGCGGCTCGACTCTAGTAAGTCACATCTAACACTATAATCCGGATATGTAGGTGATAGATAAATCCCGGTTTGTGACAAGTCGCCATGGTCTAGGAAGACCCTCTTGCAAAGCTGAGGGGACCTTGTCAAGGGTCGATCGAACCTCAAAATAATCGGTCACTTACTCCATCGCCTGCAGGAATAGACATTTGTACCTGCTAAACGCTAACATCAGCAGAGCTATTCGTAGCAGAGATTCTTCAAGGACCCCATTGCTTTTCAGCCTACGGAAACGTTCGAGAGAGCGAGCCATAACTCCACGCCTTGTCTCACGAACTCACTGACGCCTAGAACTTCACAATACCAATACATAGAACGTGTCGCACGTTTCTTCGATATCAATTCCACTTTCATTCTTCTTATGAGACTTCTCAGCTAAAAAGCTTCCACACGAGCCTCTACAAGTGGGTCGAGGGCGTTGTAGTGGAACTACTCACGCCGGACACCCTCCCAAGAAGCGGGTATTACTCAATCAGCTCTTCAGAGACTTGATCGATCACGCAACGGTACACTCGACCAGGCCCCGCTTCGAACATAGTCCGGTGAGCCTGCTTCCACACTGTCAATAGCCATATTGCCCAGCTTCCTCCACATATCGCCCTTGATGACGAATCCGTCCTTGCCCTCGTATTTTTTGCAAACTTGTTCGCCATTTGCAAGGGCGCGCACAAGCTTGCAGGCATGTCCGTCGTCGTGGTAGGTCTTTACGCGCTGAAAGATATCCTCCCACGACGAATCTTTCTTTGACTTGTAATTGGTGATCTCGTTGAGAAGGAGCTTAGGGGGGCGTGGAGAAGCATACATGGCCAAGTCGATGCGGATCTTCCATTCAAGGAGGCGGATTTTGTTGCGAGTTGAGAGCCATGGCTGCTGTAAGAATGAGCAGAAGAAAATGCTGAGATTTAGGGCGTGTATGTTCCAGAAGTCGAATTTGACCTGATTGGGCGGATGTTGTGCGGCACCAGTGAAGTATACTGCCAGAGGTCAGCCAAGAACTAGTTGCATGCTTCCGCTTGAAAGCTCACCAGCTGCATTAATCATCTCTGCCGTTTTCTCTTCAAGATTCTCCTCAGTGACATGTACTTGACTTGCGTACTTGGTTCTGCCGCCGGAAGCCCGCTTTGTATCTGCGTAAATTTCTCCCAAGAGCTGGATGATGGTTGTGTCGGATCGGCCATCTGGACTGTAGGCCTTGGCCGCTTTCTCACTCTCAATTAAGTGTGACGCCTCCCAGTTATCGTGAACGGCAGCTTGTGCTAAAGCCTCTGCAATAATTGCAGGCTGCTGGAACTCGACGCCGAAACCAAGGTGGATGATCGGGTGAAGGATGCCACCAAACATGCGCACGAGCATATCGTCAGCCCGCTCATCCCCTTTGAATACATACTCGTTTAGCACCTCTTGCCAGCCCTTCTGGTCAATCTCTTCTTTAAAGAAGACTAGGAAGTCATGGTAGTATTTCTCACTGCCTAAGTACGTCTTGTACTTCTTTGGGTTGTGCATGTCCGTGACGATGGACTGCTTGAGCGGCACTGGCGGTCGTTGATAGGACACATTGTCATCCCAGCCTTGCCTGAGCTCGGCGGGCGTGGCATTGAGGGCGAAGAGGGTGAGGAGGTGGTGGACGATATGGTTCTATTGTGAAGTCAGCAATCACGTGACATGTTATTCTGAAGACATACATGGAACCCAGCGTAGTTGAAGAAAATGTGATGCTTCTCGTGGTTCTCCTGCAGTAGCTCGCTCGTCACGTCCGCAGTCTCAGAGCTTATCCCAGGCACATAGAATACGGGCTGCTGCGACGGCGAGAGGTGGACTTTTGAAGAGGTAGCCATTGTGCGAGTGGAACGTGTTGGAGGGGCTCTCCAATGTCTCTGTACCGGGTTAAATCTCAAAGACGTGTACCTGCAGCTAGATGCACTGAGCGCGTGCTTCACGTGCACCGGTCTGACAAACATTGGCACCTACCGTTACCCACCAGCACAACACAAGGAAGACGATCAAGTGCGGGATTCCCGCGGCACGGGGCATGCTTCGAGGGACTCTCTACCTATCGCCTGCCGGATGAGGCCAGAGTATTTGTTCATTTATGACGTTGCACGAGAGTCACACCTCTCGGACATCGGCGGTTGCTAAGGTGCGACATTACTAAGGCCAAGACATCCAGATCAAGGAGCAATTCGAGGTGAGTCCGGCCAACTGGTTTCGTGGATGATCATGTTTGCAGTCTCGCACGAGTATTGACAGAGAGAACTGCAGTAGAGGGTTAGAGGGTTAGAGGGAAGAGGAGTTATGCAACTAGTGCTAGCCAGCTTCTTTCTCGTGACTAATTCCTATTCCTAATCTTATCCCCTAATAATTATGCTATAGACGCACTAACGTCTGCTGTCAGCTAGCATCTTAAGCAGTTAGAAAGTGATTCACTCTTCATTCAGATCTGCACAAAGTCGAGTATTGATTGGGCCAGCTTCGGGCACAATTATCGGACACAATCGTCGGGGACAATCGGGGACAAATCGGGCTCAATCGGGCACAAACGGGTACAATCGAGCACAATTGCCCGGCAAGCCGACTTCTTGTGTTGATGCATCGACATACCCGAGACCGACTCAGCTTGCCCGAGGCCGGCTCAACTTGGGAATCAACATCTGGATTGCATTTTCGGCTGGATTAGTGCTGGAAAGAATGAAAGAAGTTATCCCAACATGTAGTCTCGAAATTCTTCAAACCTCGTTATCCTTACAAAGGACCCTAATTCGCACGTTGGAAGTCCTCACATTTTTGGAAAGTCACTTCGTCACTCATCAATCATGATTGCCCAAGCAAACGAAACCCTCCGTGCAAATGGAACGCACCAAGCAACCGGCAAAGTCCAGGCACCCTCAACTTCGATTCTGGCACTGGCTCAGAACATCCTCGAAGTCACTCAGGATATGACCAAGTACTTCCAGGCTAACAACCTTGTCGCACCTACTTTTGCACTCGATTCCCACGATCCGCCTGAGACTGCAGAATATCGCCGGCTTCATGCCGACCTAAAGACCTCTTTAGAAGATCTTCAACGTCTCATTGATGGCCCGAGAAGGTGGCTGAGATATTTCTGCTGCACCTGCTACGATCTCGGTGCACTCCAAATTGCGTGTGACTTCAACTTCTTTCAATTGGTACCTGCACATGGAGAAATCACTTTGGAGGAATTGGCCAAGAAGGCTGCTCTAGATCAGGACCGCACGGCCCGTGTCATTCGCCAGCTCATGACGTACCGCATGTTCGAAGAACTTCGGCCAAAAGTATTTTCTCACAGCTCTACCTCTCTCACTATGCACCAAGATGAAGAACTACGAGCTGTTGTCCACTGCACGCTTGATGAGTTGTTCAAGGCGTCTGCCGACTGCGACATCAGCCTCAAAGCTGATCCACATAACGCACACCATGACATAAACCCCTTCGCCACCCGGCATGGTTGTGGTCCTTTCGAATTCTACAAAAAGTACCCAGAGAAGGCGGTCCGATTCTCGAATGCCATGGCTGGATTGAGGAAGATGAATAGCCATATCGACTTTCTGCTGAAAGATGGCTTCGACTGGTCCGCTATCAAGGGCACTGTAGTTGACGTTGGAGGAGGTAATGGCCATCTGTCCAAGAGCTTGGCGCAAGTAAGTCTGCCTAAAACAATAGTTCCATTAGTTATCTCTAACCTAGCAAACGACAGCTTCATCCCGACTTAAACTTTGTTGTACAGGACTCCAACGCCGACATGCTGGCCCAGGGCCGTGACTCACTCTCGGGTGATCTCCGTGATCGAGTGACTTATCTTCAACACAGCTTCTTCGAGCCACAGCCAGTCAAAAATGCTGCTGCTTTCCTCATCCGGCAAGTTACCCACAACTGGGCCGACCACGATGTAGTCAGAATCTTCAGGTCATTCGTTCCTGGACTTGAGAACACCAGCCCAAATACCCCACTGCTCATCAACGATATTATCCTTCCGGAGCCAGGGGCCTGGCCTCGTCATCACGAGCGAACTGCGCGTCAGATAGATATTTGCATGTTGGTCAATTTAGGTGCTAAACAACGCACGAAGGATGAATTCGAGGGGCTATTGAAGGAGGCAGATGCAAGATACGAGATACGCGACGTCTTTGACGACGGACCGCTAGGTCTTCTTGTAGTCTACCTGAAGCGATAGATTCCGGCTTAAAGTAGTAGGTAAACAGCGACGAAAGCGTCCTTCTCCATACGATCCAGGAATGTCATTGGCGCTATAACGTCGGTGGCAAGCAAGTTGGCTATACAAGCGAGTCAACCACTCCTACTCACCTTTGTTTACCTAAAAAGCTACGTAGTTTAAGAACACCGTAGAATACTATTCACATACAATTATCTAAGTTAAGCAATATCGAATTGAAGATTCTTGCAAGGACGTGTTTGCGCGTAATTTCATGTTACCCCCAACGCAACTTCAGCCAGCTGCGTTGATCTAGAGCATATTAATCCCCCTGTCTCCTCTTAGGCACATGACAGCAAGGAGAATTCGCGACGGGTGAACAAGAGCAAGCGCTGCTTCATAAACTACAACCTCGACGTAGAGGAGACTCCTTAGCCACCCAAGCGGCAGCGTGATATCAACGGCGTACCATATATTCCTCTATACCTGCCGTGCTTTTTCTACAACCCTTCGCCAACTAAGAGCTACAACCGCCGCTCTGAAAACTTAGTCGAATCGCACCGGAGCGGCCTTAGCCTTTCAAAATAGCTACAGCCGCTAGAGTATGAAGATCAGCCTGTCTTCTTTGTAATTTGGCGACATTTAAGAATATGATGAACGTGCTGGCGCAGCAACAATGCGCAATATCATCGAGGGCCTCGCAGCCAGTGCTGGAATACTTATATATGAAGATCTTCATACTATGATAGCCTCGCTATCATTAGCGTTGGACCGGAAATAATTTAGATATCCTTAGGCGAAAAACTGCACCCAATGCCTCGTGTACAGCGCAATTCCCTCAGGAACGTGTTTAGAAAATATCGTGAGGGCTAAACGGAACTAGGAATTTCAAGAACGACTAGAATACTAATGTCTAGCACGCACTTCTCAAACTTGCACGGGAAACATGCGAGCATAAAGCAACTCTTAATATTTTCGGAGCGTATAGTACCTTGTTTATTAGTTGGAAGTTGCTTGATGCTGGCATACTAGCAGAAAACTCTTGACCATCAACCCTAAATCGCTAGTCCCCATGAATGAAGAAATTCCCCATCACATCAATTACGTTATCGCGCTCAAAGTCGATAAATTCTCCAAACAACCTTAGTACACTCAAACAACTCTCTGTCGATGGGGGTGTCAAATCCTGGAACAACGTGGCAAGAAACTGAAACCTTCGCACCAATTGCTATTAAAGTCGAGACCAGCAAGCCGCAGGCCGCAATATGGACTGATGCGTGGTCGAATAGCCTTATGCTGCTTCCCGGCGCGAAAGTGAAGACTGAGCTGTGGTCGGCAATACCCTGATCGTTCAAGGACATAATTGTTAATCATATTAAAGAATGGCCACAAGACGGTTATTCGAGAAAAAACCAATGTGTGCAGTACAAGGTCGTGTTTTGATGCTATGAAGGTAGTATTGATATGACACTAGTGCACGTGTGCATAGATTAGGCAGAGACCGTTGGCGTCCGTGGTTCTTACCATTACTATGAGTTACAAACCACTTACGATTATAAATGGAACAATATGCTTGTGCAAGCTCTCTAGTTCTGACTACATTGCCTTTCTTGGCGGCTCAGCCAGACATCGATAGTAGAAAGGAGAGCTGTGGCTTCAACAGGAATATACCGACTCACAAGCGAATGTCTTGGCATCAGCCTTATATATTTAGTAAAGTGCTACTGCTGAAGGTACATGATATACTATTATACAAGAGATTACTTCTTCACCTGAATTCAAGCTCGCAAGGTTGTGGCCGGAGCGGGTCGGCCACCCTTCCTTCTGCTGGCGGCAACATCAAGAGTCAAAGTCTTCAGTGCCCTAGGTGCACTAATTCATTTCCGACTCCTACAGCACGATTTAGTGTTCATGACGGACATGAACTAGTGCACGGATGTAGTGCTCGTTGATTCCGCTCATATCGTGCTTACTTAACCATGCGATATTAAACCGTTAGAGCTTAGCCAATCTATTTATTGTGTAAGCCGCCTGCCCCCACTTTTGTGCTCAACTCGCTTCTCTCAAGAATTTGTTCCGTAACACCTGCCAACTAAATGCTGCTTTAGCAATGCCGCTTCTTGATCTAGCGAATGAATTACTCTGTTGCATATCGGAAAACCTAGAATTAGAGAGAGATATCAACGCCTTTGTGCAAGCGAACCGCCACCTTTATCGTTTGCTAAATACCTATCTCTACCGTTACAACGTACGACAGTTTAGAAGCTCGGCGTTATTGTGGGCCGCCCAATATGGCCAAGAGGGAACGGCCCAAAAATTGCTAGAAGAGAGAGCTGATGACCAAGCCATAGATGGCTGCTTTCAGGCATCGCTCCGCGTGGCGGCAGAGAAGGGGCATAAAGAGATAGTAAAGCTGCTGCTCGACAAGAGCACCGACAGCAGTGTGCAGGACGGATATTATGACAATGCCCTCCTGGGAGCTTTAGAAGGCGGCCACCAGCAGATCGTAAAACTGCTGTTTGACAAGGGCGCTAATGTCAACGCACAAGCTGGAAGGTTCCGCAACGCACTCCAAACTGCTTCAATTAGAGGGCATGAGCAGATAGTAACGCTGTTAATTGACAAGGGCGCCGATGTCAGCGCGCAGGGCGGATATTACGGCAACGCACTCCAAGCGGCTTCGATTCGAGGCGCCGAGCAGATCGTGAAGCTATTGCTTGACAAGGGCGCCGACGTCAACGCACAGGGTGGATGCTACGGCAACGCACTCCAGGCGGCTTCACTTGGAGGGTTCGAGAATATCGTAAAGATGTTGCTAGATAAAGGCGCCGATATCAACGCGCAGGGTGGGAGGCACGGAAATGCACTGTACCTGGCCTTATGTAGAAAGCGCGGGCCGATCGTGACGCTACTACTCGACAGGGGCGCTGATGTCAACGCGCAGGGTGGAAAGTTCAACAGCGCACTCCAAATAGCTTCACTTCGAGGCCTTGAGCAGATTGTGAAGTTGTTGCTGGATAAAGGCGCCAACGTCAACGCGCAGGGAGGATATTATGGCGACGCACTCCAGGCAGCTTCATTTGGAGGACACGAGCAGATCGTAACACTACTAGTTAACAAGGGTGCCGACGTTAACGCTCAGGGTGGATACTACGGAGACGCACTCCAGGCAGCCTCCGTTGGAGGCTACAAGCAGATCGTGACGCTGCTACTCGGCAAGGGGGCTGACATCAACGCGCAGGGTGGATACTACGGCAATGCACTCCAAGCGGCTTCAGCTGGGAGCCATGAGCAGATCGTGATGCTGCTGCTTGACAATGGCGCCGACGTTAACGCACAGGGAGGCAATTACAACAACGCACTCCAAGCGGCTTCACTTAGAGGCCTAGAACAGGTTGTAAAGGTGTTACTAGATAAAGGCGCCAATGTCAACGCGCAGGGTGGATATCATGGCGACACACTCCAGGCAGCTTCATTTGGAGGACACGAGCAGATCGTGACACTGCTAGTTAACAAGGGTGCCGACGTCAACGCACAGGGTGGATTGAACGGAAACGCGCTCCAAGCGGCTTCATTTAGAGGGGATGAGCAGATCGTGACACTGCTAGTCAACAAGGGTGCGGACGTGAACGCCCAGGGTGGATACTACGGTAATGCACTCCAAGCGGCTTCAGCTGGGGGGCACGAGCAGATTGTGACGCTACTCCTTGATAAGGGCGCCGATGTCAACGCGAGGGGTGAAAGGCACGGCAACGCACTCCAAGTGGCTTCAGTTGGAGGGCACGAACAGATCGTGATGATGCTTCTCGACAAGGGCGCCAACGTCAACGCGAGGGGTGGAGAGTACGGCAACGCACTCCAGGCAGCTTCAGCTGGAGGCTACAAGGAGCTTGTGGCGCTGCTAGTCAATAAGGGTGCCGATATCAACGCACAGGGTGGGAAGTACAGCAACGCACTCCAAGCAGCTTCTGTCAGAGGACACGAGCAGATCGTGACGCTACTGCTCGACAATGGCGCCGATATCAACGCGCAGGGTGAAAGGGGGAGCAGCGCACTCCAAGAGGCTTCAGTTAGAGGGCACGAGAACATCGTAAAGCTGTTGCTGGATAAAGGCGCCGACGTTAACGCGCAGGGTGGATGCTACGGCAACACACTCCAAGCAGCTTTAGTTAGGGGGCAAGAGCAGATTGTAAAGTTGTTAATATATAGAGGGGCCAACGTTAACGCGCAGGGTCGAAACTGTAGCAACGCACTCCACACCGCCTTAAACAGAGGCTACGCGAAGATTGTAATGCTGCTGCTTAAAAAAGGGGCCCACGTTAGTACGTAGGGTAAATTCCTCTAGGAACGCGCTCTATTTAGATTCTAAGAAAGGCTATTTATTGATTATTAAGCTATTGCTTTTAATAATTGCCTTTACCTTAAAGCTTTAACTTCACAAGCTTTATAGTACTAAGTTATAAAAATTCGATGCATAACGTTACCTAGCTTAAAATTTTATGTTCTTATTTTATATATCTTATACAAAATCTTTCTGCTCAAGCAAGTTATAAGTTTATTAACTAGTTCTCTTGTTAAATGAGCTAGGGCAAGTGCCATTACGCAGTGCTTCTGGCGGCAGATTGTTCTGATTAATTCTGCCGTAGTCACCTCAGCAGATTGCATGAGGAATACGAATTAGGAGAAGTGGACGCCTCATGTTTGTTAAACCTTAGTGGTGCGCTGCTGCTGACTCTGGATGCCGAAAGCGTTCTGAGAATCGTCCCTAACTCCGTTACATCAAGGAGTGATGTTGATGCAGTAGAGGCAGCTCGGTTTGTCAGGCTTCAATTTTTTAGGTACACTTGGACTTTGAAGAGGTTGGGTATAGTTAGTATTCGCAAGGAATTAGTTGCCGAAGCTAGCAGCCCATCTCCTACCCAGCTCCTGCTCACCCGCTGATTCTAGCTAGCTAGCCTGGTACCTGAAAGACTTTTGCGCAGAAATCGTGGCTTAAGTGGATCTTACTCGAGATGTTACAGCTTTCCACGCAAGCATATGGGGGAATATACAGCGGGGACAAGAAGGTAGTGAATGAATTTAAGGGCTGGCTTGGCTATTTAACAGTGATGATTCTGTCGGCAATCTGTTCGAACATAATTCCCAAATGACTATATTATATATCCATAACATAACTAATTCCTTTCATGTGCTACCATTCGGCAAAGTCTTGCTAATTCAGGAATCCAATCTCCTTCCAAATGTGAATGTACTTCCTCACCACCTCCTCACTCACAGCCCCTACGGTAGTAAGACTCTCTGAATGCTCAAGAGCCTTCTTGACATCCAATACGAGTCCGCCGCAAGACATGCGCAAGTAGTTACTATCCAAGAACTCCAGTAGAGTAGCGGCGGGGTTGTTGTGCTGAGGTGCAGCTCGCACACGTTCTACCCACTCTTCAAAGGGAATCAAGCTTGGGATACCTAACGCATCTGATAATATGGCATTTAGTTCGCTCCAAGGCTGGCCGACTGGGTTCTCGACGTGGTAGATCGGATAGGGGTTGCAACTGGAGAGTGCTAGGTCCGATAACGTGGCGGCAACATCATTGACCGGCGTCCAGTAGGCTGTGCCGCTCGAGTCCGGCAAGGCTCTCAATGTCTGCGAAGACTTGATCAGGAATCCAAAATGCTCCATTGGATTCCAATACCCGCTGGTCTTAGATCCTGCAATTTGCCCTAAACGGACCGCCATTGTACGAAACCGGTCCGGATGCTTGTGTAACGTCTCGTCGAGCATTCTCTCGCAGCCCCACTTGGCATCTCCGTATCCATTTGGCAGGACAGAGTCGATGTCGACGCGCTCTTCAGGCACCTTTGTCACCTTCTCGCTATTGCCAAGACCGTAATGACCGACAACCCCAATAGAAGACACCATCTGGAAAGTGAACTTGAAGCTCTCTGGGCCACGGGAGGCAGCCTTGGATGCGAACTCGATCAGATTGCGCATAGTCTGAAATTGCGACTCGAATCCAGCCAACGGACGTTTGGCGCTCATGGGCCACGCATTGTGGATGAGGTGAGTGACTGAACCAACGAGCGTTGCGTACTGATCCTTGGAGAGCCCAAGCATACCCTTTGACGTGTCTGTCTGGAATACGCGCAACTTAGGCTTGAGATTTTCGGGAAATCGGATACCTTTGCTGCGCATGGCCTTGTATTGGCGATCAAAAGGATCTGCTTTGTTCTCCCGGTTGAGGCAAACAACTGTCTTCACATTAGATAGCTGGGCGAGATGATAGACCAAGTGGCCTCCCAAGCTTCCTGTCCCGCCCGTGACTAACACTACCTTTTTATCCTCACTCGGTGCCGTTGAGGCCAGATAAGGGGCCGGGCAAGTGAATCCGGTCGTGTAGGTGTGAATATACTCATCCACTGCTTGCTTACGGGCTGTGAGCACGGCTCTCTCGCTCTGGGTGTGTTTCGCCGCGCCGTTCATCTTGGCCGTCTGCATCGCAGTGGTGACAGGCTTCATTTCATTGGGAACTGAGATGGGGAACTCGTTGCTCTCAGGGAGAGGCTCGATGTTCCTAATATCTTTCTCTCCCACCAACAAGCGTTTGAGGTCGGCCACAGTCGGGCATTCCAGAAAGAGGGCCTCGTGCTGCATATCAATCTCGAGCTCATCCCGGAATCGGCTTGCGACCACAAGCGACAGCAGCGAGTCGACTCCGGCGTCAGCAAAATTCGTCTCGTCCGTAAGCTCCTCTACTGCGAGACCGCTCTCTTCTGAAACGATTTGGAGAGCACGATGGAAATCATGTTGAGACATGGTAGAATGCTCGCTCGTAGCAGGAGTGGTCATGCCGGTAACTGTGGCGGTGTTTGGATTAGTGTCACCCCATCGCGGTGTCGATACTCCAGTTGTGCTAGCACTGGGGTTTCCCAGCGCTACTTTGAGGTCTCTGACTGTTGGATGCTCGTAAAAGAGGGCATTGAAGTCGAGATCGATATCGAGTTCTTCCTTGAATCGGGAGGAGATAGTCAGTCCCAGGAGGGAGTCGACACCGACGTCGGCGAAGACCGTGCTATCAGTCAAGTCGTCTACAGCAAGCCCACTCTCTTCTGATATTATAGAAAGAGCTTTCATGAGCCTTGAAGGGCTGTTTTCTGTTGTGACGGCTGGTGGAATTATATGCGTGGTGGACGCTGAAGCTGATAGGAAAGCCTGTTTCTGTTGCACAGGCTGCTGCTTCTGTGATCTGTTCCCACTCTCGATTGATAGAATTACCTTCAAAACCCGGCGAGGCACGCCTTGAATCTGGTGTTGAATTAGCAAGCGTGAGTAAGATCTTGGAATGCAATCTACGAACCGCAATTTGCCCAAAAGACGCAACAACTCTATCATCGTTGAGAATAACAACATCTCCAAGCCACAGTTTATCTGGACCTTGTTCCATACGAGTATAAGTAACGTATTCCTTATCAAAGTCGAGGGGTTCAAAGATCTGGAATGAGCCCCATCCGTGGTTCATGAAAACTTCCACATCAAGGTCAGAGAAGTCATTGCAGTTCATAGTGAAGCCGCAAGATTGAGTCAAAGCATCAATGATCGCTGGGTGGGTGTGGAATGCTCCGCCACGCTTAACGCTGCCAAAACTGAGACGACTAGTTGCCTCCAGTGTGTTACTATTAAGGATAATCTCGTCAATGGCTCGGTAGTCGTCATGGAACCGTGCCAACGGTCTTATGGCGCGATACACCATAGGCCGGTTGAAACGTGCGGTGGTTCCAGTCGGGATTCCAGCCCGAAGAGCACCCAATTTCTTTTTCAGATTGGGTACATCTGCCTGGAGCACCTGCTGAAGGCCACTCTCTTTGAATTGTACAACGCAACGTGCATGCTCTTGTAAATTATGTTTGCTCTGCGTCAAATTAGTGCCCTGTATGTATATATTTCTAGGATTTACTTACGTCGAAAGACATAAACTTGATGGCTGCGGCCTGAGACTCCCAATCTACTTCGGTGTGTGCCTGTAGAAGCTGCTGGGTGGCCCCAGCCCTCAAGATGAGAGCTTTGGAGATGGTCATCTTCGTTATGTCGACTAGGTTCTCGTCTTGATTGGGGCGATACCGCTGAAGAAGGTAGTTTCCTAGGGTCAACGTGATGTCTGCGTATACCGAGGGAGTACAGAGCGGGATGCCGTCTACCTCATGGCCTTGCACTAATGGGCTCAGGTCCTTGCGCGCGATGTCTGCTTCGACGATTATATGGGTCTTAGTAGAGTCTCCCGACTCTTCAACAATGCGATGGATGGTCGTACTCTCAAGCTTCGGGGTGTTTGCTATAGTTAGAGGGGGATCTCCTTTGCGCAATGACCAGTCATTCACATACTGGATCCAGTAGTGCTTCGTGTCCCAGGAATATGCCGGCAGAGAGAGAACCTTGCGCGAAGCCTCAAAGTCGCGATGATATTCAGCCCAGCGTATATCTGCTCCCGCCATATAAAGGGATCCCAATGTCGATCCCAATACCGGCCAGATTTTCCTTCCGCACTGTGAAGTAGCCAGTGTTGTCATCTGTGATCCTAGGGTGGCTTTGATCATGCTCGAAACTGCCGGGTGTGGACCAATCTCTAGTATAGTCGTTTGATCCGTAATTACATTTCCATTCTGCGCGTCTAGTAATGCCCCTAACATGTTGACGGGTTCACGGCAGTGCCTTACTAGATACTCTGCGTTGAATTTCCCGATATCGTTAACCACACCACCATCAAGGGGACATAAAACAGGGATTCTAGGCGTATGGAACGTGACCGCACTCGCGACGGTCTTAAGGTCTGGCAGGATGGGGTCCATCTGAGAGGAATGAAACGCATATGGGATTTTAAGTATCGTAGAGTCCAGGCCAGTGTCAGAAAGTAAGCGTTTGATATCGGAAATCTCTTGGTTTGAGCCTGCCAGGACGGTTTCGATTGGGGAGTTGATGCATGCTATCTGAAGCTTGGCGTCTTTCAGCAGCTTCGTGATGTCGCTCACTGACCCTTTAACCACAAGCATGGCGTGCGTGTCACGGGTGCACTTTTCTTGCAGCAACGTCGCCCGCTTGCCGACGAGATAGAGGGTATCAGCGTCGGAGAGTACGCTTGCAACATTTAGAGCGGCATACTCGCCTAGACTGTGACCGACAACAGCAATGGGTGTGATATTCCAGGACGACAGCGTTTTGTACATTGCAATCTGTAGGCACACACTTGCTAGGTGAACCACGATAGGTGAGAAATTAGTAAAGTCTCGTTCTGTGGATTCAATGACAGGCAGTATAGACTCAAAGCCGAGGCTCTGCCCAATGTGATTCAAGCGATGAATCTCAGCCCGGAAGATGGAGAAGTGCTCGAACAACTCTCTCCCCATGCCTGGATATAGGGCTCCCTGGCCTGTGAAAGCGAAGAGGATCTTTGGGGTGCTTTTCGGTCTGTTTACACCTTTGTTATCTCTAAGTGCCGCTTGAATTTGAGTACGGAGATTCTCGGTTGTAGACGCAGACAGCATGACGCGATGCGGATGGTGGATGCGGCGTGCTGTCGTGGTGTATGATAGCTGACCTAGGGAAACACTCGGACACTGCTCCATGAATCTAAGCATGGAATTCAAATTCCCTTGTAGTGAGACTCCGTTCTTGGCAGATATCGCTACCAGCTGGTGGGTGCGGGGGTCTTTGGGGCTGTCGGAAAGTTCCTGCGCGACTGGTGCATCTTCGATCAAGAGAGCGGAATTCCCACCAGCGGCGCTGAAGTTATTCACGAAAACCCTCCTCGGCTTGTAAGGATCCGCATTACGCTCCCAAGGAACAGGCTTTTGTGCAATTTTGACGTTGCGGTCGGAAAGATCGGGTGGAAACCTCTGATTCAACCTTGTTTTGATCCCGCAGTGCGGCACTATGGTGTTCCTTTGCATCATAAGCAACACTTTAATGAGACTTGAGACCCCCGAAGCAGCTTCACCGTGGCCGATATTGGCTTTTGCTGAGCCAAGGTAGAGTTGCTGGTCTGTCTTTCTACCCTTTTCGACTTCAGACAATGATGGAGCGAACGTGTCAAGAACGCTGGACATTTCCCCTGCGTCACCAGCTTGAGTTCCTCTATATTTGGTTATTAATGCGTCAATGGACATTTGCAATGATCATGAAGGGAAGGAATATCTTACGTTCCGTGCATCTCAACGTATCCCACCGTGTAGGGATCCACTCCACCCTGGTTTAGAATCTTGCTAAATATTTCCCGCTGAGCCCCAACGTGCGGCCGTGTTATAGATTCCGACTCGGCTGAATGATTTGTGTTTGCACCTAAGATGATCCCCAAAATTGGGTCATTGTCCATTAGAGCGTCTTCAAGACGCTTGATAATAACTGTTCCAATGCCTTCTCCTCGACAATATCCATCAGCACTATCGTCGAAAGTTTTGCAATTGCCCGTTCGTGAAAGGAAATGGCCGCGATCAAGCCCCGCAGTAAAATCAGGGTTTGTTAGAACATTGGTTCCCCCTGCAATGGCTGTGTCAATGTCCCCGCGCCATAGTGAATTGCATGCTAGGTGAATACCAGCAAGGCTTGACGAACATGCCGTATCGACCGCATAGCTAGGACCGCTGAATTTGAAACAGTAGTTGATTCGACCTGGAATAAATGCTCGATTTCCTCCGGGAATAAAGTATGTATCGATATTTTGGGCGCTGTTCGTCTCCATCCAGTCGTTGCTCGTGACTCCATAGAAGACCCCAACACGATCACGTCTGGTAGAGGGCGTGGCATCAGGAACAAGCCCAGCCTGTTCGATTGCCTCATATGCTGTCATTAATGCGAGCCTCTGGGCGGGATCGATTTGGGGTGCCTCTCTTGGAGAGATGTTGAAGAAGCGGGCGTCAAACTCAGCTGGGTCATCAAGCCAGCAGCCGAATGGTGTTGCACTCGTGTTTTTGCGGGCTCCAGTTGGGTCAACATGCGTTTTGACATCCCAGTGGAGGGCGGGAGCAGGCTTATGGACATCCAAACCCAGGTACAGAAGGTCCCAGAAGGCATCAACGTCTTTTGCCCCAGGAAACCGCCCAGACATACCGATAATGGCGAGCTTGGGCGTCCTTAGATTCGAGGAAGCAGTGGTAGATTCTGGAGCCCGTTTACTTTGGACCTGCGTAGGCAGCAGCAATGAACGCAACGTTGTTTGCCGAAGCTCGGCGTAGACGAGTTGGTCGGCTGTAGTAGCAATAGGAACGACAGAGAAGGACTTCGAATCAGCCTGGTAGATCCAGGACTGGATCCCTTGGAGAATACCACTCCATTGAACAGGTCTCAATAGAATCTCCCTGACCGCATCTTCCAATAGTGTCGCAAAATTGTGCCTTTCTTCAGGCTTGCTACCCGACAACACTGGAATCTGCTCACACATATCACCTTTCTCAGTAGAAACATCTTTGACAATCTCTGTGACATCGTATTCACTGTGTACATGCGGGGCGTGATATGGTCCGAATATGGGAATGTTCTTGTATCTAGCATTTCGGAAATCGCTCGACTTGATGAGGAGTTGAATCGATGATGGCGGTCCGCTCACAGTAATCCAGTTTGGCGCATAGGCACTGATATATGGTTTGCTTGTCATTGGGAGTGTCTAAAGAAAGTCAGTGGGTGCGATCCTTACAAGTGCATGTATGAGGCAACTTACACTTTGTTCGCAGAATTTGCGAACAAAGTCCACCGTCGCTGCATCTGGTAGAATAATTGACCAATTTTGGTCCGATTCGTGACCAACTGAAACTCGATTGGCGGCTTCAGTTACAACTAGCCCAGTTCTGAAGGCTACAGTTACCGCATCGACAGATAGGGAAAGAAAGTCCAGCATGTTACAGCTGCAACTCAGGACAGCTGCAGCAAGCGTTCCAGTACAGATACCAACCACCCTTGATGTGTTTACAGTAGGGAACCAATTGTCTCCTTGACTATACAATAATTAGCTAGTATCTCATATCTTACTGATAGAGGAGATTGCACTTACATGACGAAAGCTCCGAGATGATACATGCATGTTACAGCCATATCGAGCGGTACATATCGCTTGCCACTCCTGCTCCAGAGCACGAGGTCTTCGATGGAGGTGAATCGAGGGAGATCTTCCTTGATGTCTTGAGGAAGTTTACACATCTCCACGCGGACTGCATCGTAGGTCTTCTCAAGGAAAGCTTCCAGAATTGGATTGTCGCGGTGCTGTAGCAGCTCCTTCAACCGGGGTTGTATGTCATAAGTCTGGTCACCAAAGAGATACAGCTTCAGAGATTCTGCCATGATTGGACTTTGTGATGTTGAATCGAGGGCTCTGGTGGAACTTGAGGTGGTCTAGATATCTGCTTCGTGAAACTCGGGTTGGCTGTCGTCTAAACTATCGGTTGCCTTTTTGTTACTCGAGGTGAACGCCCAGGAAACTTGTCTTATTAGATAATAAGCGGTATATCCAATTATGTTTTTGCTACATCCCGCTCAACTGAGTGTTTAACACCCGTACCTTAAGGCTCGGGACATGGTCCTCTGCCTCTGTGATTGCCTTCGGGCAATACCCATCCCGACTAGGTCTCTAGCATCCCCTATGAACCGAAAACAACAGTATCGCCAAAACGCTTCTCAGCTCCCCCGCTATACGGATCGTTTCGCTGACTCTTTCGTGGGGGTAATTTTTTTTGGAAGGGCCTCTTAAAGGCTCAAGCGGCCCCTGAAGTGAGTGTTGGCGCTAGCGACCCGCGCAAGGGGGCATGGACGATTTCCCGGACGCTGGAAGTTCGGCACCCAGACAGCGAGTTCTTCTGATAGCCCGCGAGATAGTGCCCGATTGGCTAACAATGGGTTCGGCGTGGCGCAAGGGAGGGGTCCGGGCCGGGCCTTTGCACTGTCGTCATGCGTCGTCCTGCGTTTACGACGTGAATAACAGTTTAGCCTAAAACACAAAGCAAGCAGAAGATAAGTTGTCTTTCAAGTCAATTGATTAAGTTTATTCTAATAATCAGCTGCAGATGTGCAGTCTCCATAGTACAGCGTAGCTATAGGATCGCTACGGTTGTGGTTCTAGCAAATATCTCGCCCTGCCAATAGCAACTTTTCAGACACCTTCACGGGAAAGACTTGGCTGACATATCAGACTGTGTGGCTTGCAGGGTGGCTTACTCCATGAAACTCTGGTTTCCTCCCGTCGACTATCTGGGCAGGTGTAGTTATCATCTCAGCGCATTGACAATCCTGCGGGCCCCGTACGTGCGAATCCTGTATGCACAAATCCTGTATGTGCGAATCCCACGGGCTGATGTTCGTGTTGAAGCCTGTATGGAATGTATATAATTGTCTGTAGGACAACGCCCTGATTCTGCAGCACAACACTTTCCCCGAAGATGCCCGAAGATGATGCGAGAAGACCGAGAATTGGTCGCCCGAAACTGCGGACGAGTTGTGACGAATGTGGCGCAGCTAAGCTGCGATGTGATCGTGGCCAGCCCGAGTGTGGGCGCTGTGTGTCCCATGGTATTTCGTGCGTCTACGGCGTTTCGCGCAAGATGGGGAAACCGCCACGACAGAAGCCTCGTTCAAGCTCAGTGCAGGTATCCACTGACCAGGTTAATGTCACGGAGGGTGAGTTTCACTACATTGCGTACCTTTCCCTATCATTGCTAACGTGCTCATAGCCTGTGATACGGCTGATGACATGATCGATCTGGAAGGATCCTTCGATCAATCAACTCTGCCTCTGTCAGCCTTTACCTCTCTGGATTTTAATGAATGGCCTAACGTCGACCAATTCAACACTAGTTTATTTCCGAATACTCCAGAATCATACGCCACTCACTTTACGATACATCCAGTCCAGCCTAGTAAGAGCCACCCGGCGGTCGACCAAATCTTACCGCATCATGACTGCTCGCGCAAGGCCTATGACATGCTAGGAAGGTTGTCCCTGTTCGATGACCGATCGCTCGGAACACCTTTAGCCGCCGACGAGGTTCCTTTCGATCATGTGTTGCGCCTTAGTCGAGAAGCGAGCGAGCAGCTCAGCAAGCTTCTAGCCTGCTCCTGTGCCCCATGCCCCAGTCTCACGTTTGTGAAGGCTTCAATTATTTCCAAAATACTGTCGTGGTACCACCAAGCGGCCATATGCATGCAGGTTGCTGCTTCGCGCGCCCTGACTGCAATACCAAACTCAGTTACACCAGCATGCATAGCCGTTGGATCATTCAACGTAGACGACGAACGCGTCCAGGCGGCCTTGAAGATTCAGTTATTGTTAGGTGAGATGAGAAGAGCAGGCCTTTTAATTGATCAATTCACCATGCATGGAACTGGTTCAACTTATCATGACGATCAATCGAACCCGGACAGCGTCGATAGATTATATAAACACCTAACCACTTGGTTAAAGGGCGAGCACTCGCGGATAATCCATATCATGAGGTCAAAGCTGAGAGAGCTGAACAGCTGAGGGACCTAATCAGCGCTCGACATGGAGCCTAATGTCTTATGGAATTCCTCTCTGCCTCATACGTTATCGATTGGAACGAATGACGCCAACTTCCGGAGTTTTGGTGCTTCTAGATTGGTCAGATTGGTCACAACCAAACAATTAGAACTAGAAAATACATAGAATTATTCAAGGTAGCATATTCAGTGAATAGGATACAGTTAATTCAGGACATCTTCATTACATCTCAGTCTTGAACTATTCCATCAAGGTCAACCGAAATGCCCCTTAACTCATAGCCTTCATTTTTTGCAATTTCCCACTGCTTCTCAATCACACGGCGCCTCTCTTCAGTTCTTGGGATGAACCTAGCAGCGAATGGCTTGGGCAGGCTAAATCCCGCATCTGGGTAGGCGTTGTCGCTCAAGTCCATTTCAGTCTCTCTACCATTCACCAACGGTGGTCGGATTTCGAAGCCCCACAGAATGCCGGCGAGTGCGATGTCTAAAGAATTTTCGGCAAGTCGAGCCCCTGGACATGTTCTCCTTCCGGTACTGAAGGTGAAGTGATCACGTTTGTATGGATCGCTCATGGCTGCGTACTCCGAGCTGTATAGGGGATGGTCAAGGTACCGCTCTGGCATGAACTCGAATGGCTTCTCGAATCGACGAGGATCAAAATGCAAGAAAGCCGTATTGGCGACTAGAACGGTGCCCTTCGGAATAATGTAGTCCTTGTAACGGACGTCTTCGTTTGCGTAGTGCCGGATTCCGGGAGCGAGGATGGGGTTCATTCGAAGCATTTCCTTTACACAAGCACGGATATAGGGCAGATTTCCCATATCTGCGAACGTCGGGAGTCGATCGGGTCCAACTACACTCATGAGCTCTTTCTGTGCTTCGTCTTGTACCCTCTGGTTTGCAGCAAGTTGGAGGATAAGACTGTTTAGTGTCGCCGACGTAGTCTCGAAGCCGGCCTCCACAAGGCCTGTTGAGACCCAGATCAGGTGCTCTTCCGATAGTCCTTGGGCATACCAATGCTCCTTTTTCTCATAGATCTCGCGAGCGTAGCAGTGTGGTGCCTTACTTGACATGACCTGCTCTTCCAACCTCCTCCACAAGTCCATTTTGATATCCAGAACTTGTTGAGCGGCTTCCCGAGCAGCTTTTAGGCCAGGCTGTAGCCACTTAGGTAAGAGGGCAAGTGGTGGGAGCTCATCCACAAGGAATGCTCCTGGCCGCGATGTTCTTCTGAGTATGCCCTGGCTCTTTACTGCATTCTGTGCATCCGGATGATTCCAATTCTGAACCCGCGTGCCGAAAGTGTTGGTCATGATGATACTGATTGCGTACCGGCGCATGTGTTGGTAAAAGTTTTGCTGATTCGCGTTATCAGTGAGTAGATCGAACAGCAACTGTTTCGCCTCGAACTCCTGGCACGGGACGAAGGTTTTGGTCATCGGTACTGTAGTCATCTGGCGCACCACGGATCGGAGAGCTCGCCAACGCGGCCCGTAGGGCATTGTAGGCATGCGATTTCCGCCCGTTACTATATCGTGGCCCATAGGGGAAGGAGCCTTGGAGGACGTAACAATAGCTTGTTTCTCGAGAATTTCTCGTATTGCCTCAGGGCTATTAATCACCACCCAGTCATACCATCCTACGCGGATCTTGAAGATGTCGCCATATTGCTTTGCCCAGGTGCGGAATAGATCAGGCGCCTTTGGCGGAAGTTTATAGCCAACACCCACTAGCGGCCATCCTCTAGGTCCTGGAATCTTATTGAGCCTGCGGTCATGTCGCAGCCATGATGCTGCGATTGCTACGGTAAATGCAAATGCTGCAAAAGTAACCGCTCGATAGGTCTGGTATAGCACTAGAAATTCTCCCATGGCGGATAGAAGGTTGATCGATCGTCGATGCTGTGCAAAACCCAATGTTCGCTTTTGGTTTATCGTTTGATATGTATGCACATTGATACTTGACTGCAAGTCAGAGCCAACCGGATCCGCCACACTCTTGAAATCCAGTTTAAAAGCGAAATTGGTTAATACGATTCCTGCACCACCATTTGCAGTGTCGCGCCGGCAACTCAATAATTGTCCACAGTCGGCCAGATCGCGGCGTGTGGGCCTCCACCAAACAGGAGTAAGCTTTGATGCCCGAGCCTATTAATTATTCGGTTTATGCTTATCTGAGCTCGGACAGCCAACCAGAATCTTTCCTCCACAAGGACCCGTCTTACACCCGAGCCCTTCGGGTTCGGCTCGGGATCACCACCACATCTTAGCCGATTGGGGGAATTAAACGAACATCTGGACACGCTGAACCCGTTGCATACCAACGAATGTTTATTGTGAGCTTTGGGGATAATCTGCCTAGTCAAGCCTACGTCAATTTTGGACTTTCTACGATTAACCTTCAACATGCCATTCAACCATGAGAATGGCGTCTCAGACATTTCATCTCATCTTGAAGAGCTAAGCTGGACCATCACACACAATGCCAGCGTTTTGAGCCAGCACCTTAAGGCAAATAATCTTCCGCAGCCTTCCTTCAACAGTGATAGCCCTAGTGTTGTCATCCCCAGAGACTCTCCACAAAGGGTCATCAAAGCTCAGCAAGACCTCATTGCAGCTGCTCTTGAGGTTTCTCAGTTGGCCATTGGACCTAGCGAGTTCTTGCCCAACCTAGCTCTAGGTGTAAGCTCCAGGCACTTCTCCAACAGGATACGTTTGTAAATACTTATAGTTCATAGTTCCAATATATCTCTTGCATCACATGGCTCTGCCAGTACGACATTTTTCATCTCGTACCCTTAAACGGCACGATTAGCTATGTAGACCTGGCTGCAGCAGCTCGTGTCCCTGAGCAACGCATCAAGAGCATGGTCCGCATGGCCATGACCAATACCTTATTCCGAGAGCAGCCTGACGGCAACAGAGTCGGTCACTCCGCAACATCTGCGCTGCTAGCACGAGATCCTGATGTCTATACATACGCTACCTACATGTGTACGAAGTCGGCGCCAATGGCTATGCACCTGGCTGAAGCGCACCGGCGCTGGGGCGCCGATACCATGCGCACTTATGAAACCGCATACAATGCAGCTTTTGAAACGGACCTTCCTTTCTTCGATCATCTTAGCAGGGACAAGGCACGCATGAGAGAGTTTGCAGCGTATATGCGACATGTTCGGAGTAGCGATGCTGTGGATCTCAAACACCTAGTATCTGGCTTCGCGTGGCAAAGCATGCAAGACGGCGGACTAGTCGTAGACGTAAGTGTCGCAATTCTTGTATTTCAACTACTCGACACTAATCTTTCATCCGTTCAGGTGGGTGGATCTACTGGCAGTGCAGCCATAGCCCTCGCCCAAGCGTTTCCCCATCTTTCATTCATAGTGCAGGACCTACCTGCCAATGCAGAAAGCGGACAGAAAGCTGTATCAGAGTCGCTACCAGATGAAATTAAGTCCCGTGTTACGTTTCAGAGCCACGACTTCACCCAACCGCAACCTGTGCGAGGCGCAAACATTTATCTCCTTAGAATGATTCTACACGACTGGCCGGACAATGAAGCAATCACTATTATCAGGAATATTGTGGCAGCAATGGATCCGGCAGTCTCTCGGTTGCTCATCATGGATACAGTGCTACCGAAGCCAGGATCTGTGCCGGTTTCGGTGGAGCGTATCGCGAGAGCTAGAGACCTAACTATGCTCCAAGCCTTCAATAGTAAGGAGCGGCACTTGGACGATTGGAAAGAGCTGCTTGAGGCCACAGAATCTGGTGTGGAGTTGGTGAGTGTCACTCAACCATTTGGAAGTGCTATGTCAGTTATGGAAGTAAGGGTAAATTCTGGAACTACCTCAAACAGTCAGAACGGCGCGCTGTGAGTCCAAGCATAAATCTGGTAGCTGTCAGTAATCATGATGTATAAGAATTAGTACTAGTTGCTTGATATATTTCGCTTATAGATTAAGCATAAGCTTCGCAAAGCGTGACACAAAGCTTATTTTACGCCCTCCTCGTTAACCTCAAAATAGAGACTGCCTTGTTGTTAGGCTGAGCCGATTTAATGAATGTCATGACACGTGATCACTAAGAAGTCCGGGGCTGAGAAATGAGCAAAATGGTACGCTTGGCTTTTTCGGATGCCGAACAAAAGCCCTTTTCCTAGACCACTGGACAGTTCTTTTCGAACAAATAAGAGCAAGGATACTTTCTATTCTCGAATAAAGTGCTGTATACAGTCCCCGCGGGACCGAAGTTTCGCCATTAGCATTTGGGCTCTAGGATGGGCTACCCAATCAATCATGGGCACGGCGTCCCACAATACTACACATATTATATAGCACCTCGGACACTCAGTCCACAATATATCACTTCTCTTGTAGCTCATGCTCACCGCAGCCTTTCATCATTGCAAAATTTCTGCTTAATATGGCATCAGACCATCCTTCCGTTACAGCGACCAATGTTGAGCTTTCTCCTAGTGCCACTCCCGGCTATACGCATGCCAACGGACTGACCGGAGAAAGCGCAAAGAAAGCATCCGAGCTTCTCACTGCCAATCACGCACTCTATCACACGCGATGGTCGGCCCTGGGTTTTCACAGTAAGTTGGACTAGTTTATCACATGGATCCTTTGCTGATGTCGACTTCGGACCAAATCACTCATCACCTTCTTGCTCTTTGGGCCCTTGGGGCATCTCCCGAACAAATTCAAGAAATGTTTGATTACAATACGCCGTACCAAGTTTCTATGAGACAACCTGATGGCATCGGCGCAGCGCATGTGGACATGGTGGATACGGTGGTGTTTGATGAGTGCCTTGGCAAGAACGAGTTCTATAAGGATTACCTACAATATTTTGAAAATGAAATCACCAAGAAGGGCATGAAAGCCGTGGTCAAGCAGTACGTTCTCAAAGGGGATGAAAGGGCAAACGACATTTTTTGCCGCATGTTCACAGGTTCGTCAGCTTGAAAAGCGCATCAAATTCCCGGCTAATTGCTCTTATCAAAGATATGGGGGCTGCGATGATCCATCTTGGATGCGGTCTAGAGTTCCAGCAATCCAGTGTTGTGGCAGAAGCACTGGCCTCAGCGTGTGTTCACGACGATTGGCCAAAGAGTGTGTTGCTTCCCACCGAAGAGTTCGTCAGGTCAAACGTAAAAACTCCCACTAAGCCACTACTTCAAGTGCTAGAAAGCTTGCGTAGCGATCCAGTCGTTGCAGCAGGTGTGAAAGCTTCCGATCCCTTCAACAAAATAAGAGACGGGCTCCTTAAGCGAGTTCCTAAAGATCATCTCGTGCCCTACCTGAGTCAATTCCAAGTCAAATCTGAGGCGCAGGATCTAGAGCAAAAGCTAGGAGACATGATGCAAACCTGTGCGTACATGACAGGCGCGGCACAGCAGCCGGACAAACTTGAGGCAATTGACTATGTCCTTCTGCATAGTGTTACGCTCTCAGTTCACTACGCGGCTATATTGGCCCTGGACTGGCTCTCGGACGATGAAAAAGCTCGGCTACTTGAAGCTAAGGGCAGAATGGATGCACTCACATACGCTGGCTGTGGAAGTCCACGCCTTCATCCGGAGCGCATCAGTGCCTATGTGCCAAAGTATCCAAATCATGGTTGGCCTGAGCTTTTTCAACGCGCTGTGGTCTACCGCGATGAAGGCCATGTGGCGAAGTTGATTCGCAGTTTGTATGCCTTGGAACAGTTGGACGAGACTACCATGATGCCTGAATTGCCAATCCGGAAACCAGACTTTGTCAAGATTGCCCACATGGTATTGGATTCAACGGAGCGATTAGCTAATTCCAATAGCAGCATGTTGCCAGACAAGGTAGCAGATGCCATTGCTAGCCAGGTAGGTCTTGGAGGTGAGATGGTGGTGAATAATAGGAAGAGGTGGGTGTTTTATTGTGGGCTTGATCAGGCCTGGCAATTCTTTCCGGACTTGTAAGCGGCAGCCGTGGCTCATGTTTTGCAGCCGAGAAGACAAAATTGATAAATCTGACGAGGAATAAGGAGCTGAACAAGGGCGAAATCGGCATGAATGGGATGAGCATTAAAATATCCCTAAAGCAAAACTACTGGGGGCTGTATTTAATCAAGGGGTGAGATGGAAACAGAACGTGCGAAGTTGTCAAGACCACCACCAATGAGTCGCCTCAGACACCTTCGCTCAACCCAAATGAGACAACTGTACGAGACATCACTCCGAGGTTGGACTGCGCATCAACCATCTAGCACAATCCTGAAGAAGACAAAGGACATCCCAAAGTGCTTAACTCAATGCAGAGAACTGCAGTACTCAAGATCCTATCAGCATTCAGAACAGTCACTACGCAAATCCTAGAAGTTAAGGCAAACGTTCCGTACATACAGCCCCGGCTCAAGTATCGAGCACAGAACATCATCGCCCATCTGCAAACCCTCCCCAAAGGATATCCGATACAAAAATCCCCAGAAAGAAGGAAAGGGAGGTGAATACGGAATGAGACTTCCCTCGAGCTCCGGCTAGCAGAAGTCATTAAGACGATGGGTCAGACCCTGCCCAGAACCCGGAAACGATCGGGGCGAAATCTCTCGGGTCATTCTTGAGGATAGCAACCTGAATGACCTCCCAGCCTGGTTTCTCAGTAACCTTTTGCCTTATCAGAGACCACCTGAAATATGTAATCCACTGAAACAGGCGGCTTCCACTGGCCAGATAGATGTGCTTCAGCATCTGTTGCAGAAGGTCAATGGATACCTTAGAAATGGTGAGAACAACTCTAAACTTATCTCACCCGCGGTCAAATAAACTCTTAGAGTGTCCGTTTTCGGCTTGCATCGCGGAACAGGGACAATGATCACTTTAATGAACGGAAACCAAATTAGACATAGTCTCCAAATCGCGAATTGTCTCTCAAAGAACGTTAGATAGAGATTTTATGTGAACCAAGTAACGTTCTTATCCCTACTCTCCGTTAAGGAGTCAGATGCGGATTAGCTAGAGTCTCAACGGATTAAAATTTTTAGTTTGAAATGATGGTCAACAAAATATGGAACCTGCGCATTCAAAAAAAAAAAAAAGATGACATACACTCCAAGGCTTGATTCGCGTTTCTTGATATGATAGAAGGAAGCATGTATTTCCTTTATACGATTGCATACTACTAATCCCTCCCGACTCACGAGTTGACGCCTTCGGATATGTCCGTGAACCCTCTAAGAATATCAAACAGAACTCAAGTGACTGGGAGTTTTACATACTATCCTTGATTAGCCGCTATCGCCTCGCAAATCAAAGTTTCGTCTTCAAGCATACCCTCTGCAAATTCATTCCTCTCTATCTCTTCTTCCATCGCATTTATGATATCTAGCACTTTATCCCTGGCATCAACCCCGTCGAGAAGCAAGTCCACCATCGGCGCGCTGCGACTACGCCTCAAGGCCCAGCGATAATAGCTCTGCACATTAATTGACATCGGTTCCAAAGTTCATAGCTAGCTTTGCGAGAGAGAGAGAGAGAGAGAGAGAGAGAGTCGTTCTTAGCTGCAAGGTTGAGCGCGATCCGAACCCACTCTTTTGGTCATCGTAGAGAAGGTATTTTTTTCGTCAAAGTGCCGGACGAGATCAGTGTGGCCTTGCTCACAAGCGGTCTCATCTGCGATCCTAAGAAGTTTAGCTCTAGTAACAACGTGATGCACCATGTTGTTGTGAGTGGTATCTAGACAACTTCAGCAGCTCCTTCCATAACGTTATTACAGCCCCTAGAGACAGTGGGATAGTGTCTGATGTATATCTCTGGCTGCCCCAGACAACTCAACATGAGTGCTCTATGGACGCGGATAGATACTCCATAACCGCAAGTCTAATTGTGAAGCTAGGAGGAGCACCAGAGGCATGAGTAACTGGATTGATTGCTGAAGGAGGGGAACTACGGGTTTATATAGTACTAGGTGAACCCGTCATGTGACTTAAGGCCAGCAATAGCTCTAGGCAGCAGTGGGTGAAAGGAGTGTAGGTGACTAGAGCTTAGAGAGCTCCGTGCCTACAAACACTAATTCTAATAGAAAGATATTTTAGAGTCTAGAAAAGTGATCCGCATGCGTCCCCACCATCATCACTACAGACGCCTTATCTCTTGCTATGAATCATTTGAGTCTATAGGATGGTGGCCAGATCCATGCTGAGAAGCAGCCCTCATGAGACAGGACAGTTCTCGGTGAAGTTAAAGATATCGTTTAGATTTACTCAAAACCGGACTGGTACATCCTTTCACGGAATAAAACTGGACGCTCCTTCTCTGCCCAGAGGCTCCGCTCCTTCAACTCGACTCATACGGAATGCCTCGATCCTCTTATCCTACAAAAATGATGCTACTCGATCTACCACCAGACATTTTCGAAGTAATCATATCAGAGTACGTCCGCTCTGATGGCTGCAATGCATGGTACAGAAGGGGCATGTGCAGTAAATATACATATGCCCAAGCACTACATACATCTCTTCTGATTGTTATTTGAACCATTTCCCAAGGATATCTACCGCGAGCATTTCTGAAAGGCAAGAGGCTAAGAAGCTGTTTGTAAACGTGTTATTGACACTTATTTTTCAGGCTAATTGCCATGGCCACCATTGGAGCCCTTGGAACTGATCGGGTGAAAGCGTGAGGTGAGGGGGTTAACGTCATAAGCCACAATGCACGCGAAGACCTCTACAACAAGGTCGAGGAACTCCGTATTTGGGGGCCGCCGGTGGAAGGCAGAGGGGGAGAAGATTCGGGGAGGAGGCTTCGGTTTATGTAATGTGATGTGATGGCGGGGATCACCACCAACAACGGAACTTGGTAAGGGCACGACACCAAGCTACACTTGTAACTCGTCTTTCATCTTACACGCGGCGCCCCATTCTATCCAAGCAACAGTATATCTTCAACGAACACTTCCCTGCAGTGTCTGATCCCAATCTACGGTCCCTCTCATTAAACTATCGAAGAAGGCCGCGTCGACACCCTGAAATGCCCAGTCATTCACGCTCGCTGCCAGCCCTGGATACTGCAATTGGTGCTGGTGAAGTTCGTCTTCCGCGTTGACACTGGCTAGAGCTACTTGTGACACTCGCACTGGTTGCGCATCAGGCTCGGACAGAAAAGAACTTGCTTGAGAGTTCTGGTGGAGCGCCTCACTGAAACCAGCTGTAGAAAATAGGTGATTGGCTACGTGGACGGAGTCGGGGATATCGGTTAGCAACGGTTGAAGGGGATTTGGCTCGGTCGGCCAGTTCTTTGTGATGCCGGCGCGGCCGATCTTGATGATGCCGAAGTAGGGTATTGAGAGCTGAAGCTCGCCACAGTGTTCTTCAAGACAGCACACAGTATTGTGAGCGGAATGGCCCATTCCGCAGGCAGTATCATTTTCGATCTCAAGCAAACGCCGCAGCTGCTCGGCACTTTTGTGAGTAAGGTTATCATTTGTGTGCTTTCCTAACTTCTCCAGGTTTTCAAGAAGCTGTTCTACCATAGCGCGGTCACCGAGTCGTTGATGTGCCCGCCAGTCCTCCACTTCGAGCCTATGACTATCGATATGAGCGAGGAGTATTGTCATGCCGGCCATGAAGGCGAAGAAATCAGCGGTGCGACAATAAATGGCCACTATGTTGCGGTTGAAGTTACGGAACGCGATGCATCGATGAAGTATCTCGCGGCTGGCATTGACGCAGGTAATTTTAGCATACGTGTGGTAGCTGGACTCTTTTTCGCAGCGGAGGAGGTATGGTAAGTGCAGGAGATGAACAAGATTATAGTGATGAAGCTGGTCGCAAAGCCGCATCGTTTCCCAGAATGCTTCTCGGGTGTTTGGTTGAAGAGTGGTAAAGTTTGGTGGCAGCCAGAATTTATCCGGAAGGGCTTTCGCGACGTTCAAGAGCTCTCGGTCGAGTTTTCGTGTTGTAGTGAAGTCCTGGGAAAATGGGTCGCGCCTATTACGATCGATGATGCTTCTCGCAATAAGAGTGTGCGCCCGCTCGAGCCTGCAACTGGGCGTCTCGCCGGGAACGTCATTCTCCATATTAGTCTCTTGTCCACCATGTGGGAGACCAAGCATGAGACTCAAATAGCTGTCCATATAAACGATACGGAACCACATAAACTTTGGGTTCATTTTGGCATTTGCCTCGAGGGCCTTGACCGGAGGCGGGTTCGGATGGTCCATCTTCATCAGCTGGGCAATCACCATAGCCTTCCTAAAAGCAAGCCATGCCCGCCGCAGGTTGCCACCATTGGACTGAAAGACGCCTTCGAGTATGATACACTCAAGACCTTCGATACAGCAAACGATTTTTTCATTCGTGGTGACTAAACGCACTGCAGTATCCACCAATCTGTCCATGACAGTTGGGGGGTATTCTTCAAGACCGTGGGTATGCTGCGTTCGAAAATACTGCAGGAACAAAGCCAAGATGATCATTCGTTTCGCCACTAGAACTGGCGGCGTCGTGGAAGGATCGGGGATCTTAGCGAAATCGTTGACAAAGTCGAACGCTTCATGCTCAGGGCGATCGCCGGATTTCGTGAAAATTTGATGGCAGTAGAACGTAGCGATGTAGTCCGACTTGCAGAAGACGTTGATGTCTTCTTGGGAAGGAAACGCCTCGAGTAGCTCTTCTGAAAGCTTCCTGCAATCGTCCGTCATGCGAACAGCAGAGTGGCTTGTTGTGACACATGATTCTGGTGGAGGGTTGAACGAGTCGTGGGATTGGTAGTCACTGGCCGGAGTGAAGTAGCCAGACTTTCTGCGTGCAGGCAGTCTAATCCCAGCTAGAGGGACGTCTCTCTCGACGTTATGGCCAACTTCAATCAGTTGCTCGAGGAGTGTTTCCACTCTCTGAATGCGATCGAGAAGCAGGTCGCGATTGCTCTCAGCGTGGGCTTGGAATTCTTCTTCAGGCTGGTCTTGGCCGATGCATGGTGCGGCACGACGGCGACAGGCAATGCACACAGTATTTGATGTCGTATCGAATGTGCACTTGACTTTTCGCTTCTTGCAGTCCCAGCAGCTCTTGGTTCCCTTCCGAAGCTTTCGGCGCTTGGTGTCAGGCTCTGGGCTTGTCGAATCCGCCATGGCGCCGTTTCGGTGGAGGTGCAACGTCGGACATGAGATGATAACTCATGAAAAGGGTCGAGTGAGGATCATGCGAACAACAAAGTTCCGCCGACTCGGCGGAAAGACTGAGCAGCGCCAAGAGGGCTGACAAGCCTCATATCTTCATGCATGCACATCCATCCATCTGAAGGCAAAGCGAAAAGTGTGACATTTGATTGGCTGATGGAATAGGCTTTGAAACATAGTCATCACGTGCACCTACACCCTTTCCTGTGACACTCCAACCTAGTGCTCCTTCTCGCGAGCATCTGTTTCTAGCACAAAGGCCTTTATAGGCTGTTTGACTACGTGCTTGCTGCTCAATCCACAGCTTTAGACCAATAGTCCATCCTGTCGTCTTTCTTGTACACGTAAGACTTGCATGAATCCCGATTTTTGTCGTTCAAGCAACATCATCTTTCACTCCATCTGCATGAAGTCGCTCCCGGGGTATGAACACTGCAAGCAGACAAGTAAATCCAACAAGGGCGACGACGAGGGCAAACGTAACTTTGATACCAGCCATATACGCTAGCACGATAGCGGGAACTTGATCGGCAGGGAAAGCATGTCGGATTTGCGTCGCACCAGTCCCAATAACCATCTGCGGGTTGACATCTGGAGCCGTCTTGACGAGCTCACTCACCATGCGGTTCACAAAACCAGATTGTGCAGCGGAGACAGAAAACGAGCCTCCGATGGTTTGGAAGACTGCACGCAATCTCGTTAGTCCCCGTGCCTCTCGGGAGATATTAAAGAATGAGCTTACAGAATACGGTTGCAGTCACCGACGACACGTCCTCCATCTTTGCATTTGCCTGCGCGATGGTAATGCCCATCTGGAATCCGAGCCCACAGGCAGCGCCATAGAAAAGTTGGTAGCCAATCCACTTCCCCATGGGTGTACCAATGTCGAAAGTATACATCAAGCCGGCACTGATAGTCGCCATAACGGCGCCTGCTGCCATGAACGGCGCAGCGTGACCAGTCTTCGAGACGACGGTGCCACTGATTGTGCTTCCTACGGCCATCGCCAGAACCAAGGGTAGATTGAGGACACCGGACGAGATTGCGGTCCGGTTATCGACGCTCTGGAAGTAAATCGGGAGGTAGTATAGGAGGACGAAATAGGATGCAGCGAAGAAGAACTGGAAAGCGGATGGCAGCCAGACGAAGCGTTGGCTGAGGAGACGGCGCTGCAACATGGCGCGGTCATTGTTGAAGTACTCCCAGACGATAAAAGCGATCCAGATCAAGAAGAAGCCGACGAAGAGACCGATGACAGTGCTACTGTCCCAGGGCTTTTTCTGGCCCCCATACTCAACAGCGAGAATGAATGAGATGATGCCGGCCATAACAAGGGCGACGCCGAGGGGATCCATCTGGAGGAACTTCTCCTTCCAGGTCGCTTTCGTCGTCATCGCTTGGGGTGGGGTTTTGAAGAAGAAGAGGATTAGGATTGCGGAGAGGCCGCCGACTGGGAGGTTGAAGTAGAAGCTGTGGTTGTCAGCGTCTGGTTGCGATGCGTCGGAGCTGGGTGTCAACTTACCACCAGCGCCAGGTAACCCTATCCGCGAACACACCACCTAGGATCGGCCCAAGTACACTAGATAATCCGTAAACAGCACCAACGAGCCCAATCAGTCCAGGTCGCAACTTTGGTTCCGCAGCGAACGCTACAATGGTGAAGGCTCCGGTCGCAACTCCAGCGGCACCAACACCAGCGAAAGCGCGGCCAACGACAAAGGTCGTTGAGTTTTGAGAAACTGCGCAGATAAGACTACCAACCATGAAGATGGAGATTGCGCCTAGGAAGGAAGCTTTCAACGGGAAGTATTTGAAGAATTTTCCAGATGCAGGTTGGAAGCCGCCGTAGGTCATGAAGTATACGGAACCGTACCAGGACACCATGTTCAGGCCGTCGAACTCATCAGTGATTTTTGGAATCGCGGTACCAATAATGGTCATGTCGAGGGCTACCAGGAAGACGGAGCAGACCAATGCGAGAAGGATGGGCACCAGGAGTTTGCCCGTTGGATACTCTTCTACTGGCCCGTCACCGGAAGTGGCTACCTCTTGTTCTTCAACACTTTGCTCATAGCCCGGCTGCGGTTCCTTCTCTTCGGCCATGAGATCTGGAGTTGTGACACCGCTGGCAGACTGTTTATTCGCGCCCGGCGCCAAGGTAAAGCTGGACGACTTTTCTTGCTCCATTGCGCAACCCTCGCTTCCTCTGGTTATAAACTAAAATGTAATATAGGAAGAAGTCGTGGTGTCTTAGGGTTCGCACTCGGAAAGTTGTGCTCTTAAAATATGATAACGTAGTGCAAAGAGAAGCCTGAGGGTGGGAAGGTATTTACCACGTTCCATAGCAGCAGCGGCAGACCCTATCTTCTATATATGACGCACGGATTTGTTTTGCGCTTTTTCCTCGAGTCGAATCAAACAGGTGCTCATTCCCATGCCGGGCAAGCCACGCCAAGACTGCATCACCGAGCCTTCGGCGGAGCGATCCCTCCCCTTTCGTGTAGTGATTGGCTTCCTACGGGGCATGCTTACTCACTTCCTTGAAAATTTCGGAATACTTGGAAAGCCGAGAAAGAATTGCGGCTGCTTAGCGGATGATTCCATGTGGGTTCGTATCATTGTGAATCGAGGTTGAGAGCGGCAAGCGAGACGGTGGTTCGGCGACGCATAAGATGGGGAATTGGTTATGACAAAATGGAAGAGGATGCTTGTCTCTACTCGGGATATTACTAGATAGTTTGGGTAACTGGAAAGTCGCCGCAGCTGTGGCTTGAGCCGGGAGTTCGTGAACAAGGTATAAACGAGCTCCTTCAGTGTCGGTGTTACCCGAAGTCGTTCGACCGCTCATAGTATATACAACATCTTCGCCGAGTCTTCGGTGATCTTCCAATCTTGACCTAGAACTCCGACCATGACCCACGAAACGCCCTTCCCGTCTCAGCCCTATAGCACAAGACAGTGATCACCCAATTGACGAGTGAGACTCGTAAATCCGTAATCTCCGCCTCAGTCCTTTTAGGCCTAGATTTTTGCTTTGGTGATGGGTTGTTTATTCAAATGATCGGTGACTTATGGTCGGACTTAGTGAGCACAGCTTAAGACCGGTGAACTAGGACGACGATTCCAAGTCGCTCTAAAACTTTGAACCTCCATGATGGCGAGCGCCCAATTTTTCTCTATTTGATCATGCGGGAAGTAAACAGTTAGGATCTCCCTTCTCTAAGAGTCTCGCGAGCACGCTTCAAGCCTTACAACTGGTGAACAACAACCCCAACTCTCTCCGAAACTTTGGCCTTTCATTGTAGAGAACTTTCAGTCTCCTCTTCTAAGTGCTGGGGAAGCTCCAAGTTTATGGTCTTCTCTCGCTCCTTCGGCGCAGTTACCCTTTGCGCCTCGTGCCAGACTAAGTAAGAAGTCAGGAATTTCTCTCGTCCCTCCGATAAATTTTATCCCCATTCTTCGGCAAGTGTTCGGCTGCATTATCATTCGCTTCTGAAGCACCCCAGACGTGACCCTCGCTTCACACTTGATGAGGAACTGTATCATGCATGTGGGGAGTGGAGCAATAGTATCCAAGGTATATTTTGAGAAGAACGCAGGTCTTAATATTGGCCCCCACGTTGAAAAGAAGTAGGACCATATCGCGGCTCGTACAGTTAGCTGAAATTTCCAGCCACATCAAAGCTCGGTTCTGTGCGATAAGCTTGTTTTTCAAGTGAAAGTCGATAGTATGACCGTGGCGACGCGCGTAGCCGAAAGCATGCCACTCGTTCTCCAGATCTTGATTGACAGAATTGAGATCGCAGACCTCAGCTACTAACCCGAAGGTCACCAAGTACCCATTCCTCCTCATTGAACAACTTATCTTATGGCGCATACTTGCTTCGGAGCCAAGCATTCCAGCTCATCCCCGCCAGTGGCGTATACCTGGTGAGTTTAAATCCCGTGGTTTCGAAACTAGAGACGTTGTTCAGTTCTTGAAGAAAGTAGAAAAGACACCCTCACTGCTCTCATCTTCTAAGGGTCCATCAATAACTTACCATCAAACTAATTGACGGTTGAACCGGAACTGAACAACAAATTTTCTCGAGGTTGCGCAAACTATAGTATCTAACAATATTTTCGCGACTACATATATCCACATACAACTCATTCCTCGTAATGTATAGAAGCACCTAGGTACATAAAGCCCAGAAAACATTTCTCGTTCCAAAAAGCAGAGTTATGGCTTCTTTGCGGGGGTGTCGATTAGCCTACAGAAGCGTAATCTTGCCTTTTTCTGGTTCACATAGTGCCCCTGGGTTCCGCGAAGAGAATAGCAGAAAAACTGGGTCAACTGCGTACTTGCAGATTTCGTTCTAGATCCCCAACGGTATCCTGAGTAGCTTGGATGGTTTCTGGCCGTGCGGTATTGGGCCTGAATGGTGCGGAGATCGAACCGACTTTTTTTCGTCCCCGTGCCTGCAGACGAAACCTGAACATCTTCTAATCCGATCCCGCATCGAATCCAACAGCCCTCGGGACAAGGCGCCAAGGCTTCATGTCCAGGCAGACTCCCTGCGAACCCGTATCTGCAGTGTCGCATCTGTGCAAGGGGCTCCGGAGTAAAAGTCGACTATGATACATAACCTCATGTACCTCTGGCCGTAAGTACAACTAACGCTAGCATCGAAAAGCATCCGACGATTCTGAGCTAATGGCTTGTGAGGCCTTCCTCGGTATCTCAGTTGGCATTACCGCCAGATGTCTCGAAAACATCTCGAGGTAATATGCATGCAGAAATATCTAGGTCTTCTTTCCGGATTTGGGTTGGGGCTGCGGTCTCCAGCTTGACTCTGGCTGTTGCTTCCCAAATGCTGGGGATTACCCTAATTTTACTTTTTATCCTCTCACACTAATTTGCAAATTCTAGTCCCAAATATTCCTAATTTAGCGCCTGAATAGATGTGCCTCGGCCGCGGTACTTGTTGGCAAAGAGGTTTGTGTGGGTTGAGACTGGCATAATTTTACATTGAGGAACTAGGAGACTCGAAACTGAGGGGCCCTATCCTGCGCTCTAGCATGCAGAAAAGTTAAGGCTACTTCTGCTACCATGCCATGTCTACAGCTGCTATAGTTCCTACACTGCACTCAAAGCTAAAGGATGTATAATCCCGAGGGCTCTATGATAGGCTGCTAGTCGACTATGGGGTTAGCGTCCCATGATACGTCACTTCTTTCAAAACTTATGTCATCTGGAAGGATACGGTAGTAGAAAACTCAAGGAAACTCGGGTGGGGCTAGAATCAACGCCATAGACTCTCAGCACGAATACTTACCATGGCGGGTGCTAAAGATGCTAAGCGATGGGGGTTTCATAATGCTGAAAGGCTCCAACTTGCGCAGAGGAAGAGACGAGTGTAAGAAGAGAGAAAACATATTCATGTCATTCAACAAGACTATCTACTACACTGGCCCCACACTACACTGGCCCCACACACCCTCGACTAGTCCGAGACCTTAAGCCTTCAAGACATTATCTCCAAGATTACCCACCTGGTCTTGCTAAAGGTGATCTCATGTATTAGGCCATGAGCAACCCAGCCCTCTGCATCGCCGTGCTTTCCACGGGTTTCCAGTTAAGGCCGAAGCCACAGGACAAGGGTGCTCCCAGCCCGTAGACATAAGGCCTTGCAGCGGGCGGAATTTCCGACCAAACCCTTGGTGATACTCATTGTCTGCTCCATCCCGGACGACTTCTCAGCAGATACGCACCAACTCCCTCGACACCTCCCAAGCCTGCAGCAAGCAAAGGTACTCGAACCAAGATCGTAGGCAACGGTACTATCACTTCAGCGACCCTAGGCGCCTCCGGGTTACGAATGGCTGCATCCCCCATCCAAGGGCTAGAGATGGCTAGGACTGGTGACAGACGGAAGCTGTTGATCAAACCCACAACGAAAGAAAGAAAGAAACTAAACAACGAATGACATGAAATCTGCTTCTATGAATTGTCATTATGTGTGACACTAGCCTTGCAGGGGTGGAACGCACGCTCGAAGCTGAAGTAGAGCGAAGTGATTGACATGACGCCGACGCGAAGGTGAATTGAGCCGACAATGTATCGAAATAATGTTGATATAGTGAGGGCAAGTCGGCACGTTGATTTTGTGTAGAAGAGTTGAAGGGATGTTGTGAAGAGAAGTGAAATGACGTCTTGTAGCCGACGGGTTGATGTGCCGAATCATAGCCGGTTCGAAGTTGACTGGTTGTCCAGGAGCTGTCAGCAGAAATGGACATCCAAAGTTGGGAGGCTTTACAGTTAGGTAGTGCGTCACAACTTGTTCATCACGTTAGCGGAGTGATGGTGATGACAGCGGGTAAGTTCTGATTAAAGTTAGTAAGAAAAGGTGAAGGTGAAAGGCCAAAAAAGTACATGTCGATTGAATGACTTCATGATTGCAGCAGCGGCCGATGGAGAGTAGATTTAGAAAATGATTCGAAGTGACATTAGAATAAATGTCTTAGTGTACTTAGGTAGAACAAGCAAATAAAGGAAAAGATGAGGGGAGGAGAGTGTAGGAGAGTTCGTTTAAACCTGAGGGACGGTAGAAATATATACCTGAGACCTGTAATGCTAAATTAGTCCCAGGTGACCGCGCTTAGGCCACCGATAAGGCAACAATGATTCTCCGAGGTTCTACGGGCTGGGCCACTCTCAGATACACGGTGGGTGGACAAAGCCTCACCAAATTTACTATGAAGCATGTCTGCCGAGTCGTAACCTCGAAGGGCCGAAGAAAGCCGATGGAAGCTTCTATGGTGCTGCTACCTAGAGAATAATCTACACTAGAAGTCCGTAGAATCTCTAACAGTGATATACCTGTCATAGTGTTGAAGGTGAAAGTCTGGGGACAGTGAAGGAGAAGATGAAGGAATGACGCTGAAAATTAATCCAAATATTTCCGAATCACGGAAATATGTAGAAAATAGCATATCAAGTATGCAAAACAATGATGTGAATAGTGAGAAGCTATCTTGAAAGGTGAGATTCGAACGGGACGAACGACCACCAGCACTTGATGCAAGAAAACAGTATTAGAATTGATAGATCAATACATCGAGGGGCATCTGTTGACTGGTAATGAGATGATTTACAAGAAGCTACGGCATATCTCACTTACCAGCCGCCGAAGAGGGCAAGCCCCACCGCTTCCTCACCATCACCTCCCACTCTACCCGCCCTGAAGCGCAATCTTGAACCCTCGTATCTCCCGCCCCCTCCCCGCGATCCCCGGCGCCCACGCCACCCTAATCTAAACATACTTACCTGCCATCCTCACCAGCCGAAACGGCGTCCCCAACACATGCAGAACACCCCGGATGGCATCCAGTACGAAGTACAGCCCCACAAGCAAATATATCAAAAGGCAAATCTTCAGAACGAAGAAACCAAGGCTCGCCACCGGCCTAACTCCCGTGTCAAATTTCCCCTTCTCGAAATCCACCGACGGTAGTTGATGCGGTCTGACTAGCTTCTTCGGCGAGCTGGGATGCGAAACAGTGGGTGTATTTGGATGCGCTGGTGCTGGGGTGGCGTGAAGGAGAAAAGGGTCTACATAAGTATTTAGTTTTGCTGTCGTTGGTGCAGTACGTGCCCGTGTTACGGATAGCTTGTTGGCGCCAGGGCCTGCGGACCCCATCCATGTCCATCTACTCGTTCTGGCTCCTTCTTGTAGAGCCTTTGTATTGAACTTTTTTGGTTCACTGGGCGTTACATTGGAAGCTCCAGCCATGGTTCTTATGATATTGCCAGTATCTATGCTGAATATTCCATCGTTTTGATTGTTATACGCGAAACTAGACTTCGTGGGAGAACTGTCTGTTGAAGATTGAGGTGAGGAGCGATGGTGCAAACCCCACCACGACTCCTTCTGTGGGTAGTCAGCCTCCCGGACCTTCCTTTTGAGCTTCACTTTTATCTTGGGCGGTGGAAAAGAGAGGACAGAGCCGGAAGCAACAGTTTCAGCGTCACCGCATGGATATCGAAGTTGGTCTTTGGAGTGGATGTTTGTTAAGCCGATGGGCCTCCGGGGGTTGGTGATGTGCCTTGAATGGCTCACCGATCTTGGGCCGTGGACATGATCCCTTGGCGTTGCCCACTCATGATTTGGTAATGGAGAGCTGTTTGGAAAGGCTTTTGGTGAGAATGTTGGTGATCTTCCGGGTGGATTTAAGTCTAACTCAACCTCCCGGGAAGGCCCTGTCGTGTTGCCACGAATATCAATGGTTTTAGTGGACATAAAATCCTTGTTGTACTCTCTTTCTACGCCGCGCTGGGCCTTTTGTCTGTATTTCGGGAAAGCCCGAGGCTGCTTGGGCCAGAACGCAAGAGGCTCGATTATCGGTTCCCTTGTTGTTGGCATCTGAACAGCAAAAGCATCACTCTCGAAAGCTGGCTGGGTATCTGTCGCGTCTGTTTTGATCGTGGCATAGCTCGTCTTCCTGCTTCGAGGCTCCCTCTTTGGTGTAGGGCTCTTTTTGACGTCCATCCATAAGCCTAATGATTGCAAGCGAGGCAGCGGCTGGCGGGCACAAGAGATATCTTTAGTGTGATGGGGCAGTGGTGGAGGCGTTGAAGGAATGGCGAGAGCCTCATCGATGGACTCGAGGGTGCGGATTTTTGAGCTAGAGACAGTACGAGGAGATAGCTGAGTGGTTTCATCATTTGCGAATCGATAGTTAATCAAGTTTTCCGAAGCAGAATGGCGTCTAAAATGCGTGGTATGTCGCTTATTTGGAGAAATATTGGAAAACTGCTCCATCGAAATATTGCGGCGGAGGTCGATAGAATGAGCGAAGCATTCAAGGAAATGTTCGGTTGCGGCGACTGAAGACATTTGTTAGGGCAACGTGGCGGCATGGTATGGGACAGGAATGTGGTGAGGCTGGCATGGAAACGGTTCAGGAATTTGAGTTTCGACGCCGCCTGGAATGATACTCAAAGGTTACCATATTGAGCAAGCTATCAAGCCGGAATGAAAAGCCACTAACGTGTCCAGACATCAATGGCTTGTCAGGTATACTTGGTTTGAGACTAGTTTTGCAGAGAAGGGAAGTAGGTCTGTAGTTTATTGACCTGTTCAAATTGAGGCTCAAACGAGCGACTCCGAGCTCGGTATCGCCGGATCGAGGGTTGCCCGGAGGGTATCTATAATGCAATGTGATTTCGACGCCAGGTGGAAATCAGAATGCCCCTATATAGGTGAACTCCGACGTGAGAACGCCACACCAATGTACCACATACCCAAACGCCAAGCCCATCCATGCCCTATCCAAAACCTTGGACAGCTTAAACATCGCGCGCAGTCTCAATTTCGGCGTACTCAGCCCAATGCCCGTTGAGTGCCTTCTTCCAAGTACGGATGGAGGCATCGTCACCAGTTGAGACGAGAAGATCGCCTGGAATAGTGATTAGTATTGACGAGCAACGTGCAAATCGAGTGAAGGGCACTTACCCATCTGCGAAAAAGCTACTCGCCAAACTGCACCATGATGGTTGGTGAGCTCATCCACCATCTTGACGACTTGGGTGATGCGGCCCGGGTATTGATCGTTCGGATAAGAAGTGTCTGGAGCTTTAGAAGCCCCTGCCAAACCAGCTCCAATACCTGACGGAGCGTTCTTCCTTGGTCTGCTTGGTTGTGGGGAGGAAACTGGTTCAGTAACAGTAGACGTGGAAGATGCGCCTGTGGCTGAGGATGATTTATCTGAGCGTGGGGTGGAAAGTTCATAAATACGAATCGCACCGTCCTTGCTTGCGGTGGCGAGGACATCGTAGCCTCGCATGGAGCCATTGGCCCAAGCTAGGTCACGAATGATCTGGCGGGCGCCCTTGAGGGTGGCCACCCGGAAGAACCGCTTCCCCTTGTCGGTCCTAAAGACGAGGACATCCTTCATCGCTGCAACGGCCAGGGAGAGGGACTTGCGATCAAGGCCGGCCATGATAGCAGTCCAACACGGCAACTTCTCTTTATGGAAGACAACCTTAAATCCAACCTCCTCTTGGCGCTCTGGAGGGTGGTCCTGACAGACCCAATGCTCTGCCAGGAGAGACCACTCGTTCAGGCTACTCTGGTCCACAGGCTCATAAACAGTTAGGTGGCCGTCACGTGTAATCAAGGCAAGCCATGTTTCCTGCATGATGTTCTTGAAGTCTAAGGACATAAACGGGGCATGCGTTTGAGAGGCCAGATTGGTGATCAACTTGAAGCGGTTGCTTGACATGGGAACCTCTGTGACGTCTTCCTGCCACAGCTTGCAGCGGCCATCTTCGCCGATGCTGCCAATGACCTCTCCCATGAAGGGGCCATTCCATTTAACCTGAGGCATGTTAGCACGGGATACGAGGCGGGTGGCGAACAGGGCGTGCACAAGCCAGGGTAGGGATATGGCTGGAGCTGCAGATTAGATAAAGAAGTGGTGGTTGCACTCACATCGACAATCTCTGCGTCATGGGCCTTCCAGTTCTCCACCAAAGTCCAGGAATCGTCCTTCTTGTCCCAAACCTTGAGACGGTGGTCGGAGCTTGCTGTGACCATGCGCGTGCCGAAATAATTAAAGTCGACGGCCAGCACCAGGTCCTGATGGCCATGGGCAAACGTCTGGAAGTTGCGCTCTGAAGAAGCCATCTTCGCGAACGCGTGACGGACACCGAGGAAACGTGATTCGAGGTGGCTGCAGACGCGCGGGTCAACGCCCGGATAGTGGCCGTCAGCGCAGGGCTCCAAAATCAGCGGCAACGTCAGGTCAACCTCATCTGGCGCTTGTTCCAGCGAGACTGCGAGGTTGAGATGAGAATGGCGGTGATGCGAGGGACGTGCTTCGGTCGAGCTGTGTGGGGCATCCAGGCCTGGCGAAAGAGACGAGTCAGATGCGGCTTGTGACGGCAGTCGCGACGGCGAGAGGTTCTTCAGAAAACTCGGTCGCACGAGGCGGTGGTTGACAGCATCAAGGCTCAGTTGGATGGGATCGTGCGGGTGCGCTCTGTCCGGACGGTTGTTGGGATCCATTTTGCTGCCAACGCTCGTAGTCGTTTCGGGTTAGAGGTGTGGACTGGGGGCGCTGACGAAGGCCACCTTTCAGAGCCGCAAAGCCCAGGGCATCGACCACAGCAAGCGCGCCCGCAACCTTTCCACTCTTTCAGTCCTTTCTTCACGATGGCGACGGCGCTGGGCCGGACAGAAGCCTACTCCCTTCTCTCTTTATCACTTGCGTGTTTCGGGATCTTGGCCAACACCCTCCAGGGCGAGGGCGAGCCGCTGATTGCGTCGATTGCTTTTAGCGGACTGGCCTTTGCCTTCTGCTATGCCCTCATACGATGGCTAGGACAAGCCTTCATGCGACGTGGTTTCAAAGGCAGAGATTTGTGCAAGCTCAAACAAACGGAGATGTACGTCAAACAATCTTGCAAACATTTTCCAAATCAACTATGGCTCGCTCACATGACACAGCCCTGAGACTATGGGTGCCGTTTGTGCTATGGTGTATCTGTTCACAATTGTTGTATTCATTCCTTGGCCATTCTATAAAGACATTGTTGCCGCCACTTCTGGCGGAGGCAATCGAGATGTGATGAGGGAGTTGGAGCAGGTTGAAACAGGCCGCCTCCTTCACAGGTTTCCTCACAATAAGGTGCATCTACCCCTTACAGGAAATACGTCCGCTAATATACACCGGGCCAGCTGGCGTCGTACCTCTCCGCCATCCTATCCCTCCAATGCATCGTGCTACTTGGGATCGGCGACGATCTTTTCGACATTAGATGGCGACACAAGGTCCTTATCCCGGCTATTGCCGCTATTCCCATGCTCATCGTCTACTTTGTTGACTTCGGTGTCACTCAGATGGTCGTTCCGACACCTTTGAGACCCTACCTTGGGGAGCTTTTTGACCTTGGTACGAATTTAGATGCAGCTTTTCAAATGAGACCCTGCTGATGGAGGTGAAGGCTGGCTGTACTACATCTACATGGCTTTGCTGTCCATTTTCTCCTCAAACAGCATTAACATCCTCGCTGGCATTAACGGGATCGAGGTCGCCCAATCGCTAGTCATTGCACTGCTTATTGTCTTCAATGACGCCCTGTATTTGTTCGTCACGCCTTACCCCCACCCAGCGACCGACTCGCATCTTTTCTCCCTGTATCTTCTGCTGCCGTTTATTGGCGTATCGCTGGCCCTTTTAATGCACAACTGGTACCCTGCCAAGGTGTTTGTGGGCGATACGTATTGTTACTTTGCGGGCATGGTCTTTGCCGTTGACGGCATCCTCGGCCATTTCAGCAAGACACTGATCTTACTCCTCATTCCCCAAGGGTTCAACTTTGTCTACTCGGCGCCACAGCTTTTCCATCTCGTACCATGTCCCCGACATCGGCTCCCCCATTTCAACGCTCGGACGGGGTTACTAGAGTGCTCTCGAGTCGAATTTGAGAGACCGCTCACTCGACCGATAGCGGAGGGCCTAAAGTTGCTGCACCGGCTTCGGATGCTGGACGTCGAAGTCAACGGGGAGGGGAGAGTGGTGTCTTGTTCAAACTTTACTATCATCAACCTGTGGTTAGTCTGGTTTGGGCCTATGCGGGAAGATCGGTTGGCGCTTGGGTTGTTGGCGTTTCAGACGGCCGTTGGACTTGTTGGACTCTTCATTCGGCACCGCATGGCGTTGCTCGTCTTCACACAGGACAATTGGTGAAGGACCGTGCTGGCATAGGCAAAGTGCATTGTAGATTACAGGAGCCGGGTTGGATCTATACGTATATATTTTTTTTGTTTTTTTTTGTTTTTGCATATGTGTAGTAGGTCTTGTCACGAAATGTGGAGAATGACGGGGGGTATATCCGGAGAGAAGTTGGCATCCGGTCCATGTGCTCCCTAATTCGGGCAAGATGGCTGCTGACTGATCAGAGCTGCCGTGCTATTGTTCCACGGCAGGGGTGAGCACACAGTGCACCGAGAGAGAGGCATGTTAGGATCGGCTGGCAGGGTTGAAAGTGCCGACATTTCTGCTCGTGATTGTGACATTGGCCAATCGGACCGACGCAGAAGAGGCTGACTACGTGAATGGCTTTTTGGCGGGGCAGCGCACATTCATCGGCACGCGGGGCAACACGGCCACATTCCGTCCTGTCCACGGAGCACTCTGATGTTCGTCATCGAGCCAGTAGACATAGCAAATTGCACCGTCCTCCACGCAAGATCCAATGCATCTTTTCCAGATTCAAAAACACGCCGCAAAACAAAGACAATATGGCTGAAGCAGGGCATTCATCTTGCCACATCCACCTTGCCTCTGCACCGCTAACCGAAGCCGCCCGCGGTCATCACAGCAAGCTTGATTCGCAGCCCCTCTCCGAAGTCGGCATGGGAGCTTTTTGAGGTCCTCGCCTTCAGCTATTTGAGTTCCACCAGCTCCTCTTTTAAGCCCGAACACCCTCTTGTCTCCGCACACGTCTTCGTATCCCCCCCCTCCCTGATCTGACTTTGCCATTGACCCCCTTGTGCCACTCGCAGCCCCAGCACCCGTCATGCCGTCTGCTGTGAAACCGCCGCAGACCCTGTACGACAAGGTCTTCCAAGACCACATCGTCGAGGAGAAGGAGGATGGGACCATTCTGCTCTACATCGGTAGGCCGGAAGCGGTGGCTCCTTCCTCTGTGTCGCTGACAGCTGCCTAGACCGACATCTCGTCCACGAAGTGACATCACCGGTAATAAAATGGCAGGTCCAGCCCCAGCCACGGCAAGCGCTGACAAGACGCACAGCAAGCATTTGAGGGACTCCGAAACGCGTCCCGGAAAGTGCGGCGGCCGGACTGCACCCTGGCGACCGTAGATCACGTACGTGTCGCGGTTAAGATCGCACTGTCGCTATCTGCATATTGACATGCGACAGAACATCCCTACAACTTCGCGGAAGAACCTCACCACGACTGATAAATTCATCGACGAGGCAGATTCGCGGACACAATGCGTGACGCTGGAGGACAACGTCAAGGCCTTCGACCTCACATACTTCGGCCTCGGAGACAAGCGTCAGGGTATCGTGCATATCATCGGCCCGGAGCAGGGCTTCACCCTGCCCGGAACCACAGTCGTCTGCGGCGATAGCCATACTTCTACACATGGCGCTTTCGGCGCTCTGGCATTCGGCATTGGCACGAGCGAGGTTGAGCATGTCCTCGCTACTCAGACCCTAATCACCCAGCGGAGTAAGAACATGAAGGTGCAGGTCGATGGGGACCTCGCGCCTGGTGTCAGCAGCAAGGACATAATTCTCCACGTCATTGGAATCATCGGCACAGCTGGGGGTACTGGCGCCGTCATTGAGTTCTGCGGGTCTGCTATCCGGGCACTCAGCATGGAAGCCCGCATGTCGATATGTAACATGTCGATCGAGGCTGGTGCAAGAGCGGGGATGGTCGCACCGGACCAGAATACTATCGAGTACCTCAAGGGCCGGCCGCTCGCACCCAAGGTCGACAGCCCGGAATGGAAGAGGGCCGTCAACTACTGGCTGAGCTTGAAGTCGGATGAGGATGCCAAGTTCGACATCGAAGTATTTGTCGACAGCAAAGACATTGCCCCGACCGTCTCGTGGGGCACCTCCCCACAGGATGTTGTCCCAATCACCGGAGTCGTTCCCGGACCTGATGACTTCGAGGACGAGTCCAAGAAGGATGCGTGCAGGCGTGCTCTGAAGTACATGGGGTTGACTGCTGGAATGCCAATGCAGGAGATCGCTCTGGACAAGATCTTCATCGGATCTTGTACTAATGCCCGCATTGAGGATCTCCGAGCAGCGGCCCGCATCGTCGAAGGGAAGAAGATCGCAAAGAGCCTCAAGCGTGCCATGATTGTTCCTGGATCTGGACTGGTTAAGCAACAGGCTGAGTCCGAAGGGCTCGATAAGATCTTTACTGACGCAGGCTTCGAGTGGAGGGAAGCTGGCTGCTCTATGTGTCTTGGCATGAATCCTGATATCCTCTCTCCAGGCGAGCGTTGCGCAAGTACCTCGAATCGCAATTTTGAAGGCCGACAAGGCGCTGGTGGCCGAACACATCTTATGTCCCCCGCCATGGCTGCCGCCGCTGCCCTTGTGGGAAATCTCGCCGATGTCCGAAAACTCGCTCCTCGCCTAGCCACTGGTACCAAGTCTTCCCCTAAGGTTGAACTCGACGCCCATGTAGAAGATATTACCAGCGACGAAGACCTCGACCGAATCATAGATGCCCCTGTTGACCCCGTCTCGCACCCATCCGCATCTCCCACCATGGGAGCCTCCGCCGGCATGCCCGAATTTAAACTCCTCCGCGGATATGCAGCGCCAATGGACATCGCGAACATTGACACTGACGCCATCATCCCCAAGCAATTCCTCAAAACCATCAAGCGCTCAGGCCTCGGCTCCGCACTCTTCCACGCTTGGCGATACGAGGCAGGTACTGACAAAGAAACCCCCGACTTCATACTCAACAAGGAGCCGTACAGACAATCAAAGATCCTCGTCTGCACAGGTCCCAACTTCGGCTGCGGATCAAGTCGAGAACATGCACCGTGGGCGCTACTTGATTTCGGGATTAAGTGCATCATCGCACCGAGCTTTGGCGATATTTTCTTCAATAATACATTTAAGAATGGCATGTTGCCGATGCGCATTACAGACCACTCCGCCCTCGAGAGAGTCGCGACAGAGGCCAGGGCTGGCAAGGAGATCGAAGTTGATCTTCCGAATCAGATTATTCGTGACGCTGGCGGTAATGAGCTGGCGACGTTTGAAGTTGAGGAGTTCAGGAAACATTGTCTGGTCAATGGTCTTGATGACATTGGCTTGACGATGGCGAGGGTTGATAAGATTGAGAAGCATGAGGCGAAGAGATCGAGGGAGTGGCCGTGGCTGGATGGGAGTGGGTATTTAGCACGGCATCGGAAGGGCCCGGTTAAGATCGAGGCGGCGGATGTGCCGAGGACAAATCGGGGAGAGGTGTTGAATGAGCCGTTGGAGTGGTAGGTTCTCGTCTTGTGCGAGGGGAAAAATTCATTTCTTGGTATCTCAGCGTCAGCAAGCGAGGGACATAATATGCATTCACTGTCGCCTGGAATCTGTTTCTGTCTCCTTTCCTTTCCTTTCTTTCTTTTCTTGACTGGCTTGGCTTCGGCCTACTTCTATCTATCTATCTCCCGTTGCCCGCGAGCTCCTGTTTTTGTCTTCTAGTCCAGAGGGATACAGCGATACATGTGTTTGATTTTGAGTATTATCCATCGTTACGATAAGATGGCTTATGATGAGATGAGATGAAGTAATACACGGTCTTGGGATTACGAATATAGATATTGAAGGGGGTGGGGTGGGGTGGGGAACTTAGTTAGTTGTGTTGTATTTGGGACCCCCATAGCCGTGTAGCATTGTTTTTATTCGATTCTGCCAACTGGTTGACTTCTCATGTCAAGATGTGAGACGGAATCTTCTGATAATTGATCTAGCATCCTCCCATCGAAACACCACCAGCTGAACGCCGTATTTTGAAAGGTATACCTCGCTATGCAAATCGAGTAAGGCTATCCATCCATTCAGCCAAATTTTCAAATACCAGACTCCGAGAACCCTGGGCTTCCTATTCCCATTGCATTACCATCCCTAACCCCCCGACTGCCGCCTCCCACGCCTGGCCCACCAAAACTACCGCCCAGCGCCCTGCCCCACCATACCCGGCCCATCCCTTCCCCACCCCGCCCTCCTCATCCCCTCTTCAATCCGTCCCCAAATCATTTCCACAACCTCTCTATCCCTCCACCGCCCGGCGCTCCCTCCCGTCCACTTATCCACCTTCACGCTCAACACGCCCCTCCCCCACGCCTGGACATTATCCGGGGGTTCCTCGCCCTGCCATCCCACATACACACCCGGATAATGTACAAATAGATCCGAGGGATTAGGGTATTTATACGATTTAAACTGCCAGGTTTGCCCAGTTGTGAAAATCGCAACGACGCGCGCCCAGTACGGGGGCTTGAAATTTTGGGTGCTGTCGACGAGGATGAAGCGCAGGGGGCGGGTGGCGTCGATGGAGGGCAGGATGCGGTTTAAGTGGAGGAGGTTTGCAGATGTGGTTTCGGTGGCGTTGGGCGGGATGAAGACCCCAGTGTCGAGGAAGGATTTTATGTTGGACATGCGTAGGAGGGAGGATGCGGATGGGGAGACGAGGATGATGGGTTCGAGGCGGCGGGCGGGCTTCTTTTGGAGGTTAGAGACCAGGGGTGAGGGGTGCGGGTGGGTTGTTGGGACTGGGGTGGAGGGGTTGGGGCGGGAGCGGAGGAAGGTGGAGGCAGTTTTGCGAAAGGGCGAGAAGTCCTGGAGGGTGGTGTTAGCATGGCGGTACACAGAGAGCTGGGTTTGGAGTTGGGATTGTTAGGGAAGAAAAGGGAAGGGACATACAACAGGCTTTGTCCCCCTCAGCACACTATTATGATCTCCCATCTTCCGTTCTCCCTGGTATATCTCCATCAGCCGCGCATCCATCATCTTCTGCGTCTTCCCGGCCCCAGCCCCAATCTGCGCAACAGGTACGCCTGCCTTCCCGCTCGCAATCGCGGCACTACTTTCGGCCGCCGCTACAGCTGCAGCACCATCCAATGGCGCGATAAACTCGCTGTTCTCCAACTCCCCATTCAGCCAAGACACCAAATCCACCTTCTGCGCGAATGCGATATTCTGCACTGACCCGCCTGCTCCAGATGGTAGATCTTCATTGAGGCGTTGGACTGCGGATATGTAGTCCGGGAGTGAAGCATCTTTGTTCAGCCAAGCGAAGTATATGCTGCGGAGTTCGACTGGTTGGTCGTTCAGCGTGAAGCGTGTCGGGGTCGTGATTTCAAAGATTTTTGGGTGCGAGTCATTGTTGAAGGAAATGTGTGTTGCAAGTGAGAGATCGGTGACAGTGTCGTCGGCGCTGGAGGGGGTGGGTGTGGTGGTGAGGATAGGTGGTTTTGAGGCCGCGATGGCGCGCCGAAGGTTGGAGAGGGGGTCGTCGAGGTCAGCTTGCGTAGACATGGTTGCGTGGGAGGTCCGATAGAGCGGATTTGCGGGTTGGGAAGGCAGGTGAGGTTGGACCTTGAAATGTGTTGGATGAAGCTAGCGCGAAACTCTGGGAGGTAGGACTGCGCCAAGAGCCTCTGCGTCTGTGCTTTCATCTCTCGTCACACGCAGCTTTCAACCTTCACTCACCGCCTTCCTTTGTTCCCCCAACGAGCCATATCATATCGAACCGCTCATCTACTACTGGAACTTCGAACGTCGTTCTCCCAAAATGGCTTGACGTGCTCTCCTATGACCCGTGGCGCATTGGGAGTTTTGAGGCCTGGGAGTCTCCCAACTTATCAATTGTATTCATTCGTATCACCTGAAGCTCTCCCCCTTGCTTGTTTTTATCTCTCGCGAGGTAACCCGTATAACTTTAGGGCCAAACACTGATCCTATTGACTTCCTCATTCGTTCTAACAAGCAGATAGCCAGAACATCTCATCCCTGTTCATGCCCCACGATTCGTTTGGATGTAGTGTGGAAGTTACCATTTGGGATGCCTCCCAGGTCTTTGCAAAGAGAGGTTAAATCAAGAAAAGCCACTGCGGTAAAATACACAGTAAACAGTAGGGTACGTATTGCCATGTCTTTGAACTATCTCGCTCCTTGGATTGGCATTTCTGCGTGTGCCCACCTGCTATTTCGCATTCACGAAAGAGCAGTCTTCCAAGTCGGATTGAAACAGTCTGGTGACTCTCCGTTCCTGCTGGTTGAAGATTGACGCGAGATGAATTTCAATGCCCAGCAGTGGAAATTAAAGTGTGGCATTGTTTCACTTGTATTCTTTTCCCTATTTTTATCTTCCCATCCCGGCATTTTCTCTCCGGCTTCACTCCTGCCGAGCGTCAGTGAGAGTCTCCTTCTCATCTTGTCAGGCGGCCGATATGTGAGTCGGAGTAAGCTTGGTGGGAATTCGACCGACCCGCAGATTCGAGGCTTGTTTCAACGTCATGGAACGGCATGCCCTGCCGAGTACGGGCTGCGGCTGAGCTTAGCTGGGCGTGAGAAGAAAAATTACGCGCCAAAAACCGAACCGGTGACCACTCAAAACTTGGAATCGAGAACGCGAGCATCACATGAAGATCTAAGTTAGCGCTCGTTAGCTTTGATCTCCTCTCGCTTCTCCATCTCCTATCGGTTGCTTGGCATTATAAGGCTGAGTGTCAGGCCCAGCTTGTTTGTATTTTGGTAAGAAAGAGACTAGACAGTCTCAATCATGATACGCCACTGTGTCCTATTGCCTCTTTCATCCACTTTTAGCCACAGTTCCAAGCAATAGAATCAACATTGTTTCACGGGGATAGCAGGCAACAGCAACAATTCGCGAAATTCCGCATGGACATCAAAGCACGTATTGCAAACTCTAACTTGGCGAAGGCCCCGCTCTTGAAGCTGAAGAGATTCCCCTGCCAAGCAGTCATGGTGGAGAAACATACGAGACCGGTGAGCGAACCAACGTTGACAACTCTGGCCGCCACACCCTTCAAGCCCTCGTGGCGCATCAACCTGCCCGTCGACTGCGGGTACCTGCCTTTGCCAATTTCCACTGTCATGCTGCAGCAAGGAAGTCATTCTCGTGAGCTCGTGGCTGTGCTCATCGAACGCCTGTACCCAGGAGATGTTTAAATAGGCCGTTGAAAGCCTCTCACCTCTTCTTTACACCACTTACCGAGTTACACTCGTTACACTCGTTACAAGTCTTTCCCCCCGTCACTCGTTTTCCTCTCTGAGGATTTACACTCATTAATCTAATTTCTGATCTGCTTCAAACCAACATGAAGTTCTCATCCTTTGGCCTCATGGCCGGACTTGCTGCATCGGCAGCCGCCCAAGACCTTCTCTTCCTCGAGGGACTGCAATACAACGAATACGATGAAGCTGTCGCCATGGGCCTTTCCACCAAGCTCGTTACCGAAGCGGAATGGGCTGCCATGAAGACCGAGGATTTCGCCAAGTTCAAGGCTATCGTTATTCCTGATCCTTCTTGCGGCTCTGTTAGCACTATCAAGTTTTTGGAGGATTCAAAGAGCGTCTGGTCTCCTGCTGTGACCGGCAACATCATCTTGATCGGTGTGTACGGGTATCTAGACAGGTGAAGATGGCTACTGACTTTGTTCAAGGCACTGATCCTTCATACCACTTCGGCCAGGGCAAGGCAAAGACCCTGATTGACAACTCGATTAAGTTTGCCGCGGCTGGTACCACACCAGCCGGCGTTCCACAGACTGGTCTCTACTTTGCTTTGTCTTGCTACTATGAGAGCGAAGACTCTGCCAAGGTTGATGCTGTAAGTCGGACGAGACTTTTGGAGTCTTCACTTTTGACCCTGAAATTCATACCTCATGAGTGGGTGCTGATTTCTGCTAGCTCTCCTACTTCGGTGACTTCACAGTGCGTGGCAACTTGGATTGCTACAACAAGGTCCATCTCGTGGCTCACTCGGAAGCCATGGATTCTCTTGATGACGCCTCCCTGTCTGATTGGAGTTGCAGTGTCCATGAAGCTTTCGCATCATACCCCTCAATCGGCATGAACGGCTTTGAGGCTCTCGCTATTGCTCAGGACATCCTCGGCGTCGGCTCTCAGACTTTTGGTGACGGGACCGTCGGATTGCCATATATGTCAGTATCCCCGAAGCCATATGAAGTACTCGCAAGCAGCTAACATGGCTCAGCCTTTCTCGAGGTGCTACTCCTGCTAAGTGCGGCGACGGTATTTGGGACAAGGACTTAGGCGAGGAGTGTGATGACCACAACACTGTGAACGGCGACGGCTGCTCGCTGAGCTGCAAATGCGAAAGCGGTCTGCCCAACGGCGACGGAACATGCAAGCCAGGCAACACGACTACCCCAACTGGTCCCACGGGCACTGGATACTCTCACCCACCTACGTATCCCAGCGGATACTCCACTCCATCCTACCCATATGGAAACTCCAGCGCTACGCCCACCTATGGCTACCCAGGAGGTTATACCAAGGCCTACACTCCGCCTCCATATGTCACCCCGTCGTGTCCGACTAGCGGCAAGATCATCGGTGTTGAAGTCATCGTCGAAGTTACCCTCTCCGAGACTGTCTACGTCCCGTGCTCCACCTACGAACGACCCATCTATGACATCTCAACCTCGATCCTCCCTTGCTACGCTTGCGCTATGAGCACTGAGCACATCACCTACGTCAGCACCGACTTCTGCACGGTCACCACTACAGCATGCCCATCTTGCTCCGGCGGCGTTCTGCCAACCTACATCCCGCCCGTCATCCACACCTGCAAGACTTGCGAGGGCTACACGTTCACGGAGACGGAGTGCTTCACCGAGCACGAGAAGTACACTACGTACTCTGCTATCCCGTACGTGACGCCCACCCCGCATGCGCATACTACGTTATCTCCAGAGTACACCGCGCCGCCAGCGTATACTTATACCTACTCACCGACCTTGGTGACATATGCGACGCCCACAGGATATTATAATCCTACGGGAACGCCGGCACAGTTCACGGGCGCGGCCGTGAACAAGGAGGTTAAGGCTGCGGGTGTTGTTGGTGGTGCTATCCTTGCGCTCGCTGCTCTCTTGTAGACAGCATATGTGAAGGATACGTGGTAGGGAAGAGGTGGCTTTCCTTTGTATGGTGTCTTTTGGTTCGTTGAACATGTAGGGTTAGAGCCACTAGGTGTTCTGGAAGGAGTGGGCATTGATGGTCGGACTAATTGGAGAATCTTCATGTTGCAATATACCATGCTTGCTTTTTGATTGGATGGTGCGAAATTCTCCGTGTTCCCGGTTCATTTACTCTCGCCAAATGCATTTCCGAAGCTGTAAGAACTTAGTTCTGGGTTAATTGCACACCATGGTGACTTCACACATTCCCTTGCTGTATGTAAGGTGCTGCCATGCCTAGATGTCTTTGTTGTGGAGGAATAAGCCCTGCTTCACGTTTTGCCTGAATTGGCTTGGCGCCAAAGTGGTGAAAACATCGCCCCCCCCCCCCCCCCAAGTCATTACTCACTTCGTCCAACTTCTTTCCTTCCTCAATTTTGACTGAATCCAATACGGCTGTCGAAAGTGATGTGTGCAGCTCCAGGTGTTTTGCAACGCTCAAAATCAATCACTGAGCTTTGTAGCGAGAAGCGCAGTGCAAATGCAACCATTTTAAATGAATCGTGGTATTTTGCGACCTATACTGTAGCGCTGAATAGGGGGGACGGGTTGAACGATAATGGCCTGTTGCAAATGCGTATATATGCGCATTCCTATTTTCTCTGTATAGAGCATAGGAGCCTCATCCAAAAGAGCCAAAGACTACGGCTTTACCAGAGGAGTTATCCTCTTGCACCAGGGACTTTTCTAGCATGAGTAGAAGATGTGATGTGCGAACGAGGAGTTCTGGAGCATACGTTAGTGTCAGGTTGAGTGGGGTATAACACGAAACATTACCATTGTACTCGATTTCATAGCTCACAGGTATATCTTCGTCGGCTCTGATAAGGATAGGTGCATCTCTTCTCAGCCTCCTTTCCTTGATACTGAATCTCAGTCCTGTATTATTAGCAGCAGTGATCCATAGGATTCTCTCATCAATTGCACTCTTTCCAGCATCTGGGATATCGCGAATAGCACCCTTTCCTTTCTCCCCTTCCTCAACGACGTCTTCCGCCCCTGGAACCCCACTCTCCCTCTTCGCGGCCATATCTCCAAGCCACTCCCTCCAAACTCTCACAACACCTTCATCTACAGCCACAAAACAAGTAAACAACCCATTTCGCGGCCCAATCTTCACTAGATTGGTCTGAGCAACCAATTGTGTGAACAATTCATGTCCTTCCAGACTCAATATCTGCTTCACGGTTTCGCCTTCAAACCTATCTGACGCAGTACCCGGAAAAGTCCGGCTTCCGGGGACATCCCCAGGCGGCCAACGCACCCGTCTCCCTCCCAGCTCAAGGTCGCGACGATGAGGCCGGAAGCGCGAGTACATGTTGCGCATCTCGCCAAGACGTCCAGCAAGGTTCGCATCGTTCTCATACGGAGGCTTGTATGTTGTGAGGCCATCAGTGCCGTGGTATGTACAGAAGTATGGCGGCTCGGTGAGCTTTGCTGAGGGGTGGTAGCATTCCAGTAGGAGCGAATGCGAATTCAACTCGGATGCTGCAACGAGCCGGTTGTGTAGGATGCGCAGAATAAGGGTGTATATACGGTGAGAAAGCACGGTTAAGGGGAGAAGTTGAGGGGTAGGTAGAGGCGTGAGGATGTGGAGGAGGAGCTTGGAAGAGTGATTAGTGGGGTTCGGCTGGGAGCGCGGGCAGTGGAGTACCTCATTTGGGAGTTTGTATAGGTAGCATTCAGTCATTGTGAAAGAGGTGATGCAGAATTCGAGAAGTGAAAGACGATAATAAGGTTGAAGGTAGTGAGCGGGGTCAAAGTGAGCGTAAACGGCAATAAAGCAGTGAATGGCGATAAGATACGATATCATCATTGTATCGTACTAGGCCCATTTTGGCAAGGCGCATTCTTCGGAACAAAACCGCGCTTTCTACTTCGAGGTTCAACACCATAACATCATCACGACTTCTCAAATGATCCTTTTCACTCTCAACACTTGATTACAACGTGTCTAGTGGGGCTGGAGTGCTTACTACGGGAGATATCCCGAGCCTCTCACCGCCATGCAAAACTTCGTTCGCGGTAGGGCGAACAGTCCGCAGAATAGTCGACCCAGCAGTGCCCATCGACAGCAAATTGCTGCCAACCTAAAGATTCCGGTGTCGAAGACGACTCTTCATCGTCAAAATCATGGGACGCAGCATTCTCGAGGTCAACCACAGAATTTCAGCCATGGCCATCAATCAACCATGCAACAGCAGTCAGTTCAGCGTGGGGCTCCAAGCCGTCGCATGGGACCTAAGCAGGATACCTACGACACTGACGCTGAGAGTCTTGATACCACTCTTCCGCGGGAGTCAGTTGTCCATGTCATCGATAGCCAGCGACATGAACATATCTCTGATCAGGAACATAGTGATAATGAGGATGTCGAGAACGAATCTGATGCGGAAGGCGAGGTGGAAGGTGAGGCGAGAGATGAAAGCGATGGAGAGGATGACGAAGAGCCGCGATTCACTGAAGAACAGTGGCGAATTCTTCAGCAGGGGGGCTTTGAAGATGCCGAACCGTCACTTCAATGCAAATTCTTGAACGATTACCAGGCGGGAAACCAGTATGGCATTTTCGATGCCAACAATTCATACCCATCAACCACTTCTGGTATTCCAGAGGGGCTTCCGGGAAAGTACAACCAAGCTCAAGATCCTGCTTCCGAAGACTTCGACGAGCAGAACGAGATCTCTCCTTCCCCGCAGCGCCTCGGTGTGAAAGCTCAGGGTCGACAACATTTTGCGAACCAACCGCTTCTTCGCCTCCCTGATCGTCCACCGTATCAGCAACCTCAACCCTTTCAGCCACCACACGTTGAACCTAGGGACAACGGTGCCGACACGAACGCCACAACTATGCGTCGGGGCGCCAAGCTTCAGTACAGTCAGATCCTTCCCACTCCTTCTGTTGAAGTAACTGCCCACCGCAATTTCCGTAGCCAGAATGAAACGCCACTTCAGCTTAGCAGCCAACGTCAGAAATCCGATCCGACGATCATTAAGCAACATTTGCCTACTCTTCCCATTTCAGAGGAGCAAGCTGTGAAACCGCCAACACTTCACCGTTCTGAGGAGGCCGCGGAAGCTCAGCCCCAAGGCCCAGTCGAGGACTACGACCTTCCCGAACTTCACAAGATGGCATATGAAGACTTAATAAACGAAAATTTCGACAAGAATCCACGAGCGGGCACGCCTGTTATTTCCGACAACATGCTTGAGAGGCCCCTGGTTGAACGCCTACAGCATGTCCAGAATCTTGACGGTCCTGACCAGGCGAAGTTCTTCAGCACTCTGCCTACTCAAGAATGGGAGGATGCTGGAGATTGGTTCCTGGACCAATTCAGCAGCATCATCAAGCGTACGAAGGAAGCGAGGCAGCAGAAACGAAAGCTAGCGAAGGAATACGAAAAAGAAGTGGAGAACCGTCACAATCATGTTACTAAAAAACAAAAGACGGTTGAAGAAGCCTTGGCCAAGATGAAGAATCAGGGAATGGGCCTTATCCCGAAGACTCCAGAGAGGAAGAGATGAAGAGTACGATGTGATTGTGAGAGCGTCTTTCGAGTTCAATTTTTTCTGTTTCGTTACGAGGTAATTCCGTTATGTCATGTATGAACAACAGTCGGCGCATCAAAAGCTGGAGCACGGGATGGGTCGACTTTCAAGTTTCCCAAATTGGGCTGCATTCTATATACCCTTATGTGTTAACATTTTATTTATTTGCGCTCTATAGACCCCAGCGAGCTCACTATAACTGTCTTACCTAGATCTTGAACACTAGTCATGAATATCTTGCGGGCCGCGAATAAAGCGGAGATGCAACCTTGCAAGAAGCAGACAGTCTCTTGTATGGGCAGGGGTGATTCGTGACATATTTTTGTCTTCTATTAATATCATCTATAATTCTAGCATAAGATTTACTAAATTCAATTTATCTTGTACCTATTCTGCAATATATGCTGACAGTGAAAACGTAGCATTACCGCGTCTAGGGTTTTGGTTAGGGGCATTTAAATACACCACAGAACTTGGGACACGTAGGGCTCTTAGGATTATCGCAGTGATGATGATACCGGAAGCTGTGTAGCCTTTATTGTACAGTTATGTTTAGAGCAAGAAGAAGGGCAAGGATAAAGTCGAGTGAGGAAGAGATTTATAATATTGACCACCGAGGAGCCCAGACGGAAGGAATGAGAAGATATTAATGATTTCTAGATCTTTGTGAGAGTTCTTCTCCACATGGTTGGAAGATCCAGGAGCTAATTAGGTGATTCACATCTCTCAGCCACTCTACCACTTCAAGAGTCTTAGTTATCCAGTGCAAAGCACCTCTCCACACTCTCCTCATTATTGCCCCACCATAACGGCATCTTGATGATTTTGCCACTGGAGAAGATGAGAAACATCAACAACATAGCGATATTAAATCCCGCATCGAGTGCCGCAGCAATGAGGAAATTATACCTCCTCCAGGTCTCAAACCGATGGCGGAAGTACCACCTCATGGAGATATAACCGACGATAAATCTGGAAATATACCCAGTACTAAGGTTTCCGTAGAACTGACTGACGCCGGAACCAAAGATTGTCACATTCCAGAGATGGAACTTAAGCTTTGATTTCGGCCACTTGCGATGGAGCAAGTACAGAATAAAGGGAGCAGCGGCTCCGTACAAGAAAGCCCATGGAAGCGGCTTGTACATGTGCTGGGCGAAGAGGCGCTTGGGTCCGATGAGAACGTATTGCACCCCCATGGTGTTGTAGGATGCAAGTAGTTGTCCAGTCCATTGGCCAAGTGGGTCTTTTATGTTGCCGAGGATATATTCGCGTTTGGTCCTGAGAACCCACTGGATGATACCATAGTTGATGGGGATGCCGATGAGTTCACCGAAGATTTGGCTGAAGAAGACAGCACGTGGTGGGATGTGCATGTAGTGGCCGATTTTTTGGTCTTGGAGCATATATTGGGCGCGGTACCTAAGCGTGTTAGTAGGGGATTGAATAAAGATAGATGATGATCTTACCATATATCTCCAGCTATGCATCCATACGTATTCGCGCCGGCAGGATGCTTGTGACCACTCACGGCGTGCACCATAAAGCCATAGAGAAGCTCGTTGAAGGTTCCAATGGCAACTTGAAAGCTAGAAAATGAGTAGAGCCAACTGAACGGGACGATCATAAATCCAGACGTCAAGATGGCAACGAAGAACGTCCAGATTGGAATGAAGAAGTACCCTTTCGCTAGAATCGTGACTATAGTGACAAAAGATGCCACGAACAAAGCAAGATACCACCACAGAGGGACTTCTTTGTATTGTCGTTGTATAACGTTGAGGCGGTCTGTATAGAAGTGATTGATGGAGTCCTTGCCTCTAGAGGCCGCTCGTTCACGGAGTTTAGCCATTGTGCCCCGAATATTGTCCCAGCCGAAAAGAAGCATCCAGGTGAAGGCAGAAATATATGAGGAGTAATCAAAGAAGAGACTCCAGATGGCCTGAGCACCCATGTAAACTGGACCGTAATGCTGATATGCAGTTTCGTTGAAGGTGTGGTTAGGCCCGATTAGCTCCGCCACCGGATATTTAGTTCCATTGGCCAGAAACACACGATTCGACATAAGATTGTGCTTCCATTCTCCTAGACTTCCCCACTTCGCAGCAGGGAGTAAAATCCAGCAGTTTAGGACGAAGGCTGCGGTAAGAACACAGGTTGTCCAGAAGGGGGTAATCATGGGGCTGATTAGCGATTGGTTGGAGATGTTCGCCCAATCAAGGGACAGGTTCAGGAAACCCATGCCACCAATACCGGCTCCAATGAAGTTGGCCACGGGATTTCTAGGCGCGACCCAGCAGAGAAACGAGAGCGAGCTCAGGAACGGAAATATATACTCGGGCAAGAAATGCCAGAAAATGCAGAATCCGAAGACCATGAAGAAGACGTACTTCTGTTTTCTCGCGACCCTGGAATCACGGGAAGATTTCCGCATCGTCTCGAAAACAGCTGTTTGCATCAAGGAGTAAGGCCATGTATAGATGGGATCGTAGAGTAAGAACTGTCGAGCTAGAGCAGCCATGGCGTATCCTATGTATACGATTGCCCACATGAAGAAAAGTGCCACTGGTACAGGGATGTAGGTGTTATAGTAGAGCTGAGCGAGCGAGATAGCGGACCATGCAGCATTTCCCGTGGCACCAGAGGCAGCAGTCAATGTAACAAGCACGTTTTCTTTCACCATTAGCTTGCATCTTTGAAATTTGGAGCGACTTACCTTTGGCATTCCATGGACCAGGATTCAAACTGAAGCTGAGCTTAGTGAATGGAACCCGAATTATCCTACCTGGCAGGATCTCTGCAAGCCACTGTCCTACGTAGTGAGAAGCTACGCTATTTAGTCTCTTCAAGTTTAAAGCCTGGGACCAACACCTACCTATCTGAACGAAGAGAATAGGATATACAGCTGCCGTTGTCCTATATGCTCCTATGGTGTACAGAATTGCACCCGGAGGAACGAAGATGAAGCAGAGTATGAAGTATCGAAAGGTAATGGTGGGCGAAGTTGGATCATCTTCGAGGCTCACGATGCTACGCACAACCTTGGGCAACTCTCGAACGTCTTCTGGGATGTCGTCTTCATTTTCGAAGGGTGTAGGCAAGTCTCCTGCCATGGCGATTTCAGGATTATTCTTCTCGGGATTGATTGTCTCCGACAAATCGTGGTCGATGGCTGTCACAGCGTTTCCCTCTTGAGACTCACCGCTACCTCCGCCAGGTTGCTTCTGGAAACGACTAAAGACGTTGGCCATCCCGTCGGTTGGACTATCCTACCCTCTGCTAGAGAGCAGCAGATGGGGGAAGCTGAAGGGAAGAGGGGTAGTCTGGTGGCGGCAAAGAGGTGAAGAGGATTTGGCCGCTCTTAAAGAGACACTTATCTTTGAATGCGACACATACCCTTGCGATTGCGTGAGGGCTAGAGTGTTGGGCATCTAATTTAGCTAAATGATGTGATTTGAAGCGGCGGGTGAATTTGGAACTTCCTCTTCTGAACACGATCAATCCCCGCTATTTTCGAGGCACTTCCAGGGTTCAGCACTGACCCATGATCGTGTGAGACAAGCCTTGCGTGGCGGCGCCTCTTGAAGAGCTTGATCAGACTGCGCATTTCTCGTGAGATGCAAGTGAATTGAGCCTACGCAAGGAAAATTACAGAACGATTAGACTCTCCGTAGAGAGTAGCCTGTAAATTCACCCATGGATTCTTCCTCAGTAATGGATCCTGGCATCCGCACATGAGCCTGGCTGCGGGGCCGACGAGTGTAACGAGGATCGCAATTCATTGGAGAGCGAGATGTGTGGGACTAGATGCGCTCGAAAGTAATCGATGGTGCTGGTAACCATCGATTGTGGAACGATGAAAGATGCCGTTGTTCGAAGCGCAGACCCAACTACGAAGGATCGCATCGCGCAGCCACGGGTGTAACAGTGCGGTGCCATTGTGCAGCATCGCTATGGCGTGTACTGTAGAGAGTGTCTTAGTCACAGGCCTAGCGGAAAGGTGAGTAGTGATGGTGAGAAGGAGGGAGAAATGATGCAGATAAAGCTTGAGCGACAGGAAAGGCTTAGCGCTGCACGTGAAAGCGTGAACCTTAGTCAGCCTTCCTGTCCAACTTGGCGCGGTCAAGTCAAAACAAACCTCAACACGAACAACAACAGCACATGCAGCCGCCATGAGGGTCGTCGAAGTAGTATTAGACGTAAGTGTTGCGATAGGAGGATTTACTATGCCTCTAACATATTTTCGCAGGGTTTCAAATCGTACGCTGTCCGAACTGTCATCTCTGGCTGGTTTGTTTACCTCCGAATCTGCACAAGAATCACAGCTCACTGTGTATAGGGACGGGAGCTTCAACTCCATTACTGGACTTAATGGATCTGGGAAGTCAAATATTTTGGACGCAATATGTTTTGTGCTCGGTATAACGAACATGAGCACTGTTCGGGCTCAAAACCTGCAGGTAGATAAATATGCGCCACATTGATGTCAAGTACTAAGACTGGCCGAACAGGACCTCATATACAAACGTGGTCAGGGCGGAGTTACGAAAGCTAGTGTTACCATCGTTTTTGACAACCGCGACAAGAAGAAGAGCCCCATTGGTTTCGAGGACGAGGCACAAATCTCTGTTATGAGGCAGATAGTCATGGGCGGAACAAGCAAATATATGATCAACGGACATCGCGCACAACAACAGACAGTGCAAAACCTGTTCCAGTCGGTCCAGCTAAACATCAACAATCCCAACTTCCTGATCATGCAGGGCCGAATCACGAAGGTCCTGAATATGAAGGCAGTGGAAATACTTGCCATGATTGAAGAAGCCGCCGGGACACGCATGTTTGAGGACAGGCGAGACAAGGCTTTCAAGACAATGGCAAAGAAGGAGATGAAGGTGCAAGAGCTTAGCGAGCTGCTGCGGGATGAGATTGACCCCAAATTGGAGAAACTTCGCCAAGAGAAGCGCGCTTTCTTGGATTTCCAGCAAACACAGAGCGACCTTGAACGACTTACACGGCTGGTTGTTGCCCATGACTATGTGCGGTACAAGGAGAGATTACGACAATCTGCGGGCGACCTCGAAGCAAAGAAGCAGCGGGCAAAGGACCTAGAAGGGTCCGCGGTCCGGATGAAGAAGGAGATCGAATACCTCCAAGAGGACATCAAGAAGGTCAAAGCCACCCGAGAAAAAGAGCTTCGCAAAGGCGGTAAATTTCAGGCCCTGGAGGAGGATGTCAAGATGCATTCGCACGAGATCGTCCGGCTGTCAACTGTCCTCGAACTGAAAAAGTCCAGCATGGCCGAGGAGTCTGATAGACGGAAGAAGATTGAGAAGAGTGTTAAGGAGCTCGAGACCCAGCTCCGGGAGAAGACGGAGACCTACGAAAAACTCCAGGAAAAGTATAAAACGGCCCATGATGAGCTCGCCAAGCAGACAGAAGAAGTGGAGAAAAAAGAGGAACTGTTTCAGACGCTTCAGACGGGTGTCGCTTCCAGAGAAGGCCAGGAGAGCGGATACCAGGGTCAGCTTCAAGACTCCAGGAACCGAGCCAGCGCCGCCGCTACAGAACAGGAGCAGGCCAAGCTTAAAATATCCCATTTCGAGAAGCGCATTAAGGAGGAAGAGCCGAAGGCAAAGAAGGCGAAGGAACAGAACTCTGGACTGCTGAAAGACCTCGAGGCTCTCAAGACCCAAGCTAAGAGGCTGGAAGCCGAGCTCGCAAAGATGGGGTTTGAGCCAGGAAAAGAATCGGACATGTACCAGCAAGAGTCCCAGCTCCAAACAAAGATACGCGATATCAAACAGCAAGCCGACGGGTTGAAGAGGAGAGTCGCGAACATTGACTTCAGTTACAACGATCCGTCTCCAAATTTCGATCGATCGCGTGTCAAGGGTCTTGTTGCTCAGTTGTTTACACTGGAGAAGGAACGCACTCATGCAGGGACCGCTTTGGAGATCTGTGCCGGAGGCAGACTCTATAATGTTGTCGTGGACACAGCCGATACTGGTACTCAGCTGCTTCAAAATGGTAAACTCAGGAAGCGCGTAACCATTATTCCGCTTAACAAAATTTCTGCTTTTAGGGCATCGGCCCAGAAGATTGGTGCAGCTCAAAAGATAGCTCCTGGCAAGGTCGATCTGGCACTTTCGTTGATCGGATATGAAGATGAAGTCACGACTGCGATGGAATACGTTTTTGGCTCGACGCTTGTTTGCGAGGATGCCGAAACTGCGAAGCGTGTCACCTTTGATCCTGCTGTTCGAATGAAGAGTGTCACTCTCGAGGGAGATGTGTACGACCCCGCGGGGACATTATCTGGAGGTAGCGCACCACAGTCGAGTGGTGTTTTGGTAACCTTACAGAAACTCAATGAGCTTACCAAGGAACTTCAAGTGCAAGAGAAACAGCTCGCAGTGCTACAGGCAACAATGGCAAGGGAAAAGAAGAGGCTTGATACCACCCGCAAGACGAAACAGGAGCTTGATCTTAAGACCCACGAGATTAAACTTACAGAGGAGCAGATTAGCGGTAACTCGTCATCTTCAGTAAGTTTTAGACCCCTTGATCCAACAATACTAATGGCGTCTTAGATCATCCAAGCAGTTGAGGAGATGAAAGCTAGCATTCTGAAGCTCAAGGGAGATGTCAAGGATGCGAAGTCTAGACAGGACGAGGCTTCCAAAGAGATTAAGCGCATCGAACGCGACATGAATGAGTTCAATAACAACAAGGGTAGCAAGCTCGCCGAGTTGAAAGCATCATTGGACAAACTGAAGAAGGCACTCAACAAAAATAACGGTTCAATCAAACCACTGCAACTGGAAATGAGGGAAGCAATGGTTGAGTCTGAGCAATGCGGAGGCGATCTTTCGGCCGCCCAGGAGCAATTACAGGACGTGCAGACGACGTTGACGACCCAGCAAGAAGAGATTAATACGTTGATTGCAGAGCAAGCTCAAGCAAAGGTATGTAAATATGTCCTTGTTCGGCAGCCTGCTAACATGTTTGAAGGATGCACACGATCTCGCTCAGGCTAACCTATCGGACGAACAAGCTAAGCTGACCGGATTCGACGATGAACTACGTGCCTTGGAGGAAGCAATCCGATCAAAGAACTCCCTCATCACTGAAGAGGGGCTTGAGCAACAGACTCTTGGTCACGATATTGAGAGGTTTCACAAGGAACGAGACGCAGCGTCACAAAACCTCAAGGCTCTTGAAAAGGAGCACGACTGGATCGCTGATGAGTGTGAACTCTTCGGTCGACCAGGGACCCCTTACGACTTCCGAGGTCAGAACATGTCTGACTGCAAGGCTACCCGGAAGAATCTCCAAGAGCGGTTCCAGGGCATGAAGAACAAGATCAATCCAAAAGTCATGGCTATGATAGACAGCGTCGAGAAGAAGGAAGCTAGCTTAAAAAGGAACATGGCTACTGTCATCAAAGACAAGAAAAAGATCGAGGAGACGATTGTGAATCTCGACGAGTACAAGAAGAAAGCTCTGCACAAAACTTGGGAAAAGGTCAATGGCGACTTTGGGCAGATTTTCAATGAGCTTCTTCCCGGAAGTTTTGCGAAATTGGACCCACCCGAAGGCAAAACAATCGCAGATGGTCTGGAGGTGAAGGTCATGCTTGGCAAAGTCTGGAAACAAAGTTTGACTGAGTTGAGCGGTGGTCAGCGGTAAGTGCTGTCTTATGTTCCATGTGACTGCGATACTTACACTTAGTAGATCTTTAATCGCCTTGTCTCTCATCATGGCGTTGCTGCAATTTAAGCCAGCACCAATGTACATCCTTGATGAGGTTGACGCCGCACTGGATCCTTCCCACACACAGAACATCGGCCTTCTTATCAAGAACAGATTCAAGGGCTCGCAGTTCATTGTTGTAAGTTTGAAGGATGGCATGTTTGAGAACGCTAACCGGATCTTCCGGACAAGGTTTGTTGACGGAACTAGTGTTGTGCAAGCGACTACTGCGGCTGAGATGAAGAGGTAACGAAACTAGATGAATTACGATGAACCTGGGAATGCTGGTATGGGCTACATGTTTTGGGGGTCTTGTGCAGCTGTATGGTGAATGTCGCATTGGGAAGGCATGACTCGGCGTCTTTTTTTTACTTTTGTATATCGGAGCTAATTCTGGGAAAGGAGGCAAGTCCTAAGTCGGGCCGGCGCTGAATGGTCAGTTCCTAATTGCAATTGCTTGAATCTCTTGTTCTTCGATGCCTCCTTCCCGATATGGATGGCGATCGCCTAGCCGTTCCGCGAACTTGGCTTCACAGCACCACAATCCCTTCTCTCTTCCTGTTCGCCATCTATCATGTTCGTCCCTTGCCCCGCGGATTTCTGGCCGTCCGCTCCATTCCTATAAGTACCCTATGACTACATCCTCCATTTCATTCCCTATACGCTGTCGCTCACCCCATCCGAAGCGAGTCTGCCCGCTCAGCCCTCACAATCTCTCACCGTCGTCAGTATATGTCGGCATCAGCTTCTTCTGAGGTATCGTCTCATATCGAGCAGCGCCGAGACGGTGTAGCTGCGAAAGACTCGAGTAGCATTCTAGGATCACGAAATCTTAGTAATGGGAATGACCTAGTTGTGCACCCGACACCACGGTCAACGCTACCCAGACACTGGACCTCATTCCAAGAGCATGCCGACTCCGTGGGCTGTACTGTAACCCCTGGAAACGGATCTACGCCGAGGCCTGAGAATAGACGTGAGGGTTTCATGTGGGAAATACCACTAGGAGGTAATTATCACGAGAGCCGGCATCCCCGCAAAAGCTCTAGCACAGGCTCTAATTTGACGATCCACAAATCACGAGTCAAGCCGGTGACTGGCAGGCGTACGAGCATATGTGCTTTCGATACAGCAGAAAGCCCCCCCCAAAGAGATAGTACTGAATCCTTCATCACCCACGAGATATCTTGCGATAGTACCAGTCTATCTTCTGTTAGCAGCATCGCTCATGGACTATTGGGAGTTGCTCCAGACCTTACAATGTTAAACGCGATCAAGAAGAAGTACGAGAATCGCAGTGGGGGAACCGCGACAGATGTTCCAACCCCGGTTATTCGACGATCTAGTAACCCTAGTCGAAGATTGTCATTCAGAATTAACCCCAAGATAAGAAGAGCTCGATCGGAGGACAAAGAGCGCAGCAAGCCTACTGGAATCGAGCCAGTGAAACGTGGGTTGAAAGACCGACGGAAATTGGACAATGCGGATGCGATGAAGCTCACTCTGCCGCTGGGCTTACCTAATCTACCTCCTCGACAACGCACCCCTATAACGCCAATTCCCCCAAGTCTCCCGCAGATAGGTTCCAACCGGTCTCGAAGTCCAAAGTTTCCGTGGGTACGGGACTGTCCCCCTGAATGGCCAACAATGGAAATTTCTCCACCGTCCACTATCCAAGAAACCCCTTGCAGTGGTGATAACAAGCATGGCCATGGCCTCCTTCCTGGGAGTGATCCGATCTTCTCCTCGCAGGGCATACCCAAAGGGCGAGAGAGACCAGGCCTCCGAGGTTTCTCAAGCCGACCCCGAATGCACAGAAGGAGCGCCAGTCAAAGGAGCGATATCTCACCGGTAACAAGTCCTCTGAGCAAAGAAGCACCTAATTATCTTATAAAGACAGAAGAATTGCATCAATTAGGCCAGCAAAGGAAGCAAGCGAAACGCTCAAGGCGTTGGCGATGGAGTGCCCCGTTCACATCCGGAGACATAGAGTCCGCAGACTCGCCCTCTCGCCAACTAACCGACTCGCCACAGCCCTTCCCCTCGAGGCTTCGCGCTCCATGGAAAAGACAAGCTCATACTCCTCCGCCGTCAGCTGCCCAAATACCACCCTCCGACTCACCGTCTTCAATGTACCCCACAAACCCCTGGCTTGGAATGCATACCCCCGCCACAAAACCACCAACCCACCCCATGAAAGATCCCATTTCTAGCTTCCCCGTCCCTCCAATGTTCGTCCCCCCTGGCGTCCAGCGCGTCTCTACCCCGCCTCTCTTTGATGAAACACGTGAAATCAGAGGCAAACTCGCAAAATTCTACTTCGACATCCACGGCGTGAAACACTCGCGGCCTTCCCCATGCGTGCAAGCTGGAGTATGGGATTCAGACGCCCTGCTAATGCCGCAGGAGAGCAATATCACGCCAAAAAGCGGGAGCGAGGATGAAAGCCCACAAGGCATATCTGTTTCTGGAAATTCGCCGTTGCAATTATCAAAGCCTTCATCTTCCCAGCCGAGGAAATCGCCAGCCGAGTACTTTGCGGCTGGGGCTGGGAGGAGCGGTGCGCCGTTCTCCGCACCGGTTCTCACAAACTCGGCTGTTTTCCAGGACTTGTATCATGTTCATCAAAGAGAAGACGAGAGAAAACCTAATAGTGGGGAGATTGAAGGGGTTGAAGATGTGGCGATTCTAGAATGGCTAATTCCGGAGCATTTGCCCAGTTCCCCGTTGTGTCCACTTCATCCGAAATATCGGGGTCCGAGTAGGATTTGTGTGTATCATGGACGGAGGAAGGATAAGTCCCGGGAGGATGGACTTGGAGATGGAGTTGTGGAGGACGATGAGGGGGGTGATAGTCTTAGGAGAGAGAAGGGGTGGGCGAAGAAGAGGAGGAGAAGGAGGCTGATTAGCTTCTCTGGTCAATGACAGATGGTGCGGGGAGTTTCCTTAGGGTGTTTCTGCCCTTGAAGGTAGATATGGGCATGCATGGTTTGGTTCGGTTTGGATGGGTTGGGTTGAGATGGGACGCTAATGATGTGACGATTTCATTGGGTGGGCGTACATTCTTAATGATGCCTATTTTGTTCTTCATTTCGTAATTCTGTCTTATCACTTAGCCATCCTCTCCTCAATCGCTACACAATTCGATTCCAAATAAGGAGGCCGAGTCCTCGCAGTCTCCCCATTTCAATCCAGACAAGCTTCTGCACCCCAGATGAGTCCCTAAACTCAATCCAAAGTCTCTCGCGTTGCCCGAAAATAACCTCGACTTGTACAATTGTCGGATGAATTGGCACCGCCGTACACTAAGTGCTTCGCCCCCCCCTCACTCTTCTCGAAGGACTATTCTCCCAAGTCTGCGTAAAGCCATCTTCATCCTCATCAGCATCTACATCCGCTAGATCCACACCAGTGACGCCTTCATCATACATATCTTCAGTTCCGTCCTCATCGATTCCCAAACTACTCACATCACGATCACCACCTCCCTTCCCCTCACCCTCGTCATACTGTTCGCTACCAGTCTCCGCGTCCCGATCCCCATCCTCAGGCGAGAAAACAGGACTCTGCGCAATCTTAGGCCGACTCTTAAAAACACGCTCATAATCCACTTCATCGCTAAACAGCTCCTCTTTCGGCGTCCGCTCCCCACTCCTCGCTTCCTCGATCGCGTGGATGCTTTTCCGGTTGCGAGGCGTGTCGAATTGGTTTATTGGGTACAAAGACGTCCGCAAGCTTTTCCTCTTATCTTTTTTCCGTTGTGCCGCCTGGGGATTTTGCGACATCGCTGCCATGCTTAGACGTGTGCGTTCGAGCAGCGAGGTACGTCGGTCGAGAGGGGCTGGGGGTTCTGCTGTTGCGATTGTGGAGAGAGAAGGGAGTGGATTGGAGTCTGGCGGGGATTCGTCGATGGATGGGAAGGAGTTGGCATGAGCCATGGACATGCGAGTTCGCTCGACGAGGGAGAGGCGAGGTTGTTTTTTGACTGGTGACGGGGTGGCGTTGGCGACGGAGGAGAGAATTTGTTCGGCGAGTAAGTCTTCGTGGCTGAGAGATGGGGGCTCGAGGACTGGGGGTTCGGAGGGGAAGTATGAGGAGGGTGGAGGGGAAGGGGAGCGAGGTTGCGTGGTTTGAATGGCTAGGCGAGGGGGGGTGGAGACCATTGGGAGAGGCTCAGATGTGTCCTGGGTACCATCGAAGTGATTCTGGATTGTCGTTTCTGTAGCATTTGACAGTGGGGATAGAGATATCGATGGGTGACCGACGAGCGTGGCGTCTGAGTCGGTTGGAGTGGCTGTAGGCTCACGACGAGATGATGGTGGGGGCATGCTCTCCTTAGACTGTTTTTTTGACGGCGGTGCCGGTCTAGTGAGTTTCTCTGTGTGTGAAGATGTAGGTCTCTTGGACGCTGAATCTGATCTCGACTTCCTCCGTCGGGTTGGGGAGGTACTGAACGATGAGCCACGGCGCGTGACATGGGTGATGGTGGATCGATTGTTTCTTGCTTTGGACACCTCAAGTAGCTCAGATTCCATCTCCGAAATGATGTCTTGATATTCCACGCTCAGAGGGTTTCTCTGAACAGGATCCATGTCGGACGGTTTCGTGGAACGCAATTGGAGCTTCAGATGATCGTCGAATCGGAAGGCCTCCTCCAAGGCCTGCGTCCTGGGAGGGGGTGGTTGTGCTTCGACTTCCTCACGCAGCTTTTCGTGGAACCTCTTCCATTTCTGCAGCCTCGCTTGCTGTTCCTGCACCCTCGATTGCAGATTCTCTAGCAGACCAGTATCCGGAGAAGCATCCTGTAGCTTGCGACCATTCTGCACCATCCTCCATACATCCTTAAATGGCCTGTTCAAAAAGGCATCCTCGACTTGGATATCATCTCCATGCAACATGGTGTCGAGCCATTTCTGATTCCCAATCCAGTTGTCCCTCAATTGCTTCTTAATTGCGGCCGTGTCGTTCTGCGGGATCGATGATTTCCGGTATCGAGGCGTGGCCTTGCATTGGTTATTACGGCGATTAATTTCTACTGCCTTCTCCTGCAATAGTCTGTCGAATTGTGTGTACCTCGTTCGTTTCTCATGCTTTCTCCTTAGAATATTAGTGAGCGCTGCCTTATGTGCTATGGCTAACGGCAACAATGATGCTTGCTGGTCTCTGGGGAGTGCGGGATCCGTGGATAATTTCCTTGCGACCGGCGCCGCCTGCCTCTTGGCGCGTCTCTGAGCCGCCAAGTGCTTTTTCAAAACAGCTGTGGAGAAGAGAGCCAGTATCTCATAGAACTTCTCGCCCTTGCACTCATCCAGCATTGTCTTCCGCAACACTGATTCCCGGCCTAAGATGCCAATTTTCTTCAATTCGTTCAAACATCGATAGAGGGCGGCGCGGAGGTTGAGCGATTGGAGGGGTTCAAGGGGAGGAAAGAAGGGCTGGAGTTTCTAGAACCCCAGTTAGCCGCTACTCTTCCTTGCTTGTGTAAGAACTCCTTACCTGGCTCGTCTCTACTGGATCCCAGATTTCAAGCAGCCGGAAGAGCGCCCATTCCACACCGCCAATTCTTTGTTTCTGATCTGCATTCTTCGAGGAGAATGTTTGCACGGTAATGTTAGGCCAATCGGCACGCAAGTCAAGGTCCAGGAGTCGGAGATTTGTCACGAAGAGTTTGATATCTGAGGGAGGGAATGGGTTGGTGTTTTGGGCCGATTTGGCAGTTGTTTTGATGCTCAGACAGCGGGATAAGTTTGTTGTGGCAGAGGTAGCGGCGGAGGAGGAGGGCTGCGATGTTGAGTGGGACATGACCTGTCTATGTAGTAAGACATACAGAAATTTGGGAGGCAAGACGTGGGCTTGTTACTGCAAGTGGACATTCCTTATGGGATTTGTGGTGTTGAGCGCCTGATTCAAAACAACGCCAAGGCTTGGATGTTTTGGGCTTAGTGGATTTAGTTGCCGCGCACTATGACGATAGTGGCCAGCCCGGGCCGGGTCCGTTTGCGGCGGTCGGGTTGTGAACAATAAGCGTCTGTTATTTACAGCATTCACCTTCACTCCGCCCTCTTCTTCTCGTTTCCTTTCTCCTTGTGCAAACACCCCTCACCGCCTAGCAAGCCCTGCAGTTTCCGGTCTAGGAATTCCGCCCTTACACCCACACACACACACATATATATATATATCTCTATATTGCTATCCTCCACCGCCCGCTATCGTCAACTACTCACCGCCATGACCGCCGACGATGGTACCCAAACCAACGGCATTCCTGCGAAGTGCGATCCTCAAGCGAGCCTCCTAAATATGCCGAAACAAGAGCAGAAACCGTGGATTCTAGAGGATGGTATGTCATGATGACGGAGCAATGTCCGTATGCGACGCCTTCAATCGCCCTTGCGCTTCCCTCGTTACGCTTCCCCCCGTTGTGGCTTCCCTCTTTTTGGCTTCCCTCATCGCCGCTTCCCTCGTTGCCCTTCCCTCGTTGTGGCTTCCTTCCTTGCGCTTCCTTCCTTGCTGCTGCCCTCATTACCCTTCCCTCGTAGCGCGTCTCTCCTTCCGCTCTCGTCTCGCTAACCTCGCGCAGAACTCGACAAGATGGCTCCACGCTTTGCAGAAAACACTACCTCACCTATCCCCTTCTTCCACCTCCTCGAGCAACTAAAGACCACAAAGCGAGCTGGCTGGCAGCGCTTCGGCCTCCAACACTGCGAATCCATCTCCGACCACATGTACCGAATGAGCATCCTTTCTATGCTCGCACCAGCCTCCCTCTCCTCTAAGCTCGATCTCGCAAAGTGCACTAGGATGGCACTGATACACGACATGGCCGAGGCGATAGTCGGTGACATAACTCCAGTGGACAATGTGTCCAAAGAAGAGAAGAGCAGGCGAGAAGCCGAAACCATGGACTACATTTGCAACAGGCTCCTTGGAAAGCTCAATGGTGGATTGAACGGTCGGGAAATCCGGGCGATATGGCAGGAGTATGAAGATAGCGAGACGTTGGAAAGCAGGTTCGTGCACGACATCGATAAGATAGAGCTCATCCTGCAGATGGTGGAGTATGAGCGAACGAACAAAGGCGCAGTGGATTTGGGAGAGTTTACGTGGGTTGCCACGAGGATTCAATGCCCAGAGGTCAAGGCCTGGTCGGACCACGTTCTGTGGGAACGGCTGACATTGTGGGAAGCTTTCGGGAAGGAACCGAAGTGGGGTGGAAAAGACGGGCTGACCAAGCCGAAAGCGAAGCCTGCCCCTCTCTAGACTCGCGGTCGAGCTCGGAGAACCACTTGTGGAATTTGGCGGGAGAAAGGATCATGGTTCACAAACGGCACACCGCCTGGTAGACGGCATGGAGTTTGGGTTCTCTAGCGCTGTGAATTCAGTGCTCACCAATATTCTTGCATTGAATTGAAATTCACCCCAATTGATCTCATCAATACCACTTTTCAGTCAAATGCCCGAAGCCTCGTCCGCGTCACTACCGCCTCAAAAAACGTCTTAGATGATAGCCTTGCAGCATGGGTTGTTTCTACAACACACCTTCGTACGAGAATACGAGCGATGTCGGTTCAGTGGGCTTTACGTTCCTGCAGCTGCAGGAATTATCCGGTAAGCTCCCAAAGAATACCCATTATTCCAATTCTCTCCGCATATTGATATATCTGTAACAATATGCTTGGCCAATTTGAAGGCCTTCCACTTCCTTCTCTCACAAGCCTTCAACGTTGGACACACTATGTGTGTTCCCACATGGCAGTTACTGGTGGTTTGCAACTTCATGAGACCCTTTGGGGTCTTAACTTGAATTGACGTCCTATTCATTCCCGTTGTTGTTCCAATTCGTTCCCAGCGCCCTTCTAAAAGCTTGGACCCACTTTATTCGATCGAAATACCCGGAATCCAAGCAAACTACTCAATCTACTCATGGACATCATGTATACCCTTCCCAACGCCCCGTCATCTACCCAAAAGTATATTGACAAATTGCAAATCACCGCGTAGGAAGGGCACCAAAGCCTCGCTTCCCTGGATCGAACCGTGGCTTAGGAAGAGCCCTAATTGACTAGGGTACCCACTTTAAATCCCGGCCCAGCAATTCCACAAGAGGTCCAACAGATAAGATCTAGCAAGAGGATCAGTTCACTGTGCCGCAGGACTACCTCTTCGAAAGGATTTGGCTACTTTACGGTCCAGAGGCGAGCATTCCTTTTATGAAGGCTTGTTTGGAGGCAATTGCCGGATGATTGTATTCAATTAGCTTACTTTACACAGTATACGCGCTCTTACGCCCCGTTGCACTGAGACATAGAGAGCATTACAATTAAAAAGATGGATTTTTCCCATCCTTCTCCTCTTTTGACGTCGTTAGGGTTGCAGATTTGCCAATTGAAGCCCTTACACTCAACGAAGCTATTCCTGAAAGACCCAAATAATGATGTGGATCTCGCCAGCACTGCTCACGGCAGCAGCAGCGCTGACTGGTATTTCGTCTGCCCTGCCAAGTAAACATGATGGCCATTGCGGACCGCTGAAAGGAAATTTCACGATCAAGAAATATCAACTCTATCCCGAAAATGCGGACTTCGACCCTGATAACTGTGTTCTCTACCTTGGGTCAGTTGCCCTTTCAATTCTAACACCTCATTTACTGACAGTGTTTATAAGACAACTCTGGAACGCTTCTCTAGGCGTCTATGACCCCTTCAAAGACAAATATCTTGAAACCATTGAGTTTGACGGCATCTCACACAATCCCGCATTCCACCTCGGTGGCGTCGGTTTCGACAAACGCACTGGTCTCCTCTCCATGGTCGCCGACGCCGCACCAACCTTCGGAACCTTGGGCCAAGACATCTCAGGCACCAACTGGCTCATGAAATACGACCCCAAATCCCACACCATGATTTACAAAATCAACCTAACCGAATCCTCGCAAGGCAAATACGGCGGCTTCCAAGATGTTGAGCAAGACCCCGAAGGAAATGTTTATGTCATCGGCACCTTCCCCAGTACCATCACCAAAGTCAGCAAGGACGGGAAAACAGTAGTACCCTGGTATTTACCTGAAGTCATTGACCACACGAAACGCGGTACCGGTGGTCTCGCAGCCTTAGACTGGATGCTGCTAGTCCAGGGCGATCAGTCCGGGGCGATTTGGAGGTTCGATATGCGCGCCGAAAAAGGTGTCCCCCATCCCGTCAAAATCGTCTCCGGGAACCACACCTTCGGAGACTCAGACGCCATCTACCTACCCCCCAAATACAAAGGCACAGTTCTCCTCGTCGCCGAAGACTCCGCTGGAATTTCGGTGTTCAGAAGTAAGGATGCGAAGTGGGAGACGGCTGAGTATAAGGGGATTATTACGGGTGCGAATGCCGATATCTTTAATACTGCACCCATACAGATTGGAGAAAGTGTTTATACGATTTTGGAACCGTTTGGGGATGCTGGGTTGGGAGGACCCGGTACGGCGGGGAATAGGACGGATTTTGTGGTTAGGGATATTAGTGAGGAGGTGGAGAGGTTGCTGGCTTTGTAGATGGAAGGATGAAGGTGAGTGAGAGAGGAGGGGTAGGGTAAAGCCCTGTGAGGTGGGATTTTGGGATAAGCCTTTATAGGGATTGTTACGATTATGGATAGGGGGATTGTATGGAGTCGCAAGTATGTACATACATCTCCAGTCGGCACACTTCAGTCTTAGCTTTCCTTTGACTTATGATGGCTTCCACACCTGCTAGCTGCATTCAACTTCCTACCCGCTCCACCCTCTCACCCCACACCCCTCCTCACCCCTCCTCACCCCCTCCCCTGCCCACAACATCCCTGAACTGTATACCTCTTCGCATCCAACTCCCAATACCCATCATACTTGAAATTGATCTGCGTGTTCTCCGGATGACATTGATTGATGATATTCTCAAAAGCGTCCCAACACACCTGTTGTGCATTGCTCTGGCCCCACGTGGGCCAATACATGCAGGCTCCATGCGCCGTGTACGAACCGGCCGTTTTGTAGAGTGTGGTGTCGCCGCATATGTGTTGCCGCATTACGTATAGGTCGTTGCGGGAGACGGCAAGTCTGCCGGAGCAGGATGGCGCGCGGTAGCATTCTGCGGCAAGGATTGTGGGGAGAGCGGATAGAGAGAGCGCGAGGATGGTGGTGAGTTTCATGGTGGGGGAGTGGATTCTCTCAATGTAGTGGCAGGAACAAGTCACTAGGACTTGATAAGGTAGTGCTTTGGATGAGGAAGCTACTTGGATACTCGAGTGCTATCCTGGGTCAAAGAACTCTTGCTCCTCTTATATACCTCATCCCCCTGTCCTATTCGCATAGCCATATATTTTACCATGCCAATGAATTCCCAACACTCTCGACTTGATGGCCAACTAGGTACCATTCGCGACTTGGTTCCCTTCACAATGCGGGAGATATAATTCTCGAGAATTCGGAATTTGGTGTTGTGTCGCGAGATACTACTCAGAATGGAAAGTGTTGGATCTGCTCTTGAATTTATACTTGTATACGAGCAGGCCGAGGACTCAGCTTGATTGGGTTGGGGTAAAATTGGGGGATACAGTCAGCGAGCTCGGGTGACATGAGAATCTCGTATTTGCTGAATAAACTACCATTTTTCTGGATCGGACATTGACGGGAGAGGTTTGTGCGAGAATGATTTCCACGAGCTGTTAGTCTCAATGGTAATTGGTGCTGTCGATTGCTTCCTCTAGGTTTTGTGCGGAGGTTGCTGAACTAGGAAGGAAACAGCTGGGAAGAATTACCAGTATTCCATAATGCTTACCCCCATTTTCTTCTGGAAACTCCACTAACACACAATCCGACCTTAGATTCTAGTCTCCATTATCTCTTGCAGCACGGTTTTCCTCCTAATGGCTCTGGACTGGATTTTACGAACACAGTTATGGACATGAACTTGTGCATTTGATTTTGGCACACGCATTTGATGTCTGGTGGCGCTATATTCACCCCAATAATCCAGTCATTTCAAGCCGGTTATCCGAGTTCTATTCGATCATGTCCATCTCGGGAAATTCATACAGCCCTAGGCAGGAATAAGGTCTAGGCCTCTGATGTTCAGGTCGGCATGACGACTATCTCTATGGAATTTTTCAGGCCATGCAGCAAATCCAAGATTTTGAAGAGACCATCGATGAGTAGTCGCTGTTGTTTCGTTCCGCACAAAGATGGGCAGAGCAGCTTTCGAAGTGATTTTGTTATCCACGTGGCCTGTGGGAAGATAAATTTTATCAAGTCCAAAGAAAATAATGGGTGACTTTTTCGGTTAGTTCAAGCAGAATAGCAAAGGGAGAAAGCTGGGGCGAGAAGGAGGGATTGTATAGACATGGGACGGGAATCCGGAGTCAAGATCTATGGATAACGCACGGATCATAAGTCTCCACGTGAAGTCGCGTTCGCGTGCTGGCTTAGTCAGCAAAGAGATAAGATCGTTTCTTTCACCCCTCATTCTCAGTCCACCGCAGCGGTGAATGACTCCTGATTGGCTTTACTCAAGTGTACGTCAGTGGAAAGAATGTGAAAATGGTCTGAAGACGAGTCATCGTCTGTATTCTGCTTTTTCCACGAAAGCCGGCGTCATCGATCGCCGCCATATTGACCTCCACTCGACCGTCTCACCGATGCTGCCGGAACGATGCCCCGACTGAAAGGTGCAACTGTATCGGACCAGATAGTGCGCAAGCGAAAACGAAAGCCCCTCGAAGATGAAGTATCATTGCAAGAGACAACGACCCCGGCCGCCGCACAACCATTGGGGGCGCTAGATTCGAGCTCGACCAGTACAACCGTACCTACAAAGACGACCGATGGCGGAAAAAAGCCTCGAAGAACCACAAAAGCGAATAGTGGAGGGGGGGAGCCCGCACTCGCTCGCCATGGCTCCTCGACTGTCGTTGAGTCGTCTATCCCATGGCCGGAGCACTACACGAGGCTCGCCCAGACACATCGCGCCCTCAACCTTGTCTACACATTCTGCTGCACTCGGAAGCACCTCGCCACGACTTTCGACAATCTCAAATCCACGGTGGAGGGGCATATAAAGCGAGAGTTGGTAATTGAGGACGTGGCTCAGATAGCAGCTTTGGTTCCTCGATCGATCAACTTCGAATACGTGGATGAAGCAATGCTGCAAATCAATCTCATGGGATCTGAGGAGAACATAAGTGGGAAGCGGGCCAGAGAGTTTGCTATTGTGGATCCTTCCGAGATGGATAAGAATGAGCACAAGGCGGTGCTGCTGTTCGAGTTCATCGATGGTGACCTTAAGCGTCAAGTACAACATGCCAAGACCGGAGAGCCTACAAAAGTGACTCAGAGACTCAGGAATGAAGATCTGAAGATGCCAGTCTACAGTCAGAAACAAATGATGAAGTTGATCGAGAAGCGAAATAACAAGTTTACCTCAGCGGTGAATGCGTTTCTGAACCAATGCGCTGATGATGACGTGGATTCAGTCGAAAAGCTTAAGGAGAATGCACTGGCTTTCGTGCCGATGCCCCCGGAGAGCCGAGCGAACACTCCCGGGCCGGAGAGATCGCGACTACCCCTAACAATACCGAAGGAGCGGAAGTCAATACCTGAAATTGTCGACGAAATCAAGACGCTAGAATGGTATACTGGACAGATCGTTCCGGACGGGCATCGAGTCTTTGATCCACAGCCTCCTATCTATGGCGAGTTGAACTTTCAACTATCACAAGATATGGTTAATGCTCTGTATAACACGCGGAACATCACTCAGCTGTACGCTCATCAAGCCGAAGCCATCAATAATCTATACGGCGGCCATAACGTGATTGTCTCAACCTCCACCAGTTCTGGAAAGTCACTGATCTATCAAATACCCGTTCTACATCAACTCGAGCAAGATATCAACACTCGCGCTATGTATATTTTCCCGACTAAAGCGTTGGCCCAGGATCAAAGGCGAAGTTTGAAGGAGCTCCTGCGATTCATGAATAGTCTCCAGGATATCGTTGTCGAGACATTCGATGGGGACACACCCATGGCCGAAAGAAATTACATCCGAGATGAGGGGAGAATCATCTTTACGAATCCAGACATGCTTCATATTACAATTTTACCGCATGAGGAAGCCTGGCGAACATTCCTCCAGAACCTACGTTTCGTAGTAGTTGACGAATTGCACGTTTACAACGGTCTTTTTGGTTCCCACGTCGCCTTCATTATGAGACGTTTACGAAGGATTTGCGCCTCCGTGGGAAATCGGCATGTAAAATTTATTTCCTGCTCTGCTACTGTTGCAAACCCCGAAGAGCATATGAAGACGATCTTTGGGGTGGAAGAAGTCAGGCTGACCGACTTCGATGGCTCTCCATCGGGGAGGAAAGAATTCTTGTGTTGGAACACGCCTTTCAAGGACCCAGGTGACCCTACTTCAGGAAGAGGAAACAGCTTGGATGAATCTGCAAAACTCTTCTGCCAGCTCATTCTTCGAGGAGTCAGAGTCATCGCCTTCTGCCGGATTCGAAAGCAATGCGAAGCGCTCCTAGCAGCTATCAAAACTGAGTTGACGAATCTCGAGAAACCAGAGGTAATAGCACGAGTGATGTCCTACCGAGGCGGATATACTGCTCAAGACCGACGACAGATTGAGAGAGAAATGTTTGATGGCAAACTCATTGGAATCGTTGCCACGAACGCATTGGAGTTGGGCGTCGATATTGGCTCTTTAGATGCTGTTATTACAGCCGGATTTCCCTATACCATCGCAAACCTCCGCCAACAGAGTGGCCGAGCCGGTCGGAGAAACAAAGACTCCCTTTCTGTGCTCGTTGGAGACTGCTTCCCCACCGACCAGTACTATATGACGAATCCGGATGAGATTTTTACTAAGCCGAACTGTGAACTGCAAGTTGATATGGAGAACGTGCTTGTGCTCGAGGGGCATATTCAATGCGCAGCCCACGAGATGCCTATTAATATGGAAGCAGATCTACCCTACTTTGGCCCCCTCCTTCCCAAGATTGCGAAGGAGAGAATGCGCAAAGATGCGCAGGGTTTCTACCATTGTAATGAACGCTTTCTTCCTCAACCCTCACGTTATGTTGCTATTAGGGACACAGAAGATACGCATTTCGCCATTATCGACATTACGCATGGGAGAAATACAGTCCTTGAAGAGCTGGAGGCTTCACGCGCTTTCTTCACAATATACGAGGGCGGGATCTTCCTGCATCAAGGAAATACGTATCTTATCAAAGAATTCAGCCAAGAGCGCCTGATTGCCAAAGTTGAGTTTGTTAAAGTTGACTGGACGACGCAACAGCGCGATTTTACAGACATCGACCCCATTGAAACAGAAGCTATACGCCGTATTCCTGGCTCGTTATCGAAGGCGTATTACGGTCCTATCAAGATTCAGCAAGTCGTCTTCGGCTTCTTTAAGGTCGATAAGAAAGGCCGGATTTTGGATGCTGTGCAAGTGGACAATCCACCCATCATCCTTCATTCGAAAGGCATGTGGCTCGATGTGCCTAAATCTGCTTTCGACATTCTGAAATCGAGAAGGTTGAATATCGCAGCAGCGATCCATGCCGCCGAACATTCAGTCCTTTCCTTGATGCCTAACTTCGTCATCAGCATGCCGGGCGACGTTCGAACAGAATGTAAAGTCGCGCTAAAGGAATTCGCGAAAAAGGAAACATCGCGTAAGCGGCCAGCTCGCCTTACATTCTACGATGCAAAGGGTGGCGCTAGCGGAAGCGGCATCAGTACCAAAGCTTTCGAGTTCATCGATACCCTGCTAAAGCAAGCTTGTGAGAGACTGCAGGCTTGTCAGTGTCTCGAGGGATGTCTAGAATGCTGTTGTGACGAACGCTGTAAAGAGATGAATCAGGTGATGAGTAAAGCGGGAGCCCTTGTTGTCGTCATGTGTTTGTTGGGTAAGGCGGACGAAATCGATGTTGATGCGTTGCCCTGGGGCGAAGAAGATACGGTGCCGGCGGGGATTGAGACTGTGGTACCTGCGGATGAGGTTAGGATGGTCAGAGGGAAGTTTGTGGATGGGGTATGGATTAAGCAGGATGAGGAGGAAGAAGATGCGTTTGCGAGGAGTATTGCGATGTTTGGGGGGGAGAGGACGTTTATTAGAGTGCATCGGTAGGGGAATCGAGGTGTTTGAGTTATCGTGTCATTCATTGAGTAGTTATAGAGAGATTCCAAAACTATGAAGTCAGGCAGGGTTTCAAAGTCGAAGTGGTTGTAGTTACGGCGCAACACTTGCCCTCTTCGCTTAAGGCTGATTCCAGAGTCCACTAAGAAGGTGCGCCCGCCTCCTCATCTTTGATTCTGCTCCTCTTGCGTCACTATTGCTCATGTTCTGGGTTGAAAATGGCTGCTCATTTTTCATGAAGGACTTTTATCTCTGAGTGCCCCATCCGGATCGCTGCTATGATACACGCTAACTCTAATAAGAACGAACATCCACCTTCCCATTCCATTACCGTTGCCGAGATGTACTCAACTTCTTATTGTGCCGAAGACTATGCAGTTGATAATTCTGTGTCCCTGTTTCGCCTACCCAACTCTATACTCGGTCCTTGATGTCCTTGAACTTTGGATGGACTCTGGCGGAGGTTCGTTTCCGTTTCCGCTACTTAGCCTAGGAACATATCTCACACCACAATTGTACATAAATCACTCGTGCGAAGGAAAGCTCCTTCGTATCCTTGACTAGTTGGTTCCTTTGTTTTCTTCGTCGTTCCCCGTAGCTATGCGTACATAGGGCGCTCGTCATTGTCATCGTTAACCCACCTCACGCTAGCATCCTGGTTATATTTGAGGAATGCTGGCTCAGCCACGACGTTATGCCAAAGCTCCAGAAACTTTTACATAAGCTTAGTATCCTTAAGGATGTCCTTCTGAAGGGGTGGAAAGACCATGTAGAGCTTTGGATGGTCTGATACGTACCTTGGAAGCTCAAAATCTACGACCCTTCCGAGGCACATGGCATGACATAGAGTGATAAACTCCTCTTTCTGGTCCTTGAATTTTCTGTCTATTAGCTGACTGATCTTGCTCATTGTAGCGCTGGAGAGAAATGGTAGGAGCTATGGCGTACGCACCCGGGACACTCGTGAGCACAAGTAAGCGAGGATACGAGCCCATATGCTTTGCCACCGATACTTCATCCCTAGTTTGACGGTGCATGAAGATTTCAGACAAGGTTGATCTGGAGGATTCTTTGTCTAGACAGTTAGTGAAAACCATATGGAGGCGGCGATGCGGGAAGAACTCGCCTAGGAATCAGATTTGAGTGTTCGCTAAGAGATCAACTGGTGGAGCAAAACTAGGGTAGGATGGGCCCTTCTGTGCCTGTTGGTAGTGCTAGTGAAAAAGCCTTTGAGTGGAAAAGGAATTTAAAGACCACTTTGGACGATGGCTCTCTTGTAGTACCTACATACCCTTCTTAAGTCCGATATGTGAGTGACGAGGTCTGAAAGCGAGAAATACCCTGAAGCCGAGTCACGGGTGGCGAGTGGAGGTACCTTGTGCTAACGGTAGTAATTTGTCCTTAACAGAGATCCAAACAAGACTTTAAGGGAAACGGTTTCAGAGGGAAGGAACTCCAAGTCTCGCTAGGCTCGGATAGCATACCACGAATCTACTGATTCGATGTTTAATGGAGTGTGTTTTACCATATTTCGGACCGAAGTCGAGCTCGAGGATGTCAAAGAGCCGCTCAGATATTCTAGTTCTGTTTTGAAAGCTCTCAACGTGTCCATTCTTCGGTCAAAAGTTTGCCTAGAACTTGTCCCGCACTTCTCCCCAAACTCACTCACCAAACCTCAAGGACCATATATCCTCAAACTATCCCCTATGCCATGCCAACCCGCTCCCTACTTGTGGCCTATATTCCTTTCTGTTGTACGTGACTTTGGTTCACGTGACTTTGCGTTAGGATGAATGTGGGCCTTGACTCACAACTGTTTCCTGTTTAGGGCTAGCGCTCTTTTGTCCTCTATATATTTACGTCTGAGCTCTCTCGAAATCTAGAGACCTTACATTACACCTCAATCTACCTAGTTTGGCTCTCACCACCTAATTGACTGCTCGAACCTCCCTATGCTTCAGCTCCATCAGCTCCATCAAGGCTCCTTGCGATACCTTCTGCTTCTCTTTAGCCTGAATCTCTAGTGAACTGATATGCTCAGGAGGATGAAGAAACCCCTTTAGTTAGCATGAGTTACGTTGGTAGTAAGTGCCACTACGTCCGCTCCAACTTCAGCTGATGAGCGTATAGTGAAGTTCTGTAATCAAAGCAGGGCGACAATGGTCGTAGTATCTTCGTGAGACAGAAGATTACCTTTAGCGCGCTTACGCTTGCGCTCCTGAATCGGTAAGATTCTCAGGAGTTATCGCAACTGCCTAATTTTCTTCAGATTGGGATCCTGGGGTGAAGTCAGATTAATCACAGGATGATGCCTTGGATGTCTGTGCCTTTCTAGGTGCCCATTTAGGGCGTACATCCTTGTGGTTATCACGAGATTTGCAAGATCGCATCTTTGAAATCCTGGTCCGAAATTGTCAAAGCCTTTGTGGGACCCGGTTGCGCTAATCCTTTGAGATTGGCTGGAATGGTCGGCGAGTGTTTTTGAAACTGGTTCCTCTCCGGCCAATGCTAGGTAGAAGAGAAAAGAACAATTCGGACGCCTTCCAGTGTGAAATTCCTAACAGTGAAAGCGCGATGGCCACTAGCTATATGGGAGACGTTCACAGTTTTTTCGTATCTATCCTCATTCATCTGCATCTCCAAGGTAAGGTTCCAAGAGTACGTAATATACATAATGGCTGCAAGAGTAGGAAATTTCCCTTGTTAAATGCTTTGGAGACTGTTTTTGGTGAAGATGTTTCAATTAGGAAATGCTGCAATAGTATCCTTCAGAATCTTGGTGTTGTAGCCATGTTCAGGGCCATCGCTGATGGAGAGGATATATGGAAAGCTCGGAAAATCTTTGAGCAGAATGCCGATTGCTGGAAGGATGATATCTAGGGTTCTGATCGGATTGACCTTTGATTGGTCCCGGACGTTTCAGACTATTTCTATCCAGATCATGTGACTGCTAGCCTACCCCTGTCTAGCGTTTCGCTTGCTCGGGCCCTTCAAACGTCACCTCTTCGTTCCACCCACTCCTCGATCTGCCCCCTATCAGACTTTCACTATGAAGGTACTGCAAACTATATGGTCTCTCCTAGGTTTCCCTTGCTCGGATGATCAAAACATGTCAGCAGCTTACCAGTTGAAACATGTGATGTACTTGACAGGGTGAGAACGTACCCTCCCCGTAATGATGGAAATAGCTTCTCATTGACCATAGCCAACATAATGTTATACCCGAACCTTCCTTAGTTTCAAATATTACACATGTTGCTCTCGCTTTCATGCGACCTGAGGTCTTCAACCTAGCTCAGCCATCTTCGTGGCCGCTGTTCACTTCTGTTGACGCTGTGCGTTCAAGATTTGCTAATGGTACATACATCTTAGTCGCTATCGGCGGCTGGGGTGATACTGCTGGCTTCTCTCAAGCGGCAAAGACGGATGAGAGCCGAATATTGTTTGCAAGGAACATTAAGACTATGATTGATGAAACAGGAGCTGATGGTGAGCCTTGCCCAATACCTGTCTGAAAAGTTTCTCATTGGCACAGGTGTTGACATAGACTGGGAGTATCCTGGGTAAGCATCTGTCATATTGCTCCTGGTGCTTTCTTCTAATTAAGAGCTAATATCATGTGCAGTGGAAATGGGGAAGATTACAAAGATGTCCCAAACGCTGACAAGGCTTGGGAAATTGAGGCGTACCCAAAACTTCTCTTCGAGATTCGCAATGCAATTGGAGCCACTAAGATTATATCGGCCGCGGTACCCGGTCTTCCTCGAGATATGATTGCTTTCACCAAGAACACGGTACCTGAGCTCAACAAGTATATCGATTTCTTCAACATCATGACATACGATTTGATGAATCGAAGAGATAATGTTACGAAACACCACACAGGTGTGAATCTGTCACTTGAGGCCATCGATGCATACATTGAGCGAGGGGTTCCACCGGCGAAGGCCAACCTAGGCTTCGCCTTCTATGTAAAGTGGTTCAAGACTGACCCCAATACGCCGTGTAATGTTGAGCCTATTGGTTGCAATACCGAACTCCTAGAAGATCCGCTCACAGGTGCTGATCTTGGGAAAGCTGGCGCTTTCTCCTGGCATGACAGGGTGCCTCCTGAGCTTTCTGAATCCTTTAAGTTGGCCCTAGCCAATGGTGCTTATGACCATATAAATGGGGGTCACTATTTTTGGGATCCGACAGAACACATATGGTGGACCTGGGACACTCCAGAAGCTATAAGGAAGAAAATTCCCTCTATTGTCGCCAAAAAGAACCTCGGCGGTGTGTTCGCATGGGGACTCGGAGAAGACGCTGAGGATTGGGATCATCTCAAAGCGCTCTTGGAAGGTTCCCAAGAACTGTCAAAAAGTTATTCTGAAGGGTCAACAGAGTTTCAGGAGAGGAACGAGTTGTAATATCACAGTGTTGGGCTACTACATCATAGCCCCCATAACGTTACGCTCAACACAGCAGCTTCTACTTTCCCATTGAAGTTTAAAAGATACCACTTTCACAAGCCCTCTAGCCGGAACGGATCAACCACCCTCTCCGCTAGCGATCGTAGCATAAAGCCCTATTTCTATATTTACTCCTAGTTATTCGAATTCGCTCATGGAGTCGGTCACACCATGTTAAATTGCTGAAGCTCGGCCTCGACTCGACCGTAAGCACATGTACCTTTCTATTTACATTTCTAGCTAGTACAGTTATAGCTCTTTGAATCCTCGATCTGTGCGTGTCTTGTTTCCATCTATTTCGCTAATATTTTTTACCAGAGCTCTCTGGCTGTCCTCGCCTAATGCGTCTTTTGCGGCTTGAGGATGGCCGCGAATTCAGCCTCGTTGAATCCATAGGGAATAATATTCCGCGACATGTTGTTCTTTCGATATTGGAGAGCGAATAACGAGTTCACCTTCAAAGATATAGGGAAAAGTACAAACAAGGGCAACGCTGGCTATTCTAAGATCTGAATTCGCGCGAAGTAAGCTGCTAGGGACTACCTCCAATACTTTTAGGTGAAGACATACAACGCTTAAGGAATAACATGTTGTACCTAAGCTTCACACATGTGTGAGAAAACACGTCGAAATTCGGAAGATTCAAACCAGTAGTAGAGTCACCTTCCAACGGAATCATCAGGGTAGAGTTATTAAGCTTCCTGTAGGCGCCCGCGAGAATTTAGCTGATACAGTAGAATTGCCGTCGTCCGCTGCCTAAACCGTCAAATATGTGGCCTGAAATCTAATTCTATAGGCTCAAATTTATTACTGTTGTATGGCGTATTCCGTGCGTCAGATGTACCCATATATAGTTCCCGTGTATCGCCTAACCAAATACAGTACTAGATTAGATCCCCTAGCGCCTCAAGCCCACACTCGTTATGGAATCTCTTCTAAGTTGATCCCCTCAAAGTCCCTATCCGTCCTTCCGTAGGGCTCATCTGGCTGAATATCCTCCCAGACTTCAGTATCAATTTACCCATTACTAACCATCAATTGAATTCGTTCCTCATCTACAGATTCTTTATCTCCATCTCCTTCTGTTTCTACAAATTGATTCAACGCCCGAACCCGTACCGTCTTAGCCATAGTAGCCTTTTTCTCAATCCCAGCGCAGGTGTTTCTCAACTCTGGGGATGGTCGCGAAGTCTGAGCCAATGCGATCATTTCTTCCATTGAGTCCCAGGTGTAGGACGACCGGCCAGTCCATACTATCCAAATAACATGAAGAATAGCGAGCGCGACATGAGCGAGAAGAACACTAATGGCGAGGTAATCTGTAGTATTTGAAGGTTTCACGTGACCCGAGTCAAGGCGAATGTGGGTCTATGACTAACCTCAATTTTCTAGTTATGGAGGACTAGAGCCTATCTAATTAGGACTAGCGCTGTTTTATCCCCCATATAATCACCAGGGAGCTCTCTCTCGCTGCTCAGACCAGACCAGACTTTACGCTTCCGCTCATTCTACACAGTTTTGGTTCTCGCTACCTAATTGACCACTCGCAATTCCATATGCCCTCTATCCATTTGCTCTCTGATTAAACATGTGATAAACCGCGCTCCATTATGCAGCAGAGAATCACCAAATTGAGATCTTCATGCTACTCCTGCTAGCCACCGCATACAAACTATCGTTCCATTTTAGGGAGATTATTCTCCTTCTCCTCCTCTTTTTGAAGGCCTGCCAGAAACAGCAGGGAGCGGAGGACAAAGAACCGCTACAGAATTCTCGCGTATTATGTCATCGAGAAGAAGCAAGATGGAGCCGCGCTTTAAGGACATTATATCGCAAGGTTAGAGCTGATTGATGGTGGAGGGCATGGAGTAGTCAAATAAGTGGCGAGAACCAAACTAGGTAGATTGAGCTGAGGTGTAAGGTTGAGAGAGAGCTTAGAGGTAAATATATGGTAGCTAAAAGAGTGCTAGTCCTAAACAGGAAAGGGTGAGAGGTGAAGGACCCACATTCACCCTGACTAGGGTCACGTGAACTAGTTTTACGTGCGACACATTATTTAGGCTTGAAGGCCATTGTATGTTTTGTAGTTATATATATAGTAGGGTTCGTCAAGGTACTTAGTAGAGAGAAAGAAGCCGCTTCAGCAAAGATCTTTATGTTAATACATCTCTACGATATTCTATCCAAAGCTGCGCAGTGCACATGTTCGAGCAACAAATAAGGCCGGACCTATCCGAGCTCAGGCAAGGCTAAGTCAGTGTGGGCCATGGGTGAGGGTGTCTGAATCATTGATCTGGCACTCTTACCTACGATGGAGTATAACACAGGGACAACGAGAATGTGATGTTGTACAATTAGTTTGAGCGATTTCCTAGCTGCTTGCCTGACGGCTTGATCTGCTTCCGGAGCGATATCGATGGGTCGCCGTAACCTTGAATCAGCAACGCGTGGCTTGGTATCGATGACTGCTGGAGCGGTCGACCAGCAGCCACCGTTTGATCTTTACTTCACTCTTACAAAAAGTGGAAAATAGCCTTATTTAAACTCAGATGTTCCTAGGACTTAAGCAGAAGAAATTGCGCTTGAGTAAAAGAGATAAGAGCTAGGCGAGTGCTATTGCGCGTATGCTCTCAAAGCCATGATTGGAACGAATCCCTCAAGAAAAGCTTAAGGGGTGCGGACCCACCCCAGGCTCTAAAGTGGAATGGACGGTGAGTTATATTAAGTTTGAGTTGACAGTTAGCAGAGAATATACGTCTGAAAGCGCTTCCTGTAATACGAACCGCGAATGGTGGGCATATCTAAGGAATCATCCCTCGATTGTGACTATGTGCTTCTGTAGTACCACTATCTTCCTTATCTGTCTTTCTGCTTCATATGCTCCATGTTTCCGATACTAAAACGATCAATTATTCTAGGGCTACCACCAGATCCTCGATCGCTGCACCTTACTATCGCGTATTCATGTTCTTTGCTCTACCCATGTCATCATTCAGCTCAACACCCAGAGGGGGCCTCAAGATATGATCGAGAAATGCTCAAGACGGCATAGGACACCGATTTCTAGTTAGAGATATGGATTTAATAGATACTAGGGAGAAAGTGAACAATAATGGTAAATGGTCGAACTCTATTCCTAGAGTCTAAGGTCTGAAAATGAACACGGCCTAGCATGTTATTCACATATTTTCGGATCTATGCCTCCCCTGTTCGGAATTTTTGACCACCCTCCCTGATCTATCATCCCTTCATATCAAGTTGTACGGGTTTTGTTCCTGCAAGTGCACCGTTTATTTGTCGAAAGCTCGCCGGTATCCGAACGGATGAACAGTGCGCTCTGCTCGGCTGGTCCTTCGGCAAGAAACCGATCCATCGGGCTAAGATCTTTCTTATATCCATTGGGTCCCAGAGTTAGAACTTGGGTGTGGTATGGGCATGCATGGGGCACTGCCGTCACGATCGAAGTTTGAGAGGATTGATGGGTCTGGTCCCTGCAATCAGGATTAGCAAAGGCTTCAGGAACTAGAGAACGATCAAGACAAACACGTACGTAAAGCTTTCATTTTGAGACATGCTGAATGGCAGAAGAGCTTCTCAAGGTGGGGAAGAAGCTGCTCTATGTGAAGTGCTGACTTGACGAGAGCAAGAAATGGTACAGCTGAACACGGTGCTTGGGGGAAAACTGGCGGAGTTTAAGATGGTACTTGAATGTGCGGGAAGCTTTTGACAGGAGATGCGGCAAGAAGAGCCCATATTTATAAACGCGTGTCGACGAAGCGCAGTGACCACATCAACCAGCTGTCTGAAGAGCAGAGGCTCAACGCGGTATTAGTGTCAGGCTCGCGATCAACTGCGATTGGTCTTGGATCATTCCTGCTATGGGTCGACAGTACCTAACTCCAGACTCTAACCCGAGTATGCTGCCGCAGGACCGGTACAGAAGAAAATTATATGCATAGATGCTCCGAGCGCTTCGATGTCTTCTGCTCATATTGGACTGTCTCCTTTTGTTCAGCTTGGCGGAGGTGATGGATGCAGGGATTCTAACAAGATGGGCTACTAAGGATTGGTGGGTTGTCATTGTCCTCCATGCCGCTGGGTGACTGGGTGTGCTCACTACTCCGTCGGTAGCAAGCATTCAGTTGCAGCTATGCCTTGAACCCAGTTCACTATCCAGTCAAGAACTCCGACGGTTCTCCAATCATCCCAGGTTATTTTAGCAAGTGCCTTAAGGTAGTTAATTCATTCAGCAGAGGATCGGGATCTAGGTCGCAACCTCGCATTATTGACGTTCCATGAGGCGTACTCCGTTAGATTCACTATGAAACGATTCAGGAGGTGAACTGCTCATTGGCCAGTACTCTTTTGTTCGACTTGGCACGGTGGTCAAGGTTTCTCGCTTATGTGCACTTGGAAGAATTCAGGCAACAAAGCAATTTTTATCCAATTTTGTGCCACCACAACGCGGGGTGGATGAATTTGTCGGAAGCTGAATGGCTATTACCCTTTTGTTTGGCTTGGCTGGGGAATATCCCGCAACGACGCCTCATTTTTGGGGGACATTATATCCCCCCCCCGGCCCCGCTCGACAAGCTCTGCGACGTTTTTAAGAAGACATTTATCATATTCGATTCACCAGCTACCCTGGATATACTTATCCTACCCAACGTGTCCCGACCAGAGCTCTGTCACTTTTCAACAATTGTATCAGGCTGAGTCCATTGACAGAATGAATCAGCTACCCAACTATCTTCCTTCGCCCTCCACGGATCGCTGGGAGGAACTGAAACCGATTATCGAGCAGCTCTATCTCAAAGAGAAAAAGAAGCTCGCTGATGTCGTTCGGATTTTAAAGAACGCCCATGGATTCGACGCAGTGTGAGTGGCTCGCGTTCAGGCTGGGTGTCTGAATATACCGTGTTGCTAACCAACGGCGGCTACCAGAGACCATCAATATAAACACCATTTCAAGAAGTGGCAATGGAAGAAAAATATTCCCAAGTCGAAGAAGGACAAAATTGCAGAGCAGCTAGAGAGCCGAGCTCGAGCGGGCAAAGCGGGTACCAGCATTGCTCTCCAGGGGAGAACAGTCGAGCTACATAAGATCAGGAGGCATATGAAGATGAAAGCACGTGCCGAATCCGGAGCCATGGTTCTAAAGAAGCCCTCTGGCATTGAAAGCGTCGTTGCTGGACATGTGTTGCCATTCGCGAATTGCTTGCAAGAGCCATAAAAAGACCTCGATTTGTGTGGATGCTAACAATCGTTGCAGCTTCTTAAAATGGAACATTCCATATGGAGTCATGCGCCGATCACACTCACGACCCTTCGATCATACTTCCCCTCTCGGGTTCTCAGTTCCAACGCCCAGTAGCGACATTTCCGTTGCTACTCCTTCCGCTACTTCCCCGCAAAACGCACCTTCCCCGACCGGATTGTTCCTAAAAGAGAAAGCGGCGATCGATCGTGCCCATCTATTTGCTCAAGGGCAACACGATAAGCTGCTCATGTCTATGAACGGGGAAGAAAGACGGTGAATGATTCTCCATCCTGACTATACGGCGTGAACTAACTCCTGAATAGAGTAATGCTTGAGTGGTTGTATCAGTACTGGTTCTTTTGCTTCAAGACTGCGAAGAATTGGGGTAAAGGGCCACCAGCTTGGACGGAAAAGCTTCTGGACTTCGCTCGTTACCATCCCCACTCTCGTCGCAGTCTTCCAGGAACTCCTCAAGATCCAATGCCACAATCTGAAGCACAACCAGGAGACTACCCTACGCCAACAAGCTTTTGCCGATGGTTCATACATGTGCGACCCGATTGGCCAGATTACCAAGAAATTCCAGATGAGGAAGTTTCTCGAGATTCGACTGGCCAAGATCCTGATGACGAGTCCACTTGGCTTCCATGGCCGAATGATTGGCAAGAACCGCCTCTTCCCATTCGACTTCGAGACGCACTCGAACACAACGACTTCAGCTCTATCTCTTCGACAATTTTGCCCGTAGCCATACCACAGATTGCAAAAGCTGCTCAAAGATCTCCTGATGAGCTTCTTCTGGAGTCACTCGGCTTCAGTATCATGGCTCGAAATCTGGCGCAGGTTGAATCAATCATACAGCAGCTTCGGCGCAAAAATATTGACTTCACATGGCTTTATCCGCTTCACATGACAACGAGCTACCTGGATGGATATAAAACTTGCTGTGACATCTTTGGAACACTCCTGTCATGGGTGGGTTCGCAGAAGCTTAGTGAAATGTTCGTGAATGAGCTTGGCCACACCGTCTTAGACAATCTGATGATATCAATTCTGAAATCTCACTCTTCGGTAATGCCGGTTGTTGTTGATGACACCTTAAAAGATACCGCACGTTTTGCCGGGGAAGAGATCGATATTTGCGGTCGCTGGGACGCCGATTCTCCTTGTGTTCGTCATCTTCTCACAAAGGGTAACCCTTCGACACCATTCTCTTGGAAACACAAGTTCTGCCACACTTCTATCCAAACGATATGTCACTGCATCATTCAAATGCATCATAAGACACCCAGCCGCCTGATGCGGACTGCGAGTGGACTGTATGGTCGACGCTGTTTTGACTGCGGCATGAAACTACAATTACAACCTCTCCATAGCCTCGTCATGACAGCGTATCATCTCGCAAGTAGTGGTTGTCAAGATGAGGATTTGTTTGGTATGCTTGCGTGTCTTCTGTGCTTTATCTCATGTGGTCTCGATCCTCGAAAGACCGCAAGCGTTTCATTTGCCCTTTTCATGCAGACTATTCCCTCCGAGATAGCGTGCGCCCATGAGGAGCTCACTCCTGCCGAACTTGCGGAGAAGATTTCCACCTATTCTGTTTCTAATTCTTGGAGCGCACAAGTTCAGTCAGGGTGGGCGGTGTTTTGTGGGGTTCTGCGTCTTTGTGAGGATATTCATGTGGAGCCGGAACGCGATGGGGACGACGTAACCATGGAGGATTATCAAGACTCTAGTCGCCATATCATTGGAAACCACGACCTAGGCAATGAGCTTTTACATCTGCACCTTAGAAGTCATAACTTAGTGCCCTGTTTCCGTACACGGAAAGATCTTGCCACACTCTGGGCCTCCGTGCAAGCAGAGCTGCTGACATACCGCCGTCTGGATGATAGTATGGACTGGATTTCTCAATATTTCTCTATGGATGAGCTCCGACACCAGCTCGATCAGGGCGAGCCTCTATCAGTCAAATATGCTGAGCAAGACCTGTTGCAACCACACTGTATCTGCGGCAGCTTTAATTGCTACCCCCTGGCAACTTTATCTGATGCCACCGAACCGGACATTGCAAACCTTGATATATGGGAGAGGGCAACCTATGGAGTTATTCTGGATGATTAATGGCAGGAACTCGGTCTTTTGAGAGACATTTTCAACAAAATGCTCTGGCGTCTACTTTATCACTCCGTCAGCCTAGGTACGCGGATAGCTTCGAAAATATCATGAAAAACGTTTCAGAGTTTTTGTGCAAGAAGTGGAATGTATACCTAGAAATGGGCGCTCCTTATTGTTTACTAACTCATGTTCTTCATCAGAATTGTAAGGAAGAAACTCTGTTTTTCCATATAAAGAGGCCCCTTTATACGCTAAGCACAACGGTAATAATGAAAAGGTAATTTCCAAATAACCGATGAATCCCGAGGTACATTGATTTCACACCGATTCAGAGGTTGCAAACACGCGAGGATGTTATCTCCAGTGCGGCTTTTTCCCACTGCTAAATATCTAGGACTATGTCCACTATATATATTACAAATGTGTGGCTGCAGTCAGCTGAATTCTACAGAGTGCATGGGGTGCGCTGAGAAGCCGCTAAAATAATTTAAATTTCGCGCTTCAACGCCACCAGAACTGTCCGTGCTTTTTGGATTTTACTAAAAGAAACTAATCAAGCGAGTTATACAGCCTTGTTAAACAACCATCGCCTAACGTATACGTAGCGTCAGAAGCAATTTTGAACAATTCCACCACACAAGTTGGTACTTTCTGCTGATTAAATTGACGCTTTTGGCAATCCAACAGCCATGGGGCTTTGAGTCATTGTAAATTACTGCAACCGAGCTATACTCTCTAATCAGCATGTCAGCTTTGGCAGACTAACGACCTTAGTAAAGGTGCATTTCTCTATATGGAGGGACAATATATGAAGGAACGGATCATTTGGTATATTCTAAAGCAAGTTCGTTGGAATCTAGATGACTAATGATATTCAATATACTCCAGCTAAGAAAACAACAGCCTTCTCCTTCTAATGGCTCAAAGTCGCAGGGGAAGACCGAAAATGAGGATGTTTAACTCCCAAAACCTGATTCCTGAGCTGTACACATTCATCTATTAACTAGAGAGCTTCGGCTTGCTTTCCCATAGCTTTCCATGTAAAGGAAAGGCTGGCCATTCTGGACAGCGTGTCTGGATGCTCCGGCCCAAGCACCCTCTTGGTTGTCTCCATCACTTGCACCCCTAACTCTTCGGCCTCATTCCACTGGCCTTTGTTCCTGTACGTTGACGCTAAGTTGGCCATGCTGGTCAGAGTGTCTGGATGCTCCGGCCCAAGTACCCTCTTGATCGTCTCCACCACTTGCACCCCCAACTTTTCGGCCTCGTCCCACCAGCCTTTGTTCGCGTACGTCAACGCCAGGTTGGCTTTGCTGGTCAGAGTGTCTGGGTGCTCTAGCCCAAGCACCCTCCTGCGAGCCTCTATCACTTGGACGTCTAGCTCTTCGGCCTCGTCCCACCGGCCTTTGTTCCTGTACGTCGATGCCAGGTTGGCCATGCTGGACAGAGTGTCTGGATGCTCCGGTCCAAGCACCCTCTTGGTTGTCTCCATCACTTGCACCTCCAGCTCTTCGGCCTCGTCCCACCGGCCTTTGTTCCGGTACGTCGACGCCAGGTTGGCTTTGCTGGTCAGCGTG